CCGCAGTCGCAGTTTTCCCAACAAAAACTGTATGGTCACATGCTCGAACGACAAAATGCTTTGTCTGTGGGATTTGATGGAAGGTGAAGTGTTGAAGAAGATGGAGGGATATGGTAGTCAGGTGCAGGCATTGGTGGTATCACGGGATGGGCAGTTGATAGCAAGTGGTGACACCAATGGAGAGCTCATTGCATGGGATGAAGAAACTGGTGGACGTCTTGGCGAAAATGGTGAGACCAGCGAGCCTTTCATTCAAGCTATTAGCGCCCACACTGGTTGGATATTATCACTGGACTTTTCACCAGACAGCACAGTGCTAGCCAGTGGATCATTGGACTCCACGATGATGTTGTGGAACACATCAATGTGGAAGCTGGAAGGAAGTGCAATTGGCTGTGGTACAGGTGTCCGCTGTGTTTGATATTCACCGTTATTATTCATGGCGAATACCTGGTCATTGCCCACACTTCTTGCAATTGCAACAGAGCACAATATCCAGATTTACCATGCTGGTTATGGCACACAACCAAGCAATGGCAATCCCTCATGTTCCTACAAGTTCTGGACTTGATGGATGGTGACATTTGGTGAAGGATATAACAACTACTCACTCGTGTGGACGCCCAATGGTAAATGCCTTTTCTCAGCGGATGGAGGGGCTAATTTCACCATACGACAATAGCATTCACCTGAGAACCGCTGGTAACAGGTTGATGATCCCTTGACAGGCCATCCTGTAGTTTTAATGCATTAAATGCATGATAGTTACAAGACAAATGTATTGCATTAACCATTGTAACTATCAGCAACCTCTTACATAACATTACATAACATTTAACCTCCGAGGCACAAGGCAGAATATAATCCTAGCTAACCCTAACTAACCACTAACCACTAACATCTAGCATCTAACCTCTAACAAATCTTTAACATCTAACAATCTAACATCTAACCCCCTCTAACCCCCTCTTACTAAGATTAAAAATTAATTCATTAGCCATTACAATTGTTAATGCAATACCTGTATCTTGTAAGGTAGAGGTCTTGCGAATTCGACCAACATCATGTGCCCAGCGTTACATTAGAGTGACAAGGTTGAGAAATTCAAAATCAATCCAACAGGGCCAGGAAGCATAAAAGTAATTTATGCAAAATACGGGAAAAGCAATTGTACACTTTATCTATAGAGTAAATCAGTACTGTGTGGAGATGGTGAAAAGATTTTGAATTTTGAGAGCTTTCTGTAGGGTTGATTATATGTGAAGAACGAGTTTGAAGTCTGACAGAAATTCAATGCTGGGTGCCACCATCTGCTGTTGCACAAGTTGAAGTTCCGAGTCATGAACCCATGGGGAGGCAGAAATGTTGTCACGAAGCACAGATCAACAATGCTACAGCTGTGTGTCAGTCAAAGAGGGCGAGACGAGATGGAGACGAGGCTGGAGGCTCACAGAAAAAAAATGTGAGTATTCTGTTTTGTTCTTAGTGGCAAAATATTGACCGTCTGCTTGGGAATAGAGAAATGGAGCTCAAGCAGCATGGGCTGTGAGGAAGTATTGAGGACATCAGGTCCTCCCCGAAGGCTTAATGGCCTCCAATTCAAGGTAATATGTTATCCATGATCTATATACATACTAGTACATACAGTATCTGCTACCTACCATCATTTTGTCTACTTACCGCACTGCTCTCCTAATTGTGACTCCGCAGTGTTTGCCGCTCCGGCATTGTCGTCTCATAAGCATGTCACACTATGGTCACATCATGTGATGCTCGTCAAATTCACAAGACCTCTACCTTAATTACAATGGTAATGCATTATTCCCCCAGGGTGAGGTGCCCTTGAAAGGTCATTTCAAGACTGTCTGCACCATTTCCCTGAACTCTAATGGCACTCTCCTTGCCTCTGCATCTTACGACAACCGCATCCGCCTCTGGCGGCTCTCAGATAGATGAACAATTGTCATATTTAAGCACTCTGGCAAGGTGAACTGCGTTACCTTCTCTGCAGATGATACCCGCATCCTCAGCAGAGGTATGGATAAGAAGATCTCAGAGTGGCCAGGATCCAAGCACGTGTTGCCAGAGGATGGTCCAGAGAATGCGCTCATGAGGGAGCAAGTGACACACCAGGTAAGTTCATTTTCATTTTCCCGCCCCTTTGTCATCTAAGTGTTGTTTTTATGCCAAGGCTCAAGCCTACTCTTATTTCAAGGCATGTTCTCTCCTGACTCTGATAGTAATGCAATGCCAACATCCTTCATGCAGGTCCTCACTATTGATGCAGCAGTCTGCAATGCGTGCATAGCCAAGGACTGGCTTACCGCTGAAAAGGTGCTACATCTATAGATAGACGCTGGTGCTGCCGATCAGACCTCCTATTCCAGTCGCCCATTTATTATGGCGCTAAAATGCGATTGGAATTGTGCGCTTCATGATGCGATTCAGGTGAGATTGATCGACATGTCATGGCCCTCCTGCAAAAGCTAACTTCAGTGGTGACATAGTCCCTCAACATTCAACCCTCATTGGCAGGCCGTATCTCCAAGGGCATTGCCCTCTGTGGACAAAACCAGGTTTGGGTTGTGAGGATATCATTTGACCTCGCATCCATGTTCACAAACGGAGATCCCAAGACTGACCAACTGCTTTTCTTCATCAAGGCAGGTAATAATTGTCTGCATACTCCACAATACTTCATTCATTTTCAGACTATCGCACTGTTCAATGCAAATGAACATGAAGAGGCAATGCAGTGCATCGAAGAGCTGGTTGTGTCTCCCAATGTGGATCCTCTCGCTTGTTGTGTCGTGGAAGTAAGCATTATGCACTCAATCAAGCACACGCTTGTGTGCTGCCACTAATTCTTCTGCCCTTCGCACACCAGGCCTATCTATACGTCCAACTGGGAAATGCTGCCATGGATAATGTGTGCTTCAATGAAGCTGTTTACCAATTCACTGCTGCCATCAGTGCTAGTACTTTCTTTTATACATCAGAAATCCATTCTCTGTACAAGGAATTTGACGTCGTACGCTGATATTATATAATTGGATATTCTCATCATACTCAACTCTTTATTTTTGGCACCTATTTGGCTGGAACCTCGAGTCCTTGTGGCAAACTGTGCACCAGCAACAATGTCATGCACTCTTTCGGGCAGGCAGAATTGGAGCAGCCATCAAATTGCACCAATCCATCATGGAGCAGAGTGATGAAGCTACGAAGGCCATCATATGTACCTGGTTCAATGGTAAGTATTCAGTCATATTGTCTCATCTACAATCCTCAACCGCACTTCACTCAGCTCTCAAATAAGAACAAAGCACTCTCTATGCTTCCAATGGAGATGCTGCACTCGCGATGAGCAGTTGCTCATGTAGTTTAAATGCAGACCCTTCAGTCATATGTACTGCAGAACCGAGTGATAGGACATGTACATTGACCTGCAAAACCAGGTGTACAGGACAGCGGCAGGCCCATGCAGAACCAGACCTGGCCGGTGTTGCAGAACCCTTGCAGGCCGGTGCCCTATTATACACAATAATATCTCTGCAGTATCTGTGTAGGCCAGTGATAGGCCTGGTCATGCAGGCTGCATAGAGGGGCTGGCCGACATGCTGCTGGTATCTGACACAGTAGGCCAGCCTGCCTCTGCAGTATGTGGAGGGCTGCCGGCCGGCCTAAGAATCAATTGTTGCTTGCAGGGCCAGCCTGCTTTAGCAGTCTGCAGGAGAGGGCCACCCAGCATGCTTCTCATATCTGGCTGAGTAGGCCAGCCCCCCCTTACAGTCTACAAGGAGGGGCCAGCCGGTGTCCTGTGGGCATCTGGTCCAGTAGGCCTGCCCACCTTTGTAGTATGTGGGGGGTGTCTGGCCGGCCTAGGAATGAATTCTTGCTCGGCCAGCCTCCCTTTGCAGCCTGCATAGAGTGGCCTGCCCCCCCTGCAGTATGTGGGGGGTGGCCGGCCGGCTCAGGAGTGAATTCTTGCTTGGCCAGCCTCCTTTTACAGTCTGCATGGAGAGCCTGGCCAGCATCCTGTGGGCAACTGGCCCAGCAGGCCTGTCCACCTCTGTAGTATGTGGGGGGTGGCTGGCCGGCCTCAGAGTGAATTCTTACTGGGTCAGCCTCCTTTTATGGCACAACCACACACTCAATGACTTTCTCAATTGGGGGGTTCCTCTCCTTTGACAACAGTTTCCGGAACTTAGTGGTTGCATCCAACTGGCAGTCAGGATCACTGGAGAACACGTTATGGTCTGCATGGAGGGACATACATTCACAAGCAGATGATATGTAGAAAGGGAATATGTTAATGAAGTAAACTCGCCATTCATGCAAGACACTGGGATTACAGTTATCCCTGACCCAATTGCAGTCAATGGGCATATCCTCGCAACACTAGGTCTATGGTTAACATAAATCTGTGCAGGCACTCGATTATCAAAACTCGCCATTCATGCAAGACCTTGGGATCACAGTTATCCCTGACCCTGGATGGATGAGTTTGAGTGAATCCTTGATGCACATTACAAAAGGAGGCTGGCCCTGCAAGCAAGAATTCTCTCCTAGGCCGGCCGGCCACCCCCCACATACTGCAGGGGTGGGCAGGCCACTGGGCCAGATGCCCAAAGCATGTCGGCCGGCCCCTCTATGCAGGCTGCAAAGGGAGGCAGGCCCAACAAGAATTCATTCCCAGGCCAGCCGGCCACCCCCCACACACTGCAGAGGTGGGCAGGCCTACTAGGCCAGAAGCCCAAGGCATGCCAGCCGGCCCATCTATGCAGGCTGAAAAGGGAGGCAGGCCCAGCCAGAATTCATTCCTAGGCCAGCCGGCCACCTCCCACATACTGCAGAGGTGGGCAGGCCTACTATGCCAGAAGCCCAAAGCATGTCAGCTGGCCCCTTTACACCATGTTTACATTCTGAATACTCACATCACACTTTTTTTTACAAGTCAGGAAGATCAACATTACATTAGCATGTCAACTCGTGAACTATCAACTTGTTATAAGTAATTTTCCTTCAAAATTCTTGAGACCCTGAGCTGAAAATTCTGCCCACATAGATGCCTGCCTCTCAGCATATGCCCTATTCCCATTCTTGATGCTTTCATCTGCCCGAACTCTCCACCTCTCCTCCTGTGTCTGAAACCAGGACATGGTCCAAAACATTTCATGCTGTACCAATTTCAGTTCTTCTGACCAACAGTCATACCGTGCTTTAGCTTTCAACCAATTCACACGATAAACTGGAAATGGAGAATATAAGCTGATTACCTTGATAAAAAGCAGATCACAATAAAACTTACACTCGTTCATCCATACATTCTTCTGACTGTCCTCTGCATTGTTGATCCTCCAAAACCAAGCCAATTTATCTGAACCCTGCCCATGCCTGTTTTCTTCTGTGACTTCTTTGCTCACCACTAGGTCCTGAGGCTTTAGGGGTTGATACACTGCCACTGTATCAGAGTCAGCCCCTAGGTGGAGCATTGCAGCCCTTGCCCGGCTGTAACCTCGGGCCTGTCTGTTGATGGAGAGAGTTATCTTTTGAAGTTCCCTTTTAGATCTAGTGCCCTGGTGATGGACTGATTTGTTGGAGTGTATTTTCTCCCGAAACACAACTGATCTATCACCCAGGGCTTGACAGAGCTTTTCCAGGCAGTCATTTGCTTGACCCTTTCGAAGCTCAAGTTCTTCTTGATGTAATGCCAAGACAACATCATCCATGATGTGACCAGAGGCTGCCCATGATGGCATCCAAATCTCGGTGACTTCTGCAGGTGAGTCAGTATTACCCTCAAGGTCAAAAATATCCTCTTCCTCTGGATCATCCATACTGGATATGCCAGCCTCCTCCAGGCACAGTTCAGGGTTGTCCAGTGGTGCTCCTTCACCTCCCTCCAATTCCATACCATTAGTCATGACCTCTGCAGCCTCATGGAACTTAATAATCCGTGCCATGAGCTTCTGCCTTTTTTCTTCTATCCCAGTTCTCTGAGAAGCAGTCGGATCCTGGGGCAGCTGCCTTATAGACAATCTCAAGGCATCTCTAGTAACACAATTTAAGTCAATCCAATCCCAAAGTTAGAATATCTTACTGAGCATTTTCTATATTTATACCGTCAATCAACCATGCAACAGACCCAGTCCTACCATTAGCAGAAAGTTCATTTTCGGTCAATCTGAGACGTATTTCAGCCATAGTGGGTGCTTTAAATTATTTTCCATCAGGGTGAAATCAACGTCCACAACATAAGACCTACCTTTGTCCATTTTAAGCTGATAGATGTCAAGAAGCTCTCCATGGTCCTGAGCTGCTTTTTCGGCTGCCTTTTTCCACTCCTGAACATCAGCCAAATCAAGTGATCTGGTTAATTCCTCGTATGGACCCTGAGTGTCACTAATACCCTGTAGGGCTTGGCAATACTTTTTGAGTAATGACTTGACTTTTGCAAATTTTATGTCAGGCGAAGTCACAGAAACCAGAATGAAGGGGACTTGCCAATGCTGACCAGCTTCTTCCAATTGGAATCCCGCATATGGTCATCCAATACTTCCTGTCTGTGAGCCAAAGACATGGATCTCGCAGTGGGGGAAATCTTGTTGAAAGGAGCCCAGAGTGTCTCCAATATTTCCCCATCAATATGTGCGGCTCCAGTCATAAAATTCAGGCTGAACCTAGGAAAGCATTGAAGCTTATGTGCGCTCAAATGAAACTTGCCAATTGCGGGCAATATTTCAGTCCCCTCAGGAAGGGACAGATGATAGCTCTGGTCCACCCATTCAGCAAAGTGAATACTCCACTGACATGCAACATCATAGATGATGAGCGCACTGCCAATATGTTCGGGCATATATTTCACTGCATTGCAAATGGAATAGTCCATGTTCATGTGCCTGACTACAGGGTCAGTCCATTGTCTGAAATAACAAAACAATCACAGACCGCTCTCCCTTTTGGAAGTCTACCACTGCATGAGGAACAAAGCATCCATGCCTAGCACATGCTGTTGCCCCAACCCCTGTAGCTCTTAGGTTGCTGCTTTGGATATTTGCTGCATTCACTGCCCGATGATTGCTGCAAGTGGATTTCTTCAAAAATATTATAAGTCAGGAGGAACCGGTCATCCAAAATCATCACTTGCCTCTCTCTCTTCTACAGAATCATGGATGTGAGCTTGATAAGGTCCCTCTGTTACCATGTATCCCTTTCCATCTGCTAGAGAAACATCGTCTTCCGGAATTTTCATTTTCATATGTTGTGCTGTTAAATTTCCATCGACCACATATCTTTGCATAGCTAACCACCTACCACAGACCAATAATGAGTGACATACTACTGCAATAGTTACGAGTCAGCTTACTCTTCATAGTCATATCTCCAAGATGTCGGCAAGTTGATTCCAGGCTGCGGACATGCTGGGCAATAAAGGGCTAAATCCCCTGGACCAGGGGATCGTTCAGTGTCATGTCCAAACCCAAACCTTTTTCTATTAACCAAATCCCGCCATATACGTGACACTCACATAAGTTCACGGTAACGGTCCTTTTTGTCCTATCAGCTTGGCACACAATCATAAGAAATTACTCACCGGTATTTTATCAGGGAATGCATTGTTTGTGAACCGACGGAGCTTTTGATAGAAACTCATGGCTGAAGTCTTGCACTCCAAAGCATCTATGAGGAAGTTATCCAGGACATCGAATGTGAAAGCAGATTGAGGGCGAGTGATACTGGCAGGAAATAACCTTGCTTTCATGAGATGGAGATGCCGTGCCTTCTCAGCTCCAGGACACTGGCACCATGATACACTGTGTGAGTAAACACCAGTAGAGTGCACAATGACCAGGTTAGATACTCCTAACTGCGTATCATTAATTGTATCCCCCTCCTCCTGTGCAAACACATCTTCCATGGCCCCAAGATCTTCCCAGGGAGATGGGTCTGGCTGATGTGAGATATTGGGGCATGGTTCCCCCCCATGGCCAAGATACATGATATACCCTTGAGCCTGCAGGGTAGTAGTCTTGTAGAACCTGCCATTCCAGAGTTGAAGGTTGTGGAAGGGGTTGTGTTGATGAGTTTTAACAACACAAGAAGGACACCAAGCATGTGTCCCTGAGCAAGACAAACACCAGATCAACCCCTCTCCTTCTTCACAATCTTTGCATTTCCCATCATTGACCAGCTGCTCTAACTCCAATAACACTGAAAAATATTCAGTGCGCCAAGGCAAGTAATCTCGAAGGAAATCATTTTGGGTCTGCACATGATTTTTTTTTAAAAACTCGAGACTTCAAAATTCAATGAACTCACTTTTGTTTTTCTTTTCATACCATCCAAGCCTCCCATCCAAAAATCACCATGAACCTCTTGGTCGTATTCCACCGGTGTATGATCTTCAATATGGTGATGCCTCTTTTGTTTTGATGGTGAAGCCACTTCTATCTCACTATCAGAGTCCTCATAGACAAATGATGCATTAGCTTCTTTCCACAAATCTTTTCCCCTCCGTGTTTTTGAAGGGATATATGCATATTTATAAGCGCCTCTTTTTCTTTTTGATGGGCGAGTTCCAGATGAAGATGGCTGGACTCTGACCCTGTTTCTATTCCTTGGTGTGATTTGCGAGCTCATGAAATTGAGAGTCTGTCAAAGGGGATAAAACAACAAGAACATTGGCATTATTGGGGCAGTCCACCACCACCACCACTGCCCACACACCCCAAAACAGTCCTGTTCCTATCCTAACTATATTTGTAATTTATTGGCTCTCTGACCCGTGTGTTTGGGTTTCCTCCCTATCAACTCTAAAAAGTTCCTCTGCATAGGAAAACTTGGCCTTGGCACTTTTACTCTATCATGCACAGCATCCTTCATGAAATGGGCAACCACAATTCTTTCTCCATTAATCCAAGGACCCACAGAGTGCTCCAGTACCCTACCAGCAATATAGTCCATTGCACCAGGCGAATAGTCTAGCTCTGCATGGACATCGGCCAAAGAAAGAGTTGCATGATGGTTTCGACCTAAACTGACCAGAAGATCAAAAAGTGAAGGAGATCCACCAGGATCTCTGTGGCTGAAGGTTGTTCGGTTGGCAATAATTTCCAACCCTGAAAAGATAGAGGGCCAAGAATCCACCAGAGCCAAATTATTTTTTTGCTGCTGAACTTCCTTGACAACTTTGGAAAATGCAGAGAAACCTGATTCAAAAAGTTCCGGTGCCACTGCTGCAGTAATGGAGTTCCATAGAAATTCTGATGTTGTCAAAGCTGCTAGCCGTTTTTGGACCTCCTTTGAGTTATAAGACTCTGACGTTACCAGAGGATCTATCAATCGCTAATCACCAAGTAAGAACTGGGAAAATTCAGCACTGAAAATACAATACCTCTTGTCTTTGCATGAAATATGCAGGTGACACAGTAATCCTACCAGCCCCAAATTCACCCCCTCCCTCTGGCACCACAAAGCCATCATCTCACCAACTCTTTTTTTGATCCGAAATGGGCGGCAGGGTATCAAGAAGAGAATTTCGTAAGCCTGAGGTAGCATTGTTAACGTACTCCTAATTTATTAATCAGCCCCTGAGAAAAAATCCCATCCAGAAACATACTAGACGAGAAGGTGACAAAATATTGGGGAGGTAAACCATCAAGATTCTGCCATGCCTGTCTACAATGGTGGCTGGAGTGGAAATTTTGCTGAGCACTGCCTCAGGGAAGTACTTCTTGAGCCTTTCCAGTTCGGAGGTTGCTGACCCATCCCGATTTGGTGGTGACAACTTGACCCTGTCAGCATATCGATCCACATCCCAATCAACATTGACTATACTTCTGCTTTAGAATTCATGACATTTAAAAATATTTTGGGACACTCACTGGGATTGACCATTGCATGGGCAATAGTTAGTGCGGCCTGATCAATTTCATATACTGAAATTGATGTCTCAGTAAATGTAGTGTCATCCGGTGTTGCCAAGCAAATCTGGAGGTGGACTGATATTCTCATTCTAAAAGATTAATCAATTAGAATTCAGCTAAAATTGATACTCCACCAATAGATACCTAGCTTTATGCAACAGCTTTGTTACCACTTGCCCATCTTTCAGGACCCCCATTTCAGATGAATTCCCAAGTATATCACTGATCCTGCTACTCAGAGCTTCCCTTACTTCCGATGCCTGGCTCTTCAGGTTGTCTTCCATGGGGGATGTAAAAAAAATGAACCAAAGTTCTCACGCACTTCACACTCATTGTAGTTGTGATGTAATGAGTCTATAAATAAACATGATGTAATTAACACATCTTTGGTAACTCACACCCTAAACTCTCGGCCATTCTACTAAAGTTTACAGTACTCTGCTGTCATTTGGACCTTTCTCATATCGAAGTCACGGCCGGCATCCTGTGGGCAACTGGCCCAGCAGGCCTGTCCACCTCTGTAGTATGTGGGGGGTGGCCGGCCGGCCTCAGAGTGAATTCTTGCTGGGTCAGCCTCCTTTTATGGCACAACCACACACTCAATGACTTTCTCAATTGGGGGGTTCCTCTCCTTTGACAACAGTTTCCGGAACTTAGTGGTTGCATCCAACTGGCAGTCAGGATCACTGGAGAACACATTACCATTATGGTCTAATCTCCTTTGACAACAGTTTCCGGAACTTAGTGGTTGCATCCAACTGGCAGTCGGGATCACTGGAGAACACATTACCATTATGGTCTAACTCGCCATTCATGCAAGACGTTGGGATCACAGTTATCCCTGACCCAATTGCAACATGAGAGGACGAGCCTTTGATGACCATTAGTCATTCGGACCTTTCTCACACAAAGTCAGGACAAAGTTCGTGTGCAGGCACTTGATTATCAAAACTCGCCATTCATGCAAGACGCTCCCGGTCAACAATACACTCGCAAACTTCCTCCGGAGTTCTCATTATCCATGGTCAAAATTTCATCCAAGAATCTTCAGGATCGCCTGGCAGAAAGGAAATATGTTGAACTCGAAGGAACCCACTCCTCACCAACCTCAAACTGGCCTCAAACACTAATAACTCGACCATGGCACGACAACCACTTCATTTTATTCAAACAAAATACATAGTCATATGTGTGGGGGGAAACTTACATGAAACATACATAAGGATTCCGGGCAGAATTTCGTGTGCTAGAACCAATGCGTGAACTTGTGGGACTATCTAGTATATCGTTCAATGATCTATCACTGAAATCTGTTGCCTTTTCCATCACTCTCACGATCACATGACTCAAAAGTTGGGCAAAGATTTAAGCATCACATGACCAGAAAATGCCCATAAAGGGTAATACATTTGCGTTGAGCTCTACATTAAATACAGTCCAAACCAAAAAGCTAAGGTAAAAAAACTAAAGTAAATGATGCAAGACAGGGATGGAGGAGCCCTCTCCATCCTAGCCTTGCACCCTACAGTACATAAAGGAAGGTAAAAATGTAGATTAATGATCAATCAACTATAGCATTAGTTAGTATGATATTGAATATTAAAATGACGCTTACCGGATTAAACTTGTTAAGGAAAGGTGGTAGGCACAGAAGGTGTAGACCACCAAAACTATAGTGCAAGTCAGTATGATCTTCAATGTTAAACTGACGCCTACCTAAACAAAAGGCAGACACAGTGCAACAGAAAATGTGTTATAGAACACTAGTAAAATAAACCGTTAGTACAGAACACACTTGAAAACTGGAAAAAACAGGCCAGCACTGCGGAAAAACCTTGAAAACAGAACAAAAAACAGGCGCACTACAGAAAATGTCATAGAAAGTTAGAGAATAAGTCAGTACAATACAGAGTAGACGTGAAAGCCCAAGCCCCAGTACCCACAATTCAAGGCGTCCAGTCCCTGGGGACATGGATGGCCAAGAAAAACTCCCCCAGAACCCACAATCAAGGCATCCAGTCCCTGGGGACATGGATGGCCAAGACAAACTCCCCCAGTACCCACAATTCAAGGCGTCCAGTCCCTGGGGACATGGATGGCCAGAAAAGTACATAAAAACCTGAAGAAAAGTCAACTACTTGAAGAAATAAGGAGACACTGACCTGGGGCGTGTCTATGACATGCCCCAAGTCACTGTAAGTAAGAGACGGTCAGTATACAAAGAGTTGGCAAAAGACTAACCTGAAAGGCGCGCTATCAATAAGGATTGATAGCGCGCCGCCTGTGAAGAACCACTATGAAAAAATAAACCAGAAGTTAGTACTGTTAAACAGATGTACAAATACTCACCTTGTGGGAGTGAGCACTTGAATAAAACTGTAGCACTGCCTTTGACCACTTGCAGCTGCAGTCTGCAAGTGGCCAAAGGACAGAAGCACAGAACATCTTGAGGTTAGTAGTGTGAGCAAAGGGAGGATAGTATAGGACGATACACATGGTTGAGGTTGAGGAAAATGAACCGTGGGAGGAATATTAATGGTTGAAGTATGTTTGTTGATTTGTTCTTGTTTGCAAAAAGGTCATGTGGCATTTGGTTGGTGTTTTTTCACCAAGTCCAAATTTTGCCGGCTGACATCACGTGCACATTTGGTTGGTTTTGGTCCACATACTTGTTTCTTTCGTCTTCCTCACTGCTAACTTCTAAGTACCAGTTCATACATGTTTCTTGAGTCACTGTGGTGAGTTTCTGGTGTGTGGCAAGCGGTATACTGACTACATTTGCAGCTTTTCAGCCAGCCCTCTCCTCCCATCACCCTCAGTAACCATGGCCTGCACCAAAATGACTGCCAAGAAGTCCAATGGTGGCTCAGCACCACACATCCACCTCAAGACCACTAGGACTCGCGCTAACCGTATTTCTGGAGGAGGAGAATCAGAGGGAGGCCAGCACATGGAGATATGCGAAACGGTTCATCACAACGGTGTGAGTTTTTTGTTCTTGCTGTGTCTGTGCTAATATGGCTCCTTCCCTCCAACAGTTCTGTATCCTCTGCCGGGATGGCTCTGCATCATTCAAAGAGAATCCTCTCTTTATGTGCAACCATTGCCCCAGAGTGATGTGCCGGCTGTGCATGGAGCTCCCACTGGGCACTGAAGACACGATCCTTGGTGAGGATGTGTCTTTCAGGTGTATATGTTGCCACATGACTATGGAGAAGCAGGGCGCACTATACTATGTGAGTTTTTTTTTGTTTTCATTCTCTGTTCATTCACAACTAATGGTACATCAGGGCTTCTACTATCGTGACGGCACGACAGTCCTCCAGTCTTTTCTACGGATCCACGCTTCCCTCGAACTCTCATCACGCGCCGAAATTTCCGCTGCCCCCATCTTATTCATCCATCTTGTCCTCATCGACTTCGAAACTACTGGCAGCCCCTTCTCTTTCACTCATTCGTTCCTCCAGCCGTACTTCACAAGCAGGGGTATCGAATATCGTGAGATTGCATACGACATTATCTCTGCCCCGGGTGCTTACCTCAAAACGGTCGGTCAAATTATCAAGGCCCTCAAGAATTCGTTTGTTTGGGAACACGTCGTCATTGGTATATCCACCCACAGTGACAATGACCATGGTGACCTGTTTGCTGGGTACTCCTGTGATGATGGCGAGAAGCACTATGGCAGCGCTGGATCTGACGAAGTGAGTTTTTTTTTTTTCTTTTTGGCGTGCATTTGATTACTAACTACTTTTAACTTAAAGTTCTTGGAGATTATTCTCCGTCCATGGCAGTCTCTCCTCGACTGTGCCAAGGAAACATATCTGTGGCTTTTGTGCTGTGGCTCCATTGTCAACAACAGTGATTCGTCCATAGAGTTGCAACGTGCAGTAGTCCAGTAAGTTCATTTAAATTAAATTTCTTATCTTATCTTACCTGCCAATAGCCACAAGCTCTCCACCACCATCGCTTTCAATGCCCAGCATTTCCAGCCATCCTTTGCATCTCATTTGCTCCTGGCATTCACGGAGCAAGTCCTCATCGAACGTTGCCCCATCCGCCTTGCCTTTGGTGAAATGCTGGGTCAATCATACAAACTTGGTCGCCACACTGATGTTCTGTTACTCACACCGCTTGAGGCTAGCCTCCAGATCTCCAAGTTCACATGGGGTGATACAAACTTCCGGCCTTGGGGCGGCTTCCTGCCAATCCAATGCCCAAGCTGTGGGTGTACTAATTCTTGGCATTCAGCCTATGCCAGGGCCAGTGGGGACAAGACCTATGTCTTTGAGTGCAAGAATACCACCTGTGACCAGAGTTTCAAGTTCAGTCAGCCTAAAGGCACCACCATGCTGTCAGCAGGTAGGAAGCAGGGGTGTTCATGGATGGAGGTACCTGTGGAACCATTGTTGACTTGATCATGTACATTTCTAACTTTTGCTACTCAAATTTTGTCACTTCATACATGTTTTCACTCTATGCAATAATGTTTGGTTGTCTGTCAATGAAACTTTGTTAGATGAACTGTGAATGTTGGTGAATTTCAGTAAATATAGTGTAACTTGTAAACGCACATGTCACATGACCATGTTTGTTGACCGTGTTTGTTGACAACACGGTCATGTGACATAATGGTTGAGTTTTCAAGCACAATCAAGTCTCGGCTGATCCTGCATTCTGCAAACTCGTATCGGCCTGCATCCGTGTCATTTTGTGATATAATGGCCAGCTGGACTCTCGTTTTTAGCAATGTGTTGAACCAACACAAGGATTCCTTTGTTGCAGCTAAAGGAAATTCTGCTATCAGGGCTCGCATCCTCAAAGTAATCAAAGATGCTATAGGGAGCAGTGAAGCAGCCAAAGACCCTTGTGTCATGCTTCCAGAGAAAAATCTTCGGAAGGTGAGCCTTCAAAATTCTATTCTATACTAATCTAATTAATACAGGCTGTTCATACATATTATTTGGACTTCCTGGAGGATGACGAGGATTGCAAGGCAGAGGAAGAAATTATTGAGGGAGGGCATAAAGACAGATCTGCTGCAGATGCTGTGACTGTAGAGATGGTGAGAGAACGGGAAAATGATAAGCCTGAGGAAGCTGGGAAGTACAAGACAGAATTCTCCAGTTTTGATGTCGCCCAAAAATTATTCAAGGATGAATTTGGAGAATATGACAAGATGCACTGCGATACCTCTGACCAAAAGTCTATGGGCCAGAGGACAAAATTGGCCCGGGCATGGCACAAGGCTATGTCCTCTGAGGTGAAACAGGAGCTTGTCCGGGTTGCTGGAAAATGGAATCAAGAAGGACTTCCTGCAGATACCAAGGATAGGTATTTTTTTCTAACATTCTATCAGCACACATGTTACATAACTTAATGATATGTCAACAGATACCGTACTCGTAACCAGAAAAAAGTCATGGAGGACTTTATGGGCATGGTTCAGAGAACTATGGGGTTGCATGTTGTCATCCTTACAGCCCATGATCGAGGTGAGGGAAAGGCTCCTGGAACTACTATGTAAGTGTTTTTATGCTGCATGTCGTCAATGATGATAAACTTGTTCATAAAGCTGGGAGACCTCGCCTGTAAAGGCGAAAAAACCTTTTACTCAGGCGTCCAAAGACAATAAGAAATGGGCTGGACATGCTCAAGATCATCTTGCAGACTGGCTCCTCAAAGCGGAATATGGTGATGTTCCTTTTAATTTTAAATCTAATGTCATAGCTAAAATTATAATAGTTGATGAAGAGGATAGTGATGGAGAGGACAATGATGAAGATAATCTTCCAGATTTGACTGTTGAGGCTGACAATGATGGTCACCCTTGCCTACCAAAAGGCTTTGGATCTCTCAAGCTCAAGCACAGGCAAAAGGTTGTTCGCACTGTCTTTCAAAAGGCCTACTGTGAGTTGATTGCCTCATATAATGTTATCATTTACTCACTTTCCCCAGCTCTTATTACCAACAATCCCCGGGCTCTAGTGCCCTGGGGTGAAGTGTCTGAAAATCCTGATCACTATCTTGATTCGGAATGTATTCCTAAGAATGTCATCATCAAGGACCCTTCCCACCTGCAAAAGGACACAATTGCTGCAATTTATTCCCACTGGTTAGATTGTGCTAGTCATGGCGCACCAATTGTACGTTTTGTTGGGTATAGGCAAGCTGATTTCTATGATCAGCCCTCCAAGAAGGGAGGTGCAAGGCAAAAATCGGGGAAGAAGCCTGCCTATGTCCCTGTCAGTTCGGATGAGGAAGATCGGCTGAAGAAGATTGATGATGGTAAAAGCTCATCGGATGAAGATGAAGACGACTTGGAGACTGCTCCCATTGCTGATTCCAGCCCCAAATACCATGTCACTAGGGACATGGTCGCTTATCTCAAGTCTCTCTCTACCATCCCTTCATATCAACGGCTTCTTGCTGCAGTTCAAAAGCTTCTGGTATGTCATATCTGATAACCTTATGATCTCACATTTATTTTGTCTGTTTTAAAGACAAGAACAGATTCAAAGGCGCGGAAACAGCAACTCCCTATCTGGGTGTCTTGGACTTGGTCTCAGGCATATCTCCCTCAAGACATCCATGAGAATATGGAAACTGCCTCCACTGCACTGGAGAATTTGAGTAACTACAAGTTCAATTCTCGTGGATGGGGCATGATTGTGATCCTGGGACTTGGACTTCTACTTCGTGAGTGTTGTCGTACTCAGGAGTATGAAGCCGATGAAGCCGAAGATGATGTACCTGACTACTTGGGTAACTTTATCTTGGGCTTCGAGGTGGGTGACCAGATTGAGGACAAGATTGCAGGGATAGAGGCTGAAGTTGAAGCCATATGGAAAGATGAGAATCTTGGGTTGTCCATTGTGAGGCAAGACATTGAGAAGACGCGTGGGGAGGAAAGAAAGAAGTTGAAGGAGAATCAGAAGGCGGAAGAGGCTAGGGTTATTGAGGAGAAGAGGGTGGAAGATGAGAAGAGGGCAATGGAGAAGAAGAGGGTGGAAGAAGAGGCAAGATTGGCTGAGGAAGCAAGCAAGGCAGAGAAGAGGGTGAGGAAATCTAATGCCAAAGAGAAGGGTAAGAGGCCTGCTGCAGATGTGGAGGAGCCATAATCTTCCCTTCCTGATCCCCCTCGTTGTTCTGGGAGAGACAAAGTGCCATCAAAGAAATACAATGCCTGAGAAATTATGTACATTGTTCCATACATCTTTTATCATAAAGGCTTAGAGTTGATTTCATGCTTTGTATATCCATACTTGAGACTTGAAGACATATTCAAGATGACACAGACCATACATGTCTGAATATAGGTCACAACCTGTGTGGCCGGCCCACTCCTACAGGATGCAACAGCAGGCTGGCCTATAGTGGTATTGGTCACTGTGGGAGTGGCCGGTCGCCTTTACACAGTGCGAGGTCAGACTGGCCGACAGCAGTACAGGTCATGACCCCTGTGGCCGACCCACTCCTACAGGTCAAAATAGCAGGCTGGCCCATAGTGGTATGGGTCACTGTGGAAGCGGCCGGCCCCCCCATTACACAATGCAGAGCCAGACTGGCCAACAGCAGTACAGGTCATGACCCCTGTGGCCGGCCCACTCCTACAGGCCAAAATAGCAAGCTGGCCCATAGTAGTATATGTCATGCTAGGCTAGGCCATGAATATTGGTCTATTCAAAATTCACTGTACACCTGTTATAACTAAGTATAGAATATGCATGACCTAGTCTGTGTAGGACCTGGATGGTCCTAACATAACTTGCAAGGCAACCTGCTATATTAAGTATATGCAGGGAGAGGATGGCCAGCATGGACTTGTATAATTTGCCTTATTACTTTAGAATTTTTGTGTGACCTACACCTATGTGTGAGCCATGAGTTTTGATTTATGTGATTTGTATAACTAACACCTCTACAAGCTTGTGTTACAGTTTTGTGGTTTACAACTGTACTACTAGTGTACCACATTGATTTCAAGATTTTCTATTATTTTTATTGACCTTGACTTCAGCTTGTCCTATGATCTTGTATCACTGTAGTGTCAGCTATAGATAGGCCTGTATTGATATTATAGCACTGGCCCTTATAGGCTTTTCTGGTATGACTACAGATAAGCTTATATATGTATAATCAGCCACACCTACCCCTGCATACCGGCTCATCCCGGTATTGCAGATACATTATGTATACAAGAGTCACTGGCCTGTACATGGTTGCATACCAGCCTATTCAGGTACTGCAGATATATTATTTATTCAAGAGTTACTGGCCTGCACATGGGTGCACACCGGCCTATCCAGGTACTGCAGATATGTCATTTATTCAAGAGTCACCGGCCTGCACATGGGTGCACACCGGCCTATCCAGGTACTGCATATATGGCATTTATTCAAGAGTCACCGGCCTGCACATGTTTCACACAGCCGGCCAGTCCTGGATATATGTGGGCCGGCCGTTGTCCTGTAGACCTGGTTTTGCAGGCCAATGTACACATCCTATGACAGGGTTATACAGTATCATAAGACTGAAAAGTGTGTTAAATGACAGATCCTTGAACATATCTCATTTGCACCCTGATACTATCAGTTACGGTCTATTCGTGACGAGCCTCCATTTTGTGAGTCACACTTTTGGGCATGGAAATGTGATGGCTTGTCACATGGTGTAATGGTATGTCACGAAATTCACCGCGAAAAAGCATGACTCACGAAATGACAGTCCATCATGAATAGATCATAAGGGATAGTAGTATCTGTATTATACATAGCCTTTTGTAGTTGTATCATACGTGAGCTCAACGTTGCAATGCTTACACTAATTGTTCCATGTGTGTCCTTTGCCGTTGTTTTGTTGAAACCGATTCAAATTGTGACGATCTTTGATCAAGAGCCGACTGCACATGTTCCTTCCATGTGCCCACTCAAAATCACCTGAGTAACACCTGTTCCCACACTTATTAGTGATGTATATAGTATAACATGTTTGTTACTAATGAGGAGGGGAAACCTATGCTGCAGTACTTCAGCGATACCCACAGCAATTAGCACTGACTTTAGGAATATTGAGAGAGTGGGGAAATAAATGATAAGGTTGGCTTACCTGATTGATTTGTCATTGCCCTGGATATCTCCCGCCAGGTACAATGCTGCCACTATGCCTTCTGATAGCTCCCACGCCCTTCTCTTTCTGCCTCCACATTGTCCTCGACAATGAGCTTGCTATCCCGCTTGTCTCTGGTCCAAATCCTGCTGTTCCTTTGATATTCATTCTCCCAATGGACTTCTGATGGCGCCAACATCCTTTGCATTCACATATGGCTCTCTTTTCCTTATCATTGTCCCAGATAACTTATCTTCTGCCAGGAACCACAAGGTATGATGGCTGTCACTATGCCTTCTGAAGCTTTTCACACCCTTCCCTTACAGCCTCTGCATTGTCCTTGACGATGAGCTCACTATCCTGCTTGTCCCTGGCCCAAATCCCACCATTCTTTTGATATTCATTCTCTTGATGGATGTCTGATGGCATCACCGACATCCTCTGCATTCCCACACAGCTCTCTTTTCCTCTGTGTCATCAGTACTCCAACCTCGTGTTGATCAGCCTTTACTATTGCTTGTTTGACTCTTTCTGCGACACGTTCTTCAACATCCTCTGCATCATCAGTACTCCAACCTCATGTTGATCGGCCTTTACTGTTGCTTGTTTGACTCTTTCTGCGACACATTCTTGCCTCGGTTCAACACTACCACCACCATAGTCCCCCAATGTGCCTTAAATGAAAACAAAGCTTGACGGCAATGATCATGGTGCTCGGTGTTATTATCACTATCCTATCAATCTTTCTAGAAGGCGCCGAGTACTATTCTTCATCCGAGTCCGAGTCTGAGTTCGAGCTTGAGCTTGAGCTTGACTCATCATCAGTGCCAACAGTTGCTTTGCTCTTGGATTGTGACACACGAGCCCTGGCTTTCCTTGGTATGTAAACTTGTTCCCCACGCGCTTGCCATGCCTGGTTATCCTTCATCCTCTTGACAAGTTCTTCCTCCAACAGAGACACCCACTTGCATGAATCAGAGTTGAGAGCATCCAATAAAGCCTGAACCTGGGCTCTTCCACCAACCTTAGAAGGATTTTTGATGCCCCCTGGCAAAGGCCACTTGGTTAGCTCTACACTATGCTGTTCTACTATAGCGCCCTTGTAGTTTGTATAATTCATTTTAACTTTTCCTAACACATCCTTCTCCATTAAGATGAATTCTTCAATGATTTATGTTAGCGATGGCATAAGGTGTGACAATACGAAGCACGTACCCAGGTTATCTTGAATAAGCTCACAGCATTCACTAATAAGTTTGTTGAGCGGCCATTGACGTTTAAGTGTTATGTGTTCGTCTTTAGAACTATCAGTAGACTATAGGATGAAGGGAAAGATGACATACCAAGCTTGCTAATCACAAATGCCTCCAGCTTGAGTCCTAGATGCTGTGGTTCAACACCTAGGTCATCCCGAACAAACTTTTGAGATTTCTCCATGAAAAAGATCTTCGGTTCTGCAAGATCTTCAATTCCGCCACGTACTGCCACATAAAACCCTTCCAAACCAGTGCGTGCATAAAGAGCCATCCACTAAGGATAAATTTAAGTTATAGTAGTGGTAAGCATAATTAAAATGCCAAGACATACCTCACAATCCATCGATGTGAATGCTGCATTCATGTCATGTTTGATGGCCTTTGGGTTCGCATGTGCAGTATGATTCTTTGCTTGGCGATCCTCAAGAATACAAGCATTGTAAACTTGCTTTTCAGCAAATGTGAGTTTGCGGTAATCTCAGAATAATATGGCCTTATTTTGTGCAATGAAGGCCATAAGTTTAGTGCAATCGCCTCTGCCTAGGCCTAAGGAAAGACTCATAAGTGCTAGTGTTACTTTGCAAATTAAAATTAAACCAACCTTCATTTTCGGCCTCAAGTCGGGCTTTGACAAACACATTCCAGGAGTTAACGTGTCTGCTCTTTTGCAGCATGCGACTGTGAATAAACAGTTGGCTTCTGGTCCACTTGACTGATCTACAACAATATATCAACAATAACACAGATATTTATGAAGCTGACTCACCAGCCATGTTTTCATGCTATGTCAGCAGCCTCTGCTTCATATGAGTGCTGGGCCGTGTCAATGTCATCAGCGAGTTCTTCCCGACAGGCACGCTGTTGAGCCTTTTGGGTCGCCGTCAGTTGTGCACACACTCAGCAAATTTTATGAGTTGGACGAGGAGCCATGGTCCTGAGAACACAAGTTGAAATAACTGAAGCCGCAGCAACATTTTATACATCACAGGTCCAGGGACAAAATATGAGTCGTACAAACAAACAATGTTACTAGATACTAGAACATATGTAAGAATCGAGCAAAGTGAAAAAAAGTGAAAAAAAATGACAATGAAACAATATATGTGTATGCAAGAATGGAGTGAAGCGAAACAAATAAGTCTAGACTAAATTGAAGGTCAGTGAGGGTTGAAACAGATACCCACCAGGCTAATGGTTGCGACTTGCATTAGCCATGATCCTGATCACATCATGATGACGTTCTTCTGGGATATCAAGCTTCACAAGTATGGCTTTCCAACTGTTTGCTTTGTATCCCTCGACCTGCTGGATGCAGCACCAGATCTCGTGTCGTAACCTACATCCCAAGTTGACAGAACTGAACCTGGCTCAGATGTCATGAGATAAATGTGGTTAGTCACCGAAACTCTGTCCTCATGGCCACACATTGTGGTTTTCATTTGCACCACATTTCCTGCAGTCCGACTAATTTTTCCTTGTCAGGCCCATCTGTTAGCATCAAAGAATTTCGCAGGGTCAGAAGACCCACATTGTGGCGTTTGTCCGATCCCTTAGCACTGCGGCATTTGTCTGATCCCTTCGCATCAGAAGAAGATGGTTGAACCATTAGTCCATTTACAGCAGGAGACATGGGAGGCAGCTTCGCCAAGATGAAAGATCATGATGGTGGCATGAGGGGACTCTCTTCCATTGTACTAGTAGCACATTTCACAGTGGCACCGGTGTTCGTTAGTGGCCTGTTTGCTAAGATGAAAGATTGTGATGGTATCGGGAAGGGACTTGTGCCACCTGGCAGTATATGGACGCAATAACCAGCATCATCTTGAGCAGCATGTTCCACTGTGGCACCAATGTCATGACGCCTTTTCAGAGTAGTGTCGTTAGGCTGGGCGAGACGTCGCGTAGGGCACCGCTTTGTGATGCTGCTTGCCTCATTTGTGGTCGGATCAAGGCCCGCGGATGCAGGAAGTGCAGGTGGTTGAGGGAATGGGGTAGAAGTGAAGTTTGGGCTGCCAAAAGTAGGGAAAGTGGAGTCACCTGAACTGATGGTGTCAAACCACAAGGATGGCAAGTTGGATGGCAAGTCAAATGACTCAGATTCAGATGTAACAGACACAATGCTGTCGTCAGGAGACTGATGAGCATTGGGAAAGTTGAGTGGGTCTAAGGGATTGGGAAGCAGGAAGCCGTCCAGTTGAACATGTTCAGATTGGGCAATAGAACTTTCATCCAATGCTGCTATCCCTGCCGCACAACTGTTAAACAAACTTATCAAAGCTGCAAGTGAATCATATGTACATTGAAGCATTTTTGTAGGCAGTTCAACTTTATCCCAGCAGAACCAGTGCTGACGGACGAGTGGTGCCAGCCAGTTAAGCAAGATGTCATTTATGATCATCACTGTTGCGTCCTCGGTCTCAGTCTCAAGGCGACAAGAAGATAAAGCTGTAGTGGTGATGGTAGGGAATGTGCAGAAGTGTCCTGGTTTCTTTAAGAACTCGAATGCCACCAATAGTTTTATATCAAAGTGATCTTTCTTGAAAAGCATGGATTCAGCAGTAGCTCAAATTATTTAAATGAACAACTTACAATGTCTCCTTGCAAATCAAGATATTCCAGACAGTTATGAACAGGATCAAGCTCAACAGGGAGCCAGCGAGGTGACATAGACAATGTTGATGGAGTCTAGATGGAGTGAAAAACAACAAAGTGAGCACAGTCAAGAAATTCAGTGAAGATGTAATACCAGTGCGTTATCACCTGGATTTGCAAATGTGCACACTGCAAATCAGTAATAATGTACACTATGAAATAGCAGCTGCGTTAATACAAGATCTATTATCTATGTTGGTCTCTGAAGGTCTAAGAGTACTAGCGGTGGATGATACTTGCTCAAGATCAATCAATTTCGCCATTGCCATATCTCATCTTTCATGATGCAGTTCAATATTGCAATTCTTTTGTGATGCAGTTCAACATTGCGATCTTTTACAATGCAGTTCAATATTGCAATCTCTTGCGATTCAATGCACAGGTGCAGAATGGGCAGTCTCAGATATATAATTGAAGTAACATGTAACATAGAATTAACAGTACGAAAGTTACAAAGTGAGATGCGACACCAAATCTTCAAGCCTTATTGCCTCCTCGTTCACAGCATCATCTTCATGATTGTCCAGATTACCCTTGTCATCTCCATCTTCATTGGGTGCCATGATTGTTTGGTCTGTAGCGGGACGTTCACCTGTGTATCAGTCAAGTGCGTAAATTTGTTGGAGCCGCTTGCAATGGATGTTGTTGATACCATGGCACTTGGCATACAACGTCTTCAGCTCTGCTACAAGTAAAGAATCTGGGTTATTAGCAAGGAGTGAATCAATGGCTTCCAAGATGGTCCTGTCCTCATGCTCAACCCAACTCTGTAGGTGCTTGATCTCGACATTGAGCTGTACAATCTCTTCATGTGATCGCACCAACTTGAAATACTTCACAGCCATCTCATGATTAGTGGATACAGTCCATGGTTTCGTGAGGATATCGTGGCGCAAGTGTTTCAGAAGTGAGAATTCACCAAGAGATGCATATCCAACAATTTTGGAGTAGTCGAGCACAGGACATGGTGGATTTTGTAAGGGTGCAAGTCTGTTGTACTTCTCCAAGGCTGTTCAGATGACAGCCAAACATCGTGTGATGGCCTTTGAGATATACTTTCACATCTTGTAACCTATGCAGACTATGAGTACCTCACTTATCTTAAGATCTAGTAAGTGCCCACCGGTACCAGCAAGATTGGCCTTCGATAACTCAAAAAGACGCTGAACAACCAAACCCTCTAACTCCTCAACCAAACGAATGAATTGACGTTCCTGAGAATATCTGGCTGCTTGCACATATTTTGGGTCATGCGGTAGCCACCACTCCATAATACTGTGACGGCACTCAAAGTCTTCAACAACATTCAATTGCAGCTCATATTTGCATAGCACAGATGCATGTTCGGATTCAAATGCCCTAGAACTGTTGCGAGTAGTGGCATTGAGGCCAGAGGTGCGAGTAAAATTGGCGGGAGTGTACGTCAGAAAGGGGACAGAAGTGAGACGACCGTACATTGCTCTAAAACATGCAATGAGAAATAAATCAATAACAGGATGCAAAACAACAAACTCCGCATAGTCAAGCTTCTCGAGCTGTTCAACGTAAGCCATCGCAATTGCATCTGAAGTAGGTTCCACAGCAACTTTGCTGAGGTAACCATACTCCTCATTTCGCCAGTTTATGAAGTCTGTGTCCATAAGATTATGGAGCCGCTTGAACTCCTCAAGCACAGGCATGTTCGTCTTGATGATTTGGAGAGCTTGAACATAATTATTATACAGAAACACACCTAAATTGGTCAGATATCATTGCTGTTAGGTGCTCAGAAACACATACTAAGGTCAGTGTACCTGTCCATGTCCCACTGATCAAAGTGGAGGTCAAGGAATTGCATCCAATGGAAGTATGATGCATGTCTAATCAGGACTGCAGCACTGTTTGAGCTAGCGAAGATGCATTTGCAAGTTTCAAGGTCTTCAAGGCCTAGGCCATTCAGATACAAAGGGTGATTGTGAAGCTGACAGCGGCGGTCGTGAGAAAAGCCGTGGAAGGCATTTATGACAACCTGTAAATTTAGCTCAGCTGCCTTGGCGCTGATAGAGCTTGTGGCAATGTTTTTGCGAGAGGAGCATGCAATATTGTGTCCAATAGCCTGGTCAGCGCCACAGACTCCAAGCAGTCTATTGACTGCGGCTAGACCATATTTCACACTGTTTATGAATAATTAGAGTGGTACAAGTGAGAATCAAAACACATACAGTTCACCACTGCGTTTCATCTCAGTTACACACTCGATGATCCCATGACAACACGCTACAAGAAAAATCCCTGTCTGATCGAACACAGTAATTTTATTATCGTCCACAGCTGTTAGATACCATGCCGACTCAGGAAGCAGAGGGGTCGGGGCTTGGCTTCAGCTCTTGCGCTGTGCCCTTAGCCAAGTACGTGCCCCGAATTTGGAGCGGGTCCAACGTTGTCTGACGGTAGGACGAGTGGACTGCTTTGGTCTGCTTTGAGGGTCAGGGAGTAAGAGCTACTAGTGGTGGGCCGACTAGGAGCAGAGCGGAGAAGGTGGGGAGTGATGCGGAGAGTGGATAGGAGCAGGGGGAATGTTGGTAGGGGCGGGGAAGGTGGAGGATAATGCGGAGGGGCGAAGGAGGATATTTGATAGGGGCAGAGTAATAAGGGAAAGACTTAGAGCATGGCTCTAAGTCGGAGTGGAGGGTCGGAGGTGACAACAAGTTGAGACTTGTGTCCAGAGGAGGCAAGGTTCTACTGAGAATTCTCACAAGATGTAACTGCGAGAAGACAAGTAATATTAAGACTGAGGAAAAATATCTAAGTACAGGATATGTCATATACTTCTATGTATGAGGCAGTGATCAGGATAACTATGTAGTAAAGCTATGTACCAAGGATATAGTTTGTAAGTACTTTACATAGGCAAAGACATAAGTCGGAGCGGATATCAATATGTACACGTTGGATCAGTGATCGAGCGGTAACAGGAATTACCGGTCATCCGGAAGTAAGGGTCTATGTACCAAAGGGGGAAGTATATATCTAAAAGGGGAAAGAGGTCCAGTTGAATGGAGAGGTTATGGAAGGGGACCGGTCGAGCGGTCGAGCGGAAGTGTAGGGGCAGAATGCGGACTTGTGATTGGACGGAGTGGAGGATGGATGGAGCGGAGGGGGTCGGAAAGCGGAGCGGATATCAATATCGGAGCGGTTGGATCAGGTATATGACAACAGCTTTGGCTGCAGTCCAGTTCTCCATACAGGCGCCCAGTGTCGTTGAGTCTGCCATGGAGGATTCACCAGTTCAATGTCAAACATCATCCTTGAATCAATCTACCTCAGCCTCAGAAATGAAATACCAGCTGCAAAATAGTCGTGGATCAGCGGATCCTGAGCCGTCCAATCGCTTTGCTGAGAAATTGCCGTCCATTGCATGGAGCCATGCTGGTGACAACATTGGCTCATCAGACTGCTATTAAATTTATGTAATTGCATTAAACAAATTGTATCAGATCTAGGCAGGAGGATTGTTACCTTGAATGCGCAGGAAGGACAAGCACCGTTCATCTGCCAGTTATCAGGATCTTTGCCCAGGATCCGGTCAACACGATTCCGAACTTCCCGCAAGATTTGCAGATAGATGTCAAATGCATTTGAAAATTGTTTGTGAAGCTGCTGAAAATATGTTACCTGTGTGGTAAGTGAGTACAACATCATAACATAACACTCTGCAATGCTTACATTATGAAGCACACACAAAACCTTCGTAATCGCTTGGATACTGAATGAGGACTGACACTGTTGTATTTGGTGATAGAGTTCAAGGCATTCTATGTGAATAGCGATGGTTGGCTGTAGTGGGGAGCACCCCAAAAGCCCCACATGAAGGAGGGCTACATTTGCTGGTTCATTAGGACGTTGCTGAATGGTGATGGCACGTGCGAAATCTTTAAATGTGTGATTGAGAGTGAGTAAGGGCCATGCATTAAGAGAATGAAGCCTCACCAATAATTCCAATGGCATCAACGTGGAATATATTAGATGCAACAGTATTGTCATCAACAGTTGGCACCTCATGTTTCCATGCCAAGTAGGCATCCACGAGGGTGGGCATCTGCTCCTTCCAAGCGGCATCAGCATGCTGGTGACGCTGTCTTCGGGTCCGCATGTCAATGTGCCCATGTACACGAGGCTCCCTAGAGATAAACATTAGGTACCTGTATAGTCGAAAAAAAAATAACTTACTGTTCTTGAGAGCACGTCTTGAAAAATTCAGACAGAAGGGGGCTGCCCACAGGCTCGTCCTCAGCTAAGTCATCTGGGCAGCCATTATCATCAAAGGTCTTGTTTCCAAAGTTCATGGTCTCAAGGGAATCATGCCCAGCTTCCAGCTGAGCTTCAGCGAGCAGCTCCTGCATGTGTCAGGAATTGTCTGATGGTAGTGAGTGAAAGACCAGTGTGAAAATAATTATCATACCTTGAGTCTGGCACTGCTCTTGCTCCCTGAGAAGCCGCTGTTTTCGTATTTGAGTGAGCAATGATCTGGTGGTCTGAATATTCATAGAACTACTCAGAAGAGTCATGGTGACCCTCGATGATGTTGACATCCGTTTCCTTGGGGGGACCATGGTGGTGGTGGTGGTGGTGGTGGTGTTGAACTGAAGCAAGAACATGTTGCAGAAAGAGTAAAGCAAGTGGCGGTAAAGGCCAATCAACACGAGGTTGGAGTAATGATGACACAGAGGAAAAGAGAGCCATGTGGGAATGCGGAGGATGTCGGTGATGCCATCAGACATCCATCAAGAGAATGAATATCGAAAGAACAGTGGGATTTGGGCCAGGGACAAGCAGGATAGCGAGCTCATCGTCAAGGACAATGCAGAGGCTGAAAGGGAAGGGCGTGAGAAGCTTCAGAAGGCGTAGTGACAGCATCTTACCTTGTGGTTCCTGGCAGGAGATAAATTATCTGGGACAATGATAAGGAAAAGAGAGCCATATGTGAATGCAAAGGATGTTGGCGCCATCAGAAGTCCATTGGGAGAATGAATATCAAAGGAACAGCAGGATTTGGACCAGAGACAAGCGGGATAGCAAGCTCATTGTCGAGGACAATGTGGAGGCAGAAAGAGAAGGGCGTGGGAGCTATCAGAAGGCATAGCGGCAGCATTGTACCTGGCGGGAGATATCCAGGGCAATGACAAATCAATCAGGTAAGCCAACCTTATCATTTATTTCCCCACTCTCTCAATATTCCTAAAGTCAGTGCTAATTGCTGCGGGTATCGCTGAAGTACTGCAGCATAGGTTTCCCCCCCTCGTTAGTAACAAACATGTCACACTATACACATCACTAATAAGTGTGGGAACAGGTGTTACTCAGGTGCTCAAAATGGACTGCCACTATAAGCTGATCCCAGAATTGGATTTCCACGACTTCATTGGTCGCGTAGTTCTCGACAATCTCTGTCCGACCGAACACGATGCTGTCAAAGGGTAAGAAGTCAGCGTCGTATGTTATGCCTATTGACTCGACTTTAGAAAAAACTGTGGGCTGTATGAACGGTGTGCGATGATATGCTTCGAGGCGGTCAGCACTTGGAGAATGTCACCGATCACCGCTTGCCAATTGAGAAAGGAATGATCAAGGGCAGACTTGGATGTATAGGGGAGAAAGAACTGCAGTTAACCCACGACTAACTTCGGATGAACACCCATTCGATGATCGATGATAGCAGAGTTCGAAAGGACTGATTATCTTCGATGAAAATGATAAATCACACCAGGCTACCAAGTGGGCCTATAACGGCGATCGCTGAAGAGATCAGAGGAAGCGGCGCTAAGAACATTCCAGGAAAAAGAAGCTCATAATGTGGAATACCACGTGTGGGCGTGAATTTGAATGCAAGGGAGCAGCGTATGACCCAATCAGGTGAACCGTGCTTCTTGTGTCTTCGCATACCCCTGCAATACCAATAGTGGTTGGAATAACTTCACTTAGATTCCTGTAACACATTCAAACAGTTATTCATGTCATGATCAGGCTATAAAAGCGTCCTACCATGGGACATGGTTAGTTGAAAGGTTGCTGTTGCACCGACCGAATGATTGTGCCTGCCCACGCCAAAATCTTGGTATCGAGTTTGTTTCTAGATCGAAGGCTTGAATTCATAATCACCCCATATTCGATGGTGGTGGGACATGCGATCAGACTCGTTGATTCATCTGGAAAGCTGCGGCGACACGAGTTGGCCGCATGATCTCAGTCGCTTAGATCGTCAAAATGGGCGTTTATGATAACAGCCTCATGTCTTGGGCGTCTAGTAGGAAGTTAATGCTATGAAGGAGCATAAAAACGCCCTAGTACACGCACCTCTGCAACTTCAAGCTAAACAGCCTCCTACAATCCCCCACCTAGTCCACCTCGACCGGCGGTGTCAACCTCCAGAAAATGGCGCAGCTCATTCCGAGAACCATACCCGTTCGAGTGTTTGAAGATCATGAATCCCGTGTATCCGCAATCGCAGTTTTCCCCGACAAACGACGTATAATCACATCCTCGAACGACAAGATGCTTTGCCTCTGGGACATGACAACAGGTGTGGTGTTGAAGAAGATGGAGAGGCACGGTAGTCCTGTGCAGGCATTGGCTGTATCACGGGATGGGCGGTTGATAGCAAGCGGTGATACCAATGGAGAACTCATTGCATGGGATGGTGAAACCGGCGAACCTCTCATCCAAGCTATCAGTGCCCACACCGGTTGGATACTATCGCTCGACTTTTCTGCAGATGGCAAAGTGCTGGCCAGTGGTTCATCAGATTCCACGATAACGTTTTGGAACACAAACACGTGGAAGCAGGAAGGAAATGCAATTACTATTAGTTCTGGTTCAAGCGTCCGCTGCGTTCGGTATTCGCCGTCATCGTCCCCACCACTTATTGCTGTTGCAACAGAGCACAATAATATCCAAATTTACCACGCTGGCTACTACGCATGGAACAGCCATTCATACCTTAATACCTATTCATACGACAGCTATTATTCACGCAGATATTCATACAACGACCCCATCTATTTCTTCCAAGCTCAAAACAAGGCAGCGGTCAGTGGATACAACCAGTGGTCACTCGCGTGGACGCCCGATGGCAAACGCCTTCTCTCAGCGAGCGGAGTGGGTGATTTTGTCATACGAGAGTGGGATTCGTCGACCTGGAAGCAGATCGGCGAGCCCTTGAAGGGCCATTTCAAGACTATCCGCGCTATCTCCCTGAATTCTGATGGCACTCTCCTTGCCTCCGCATCTGATGACCACCGTGTCCGCCTCTGGCGGCTCTCAGATCGACGAACTATCGCCGTATTCAAGCATTATGGCGAGGTGAACTGCGTCACCTTCTCCACAGATGACATGCATATCCTCAGCGGAGGTGCAGATAAGAAGGTGTCGGAGTGGCCAGCATCCGAGGACGCGTTTCCAGAGAATGGTCCAGAGAATGGTCTCATGAGGGGGCAAGTGACGCATCAGGTAAGTTGGTTTTTCCTTTTCCCGCTCCTTCATCATCTGAGCATCTTTTATATTCCAAGCCTCAAGCCTACTCTGATTTCAAGGCATGTTCCCTCCTTTGATTCTGATAACGCAATGTGAACATGCCCTACGCAGGTCCTCGCTATTAAACCAACAGTCCGCAATGCGTGCATAGCTGGGGACTTTCTTACCGCTGAAAAGGTGCTAAATCTAGAGATCAACGCTGGTGCCAGCGATCACGCCTCCTATTCTAGTCGCGCTTTTGTCATGGCGCGAAAACGTGACTGGGACCATGCGCTTCATGATGCAATTCGAGTAAGATAGACCCACTCATCATGGCCTCCTTACGAAAACTAACTTAAACGGCGACATAGTCCATCAGGATTCAGCCCTCGTTGGCAGGCCATATCTCCAAGGGCATTGCCCTATGCGCAAAGAAGCAGGTCCGGGTCGCGAGGACATCATTTGATCTGGCCTCTATGTTTACGAATGGAGATTTGAAGACCGATCATTTCCTTTTCTTCATCAAGGTAGGCAATATTTTCTTTCATATCGCATGCTTCATTGCGATTTCCAGACCGTCGCGCTGTTCGATGCAAATGAACATGAAGAGGCAATGCAGCGCATAGAAGAGTTAGCTATGTGTCCCAATGCTGATTCTCTTGCTTGCCGTATTGTGGAAGTGAGCATCATACACTCTATCACGCTGCATGGTGTAAAGGCCGTCTGCTGGCACTGATATTTTTATCCTTCGCACATCAGGCGTATTTACGCGTCCAACTGGGAAATGTTGCCTTCGATGGTGCGCGCTACAACGACGCTGTTGACCACTTCGCTGCTGCCGTCAACGCTAGCACTCTCTTTTATAAATTGGAAATTCATTCTATGTACGAGGAATTTGTCGTGGTACGCTGATGTGATGTAACCGGACATCCTCTTCATGCTCAACTCTATTTTTGCAGCTGTTCGGCTGGGACCTCAATTCTTTGTGGCAAACCGCGCACCAGCAACACTGTCGTGCACTCTTTCGTGCGGGCAGAATTGGAGCAGCTATCGAATCACATCAATCCATCATGGAGATGAGTGACGAAGATACGCATGCCAGCCTATGTGCTTGGTTCGCTGGTAAGTATTCAGTAATGTTACCCCGTCTAGAATCCTCAACTGCTCTTCGCTCAGCTCTCAAGTAAGAACGAAGCGCACTAGCTGCTGCGCTCCCGTAGAGCGCTTACTCATACAGCTTGAAACAAAGAGATCCTCGATCCGTTTTTATTCGTACCTTGGCAGGATCTGTATAGCGCAAATAGCCCTTTGTACTCGTCAAGTCGTATCATATGTCGACTTACTTGAACAGGACATCTACAATGCTTACACCCACCGTTCGACCCATGCCATTCGCCGTCGATTCGTCGAGATTCAAGTTCTGACCTTTGATCGATCCACCGCTTCCCCTGCACGCATTTCTTCCATGTGCCCCACTCAAATTGGACTGCCGCTGTAAACTGAACAATTTTCTCCCAGACTTGGAATTGCCGCGACTTCATTGGTCGTCTAACATGCGTATTTCTCGACGATCTCTATCCGATCAAACATGACGCTATAAAAAGTAGGAAGTCGGTGTCATACGCTATGCTGAGTGACTCGACTTCACGCAACGCTGTGGGCTGTGCGAGCGGTATGCGATGGCATTCTCTTATAGCGGCCAGCGCTTGGAGAGTATGTCACCGATCATCGTTTACCAACTGAGAAAACAAAGGATGAAAGGGCAGACATGCATGCAAAGGGGGCCAAACCTCGAATCCATAGAATTACAGTTAACCCATAACTGACTTGGATGAACACCCATCTAGTGGATGATCGATGATAGCAGGTTTTGGAAGGACTGATTATCTTCAATCTAAATGGCAAATCACACCAGGCTACATATGCCAACGGTGATCGCAGAAGAAATCAGAGGAAGCCCCGATAAGAACATTCCAGGGAATAGAAGAAGATGTAGAATACCACGTGTATGGGTGTTAATTGAAATGCAAAGGAGTAGCGCATGGCTGAATCAAGGAACCGTATTTGTTGTGTCCACGCATACCCATGCGGTGAGAGTGGTCGGAATACCTTCACTTGTCTTCCTATAACGCGTTCAGGGGTCATTTGTGCCATGCCATAGGACTCTTACCTTCAAGTTGGAGCATGATTAGGATCGGAAGGTTGCTGTTGTGCCGGACGAATTTGAGCTGGTATAACGGCCATCAAACATTGTGCCTGCCCACACCTTGACGGTCGAAGGCTTGGGTCCATTCACCCCATATTCGATTGTGTTTCACCTACAGTCAGACATGCGATCAGGCTCGCGACTGATTTGGAAAGCTGCGGCGAGGATGCATGACCTCAGTTGCTCAGATGGTAAAGCAAGGTAATTACGATAACAGCCTCATATCTCGGGCGTCTACTAGTTAATGTTATGAAGTACTTAGCACAAAAACGCCTTCTTACACGCAACTCTGCAACTGCGAGCTAAACAGCCACCTACTACCCCCAAAGTTGTGACACCTCGACCGTGCTCAAAACCGTCAACCTCCAGAAAATGACGCAGCTCATTCCAAGCACCACACCCGTTCGAATGTTTGAACAACACGAAGCACGTGTATCCGCAGTCGCAATTTTCTCTGACAAACAACGTATGGTCACATGCTCGTACGACGCGATGCTGCTTCTGTGGGACTTGACGACAGGTGTAGTGTTGAAGAGGATGGAGGGGCATGGAAGTCGGGTGCAGGCATTAGCGGTATCGCGGGATGGGCGGCTGATAGCAAGCGGTGATATCAACGGAAAACTCTTCGCATGGGATGGAGAAACCGGCAAACCGCTCACCCAAGCTATCAGTGCCCACACCAGTTGGATATTATCGTTGGACTTTTCTCGAGATGGCAAAGTACTGGCCAGTGGATCATCAGACTCTACAACGAGGCAGTGGGACACGTCAACGTGGCAGCTGCATGGGCATCCAATCGATTGTGGTGCAAACGCGATCATCCGCTGCGTTCGGTATTCGCCCGCGTCACGGAGCGGAGAAATTAGACTTCTTGCAATTGCAACAGAGCACAATGTCCAAGTCTACGAAGCTGGTTACGGCAGATGGAACTCTCGCGGCCCTTATCGCTTCCAGGCTCGGAGCATGGCAACGATCGGTCAAGGATCCCACTACTACTCACTCGCGTGGACATCCGATGGTACACGCCTTTTCTCAGCGGGCGGAAGGGCATATATACAAGAGTGGGATTCATCAACATGGCAGCAGGTCGGCGAACCCTTGGAGGGTCATTGCAAGACTATCCGTGCCATTTCCCTGAATTCTAACGGTACTCTCCTTGCCTCCGCATCTCGTGACAACTATGTCCGCCTATGGCGACTCTCAGATCAACGAACTATCGCCGTATTCAAGCACTCTGCCGAGGTGAACTGCGTCACCTTCTCCACAGATGGCATGCACATCCTCAGCGGAGGTATGGATAAGAAGATATCGGAATGGCCAGCATCCGAGGCCGCGTTGCCAGAGCATGGTCCAGAGAATGGTCTCATGAGGGAGTAGGTGACGCACCAGGTAAGCTCCTTCTTCCTTTTCCTACCCCTTCATCATATGAGCGTCTTTTTTATGTCAAGTCTCAGGTCTATTCTGATTTCAAGGCATGTTCCCTCCTTTGACTCTGATAACGCATTATGAACATGCTTCATGCAGGTCCTCGCTATTAACTCAACACTTCGCAATGCATACATAGCTAGGGACTGGCATATTGCTGAAAAGGTACTAAATCTAGAAATTGACGATGGTGATGGCGATCACACTTCCTATGCCAATCGCGCATTTGTCATGGCGCGAAAATGCGACTGGAATCGCGCGCTTCATGATGCAATTCAGGTGAGATATATTGATCCATAATGGCCCCCATGTAAAGTTAACCTCAATTGTGACATAGTCCCTCGACATTCAGCCCTCGTTTGCAGGTTATATCTTCAAGGGAATTGCCCTCTGCGGAAAGAAGCAGGTCCGGGTCGCAAGGACATCGTTTGACCTCGCGTCCATGTTCACGAACGGGAATTTGAAGACCGATCATTTTCTTTTTTTCATCAAGGCACGTAGTATTTTTCTTACATCCTTCATCCTTCATTACAATATTCAGACCATCACGCTGTTCAATGCAAGTGAACATGAAGAAGCGATGGACCGTGTCAAAGAACTAGCTGTGTGCCACGATGCCGATCCTCTTGCTTGTCGTATTGTGGAAGTGAGCATCATGCCCTCAATCATGTGCTGGCACTGATCCTTCTGCTCTTCGCACTGATCAGGCATATCTACGCGTCCAATTGGGAAACATCGCGTTTAATGGCGCGCGCTACAATGAAGCTATTGACCACTTCGCTCCGGCCGTCAATGCTAGCGATTGCTTTCATCAATTGGAAATTCATTCGATGTACGAGGAATTTGTCGTGGTACGTCGATATAATGTAACCAAATATACTTTTCGTACTCAGCTGTGTGTTTTGCAGCTGTTCGGCTGGGACCTCAAGTCTTTGTGGCAAAACGCAAACAAGCAACACTGCCATGCGCTCTTTCTGGCAGGTAGAATTGGAGCAGCTGTCGAATCGTACCATTCCATCGTAGAGAAGAGTGATGACGCTATGAAGGCCAGAATATGTGCTTGGTTCGCTGGTAAGTATTCAGTAATGTCACCCCGTCTATAATCCTCAACCACACTTCACTCAGCTCTGCAGTAAGAACGAACCGCGCTAGATGCTGCGCTCGCGGCCAGCGCTTACCCATAGTATGAAGCACAGAGGACCTCCAGCCGTTTTCATTTGTACATTTACAGTATCTGTATTACACAAAGAGCTCTTTGTACTCGTAGCATACACTGGCTCACTTGAACATAATATTTGCCACAACGCTTACACACACCGTTCGACGCGTACCCTTCACCGTCGGTTCATTCGAATTCTGGCATTCAAGTTTGATCGAGCTATAGTCTACTGACCATGCACAATTTTCTTCAAGTGCACACCACTCAAATTGGACTGCCGCTGCCAGTGTAAACTGACCAATTTCTCCCTAAACTTGAAATTGTCGCGACTCCATTGGTTGTCTAATACACGTAGTTCTCGACGATCTCTGTCCGATCGAACACGACCCGAGGCCCATGTATTCTTCGAGAGAGGCAGTGGGATAGCCCCATCGAGCAATACACAGATTCGTGTCGTTGTAATGTATTATTTGCTGCAACTGTAGCGCACCTGTGATGCATTTTTGCTACAATTGTAGCACTCTCCCCTCCCCTGCAGTACTGCATCCTGATGCATGATGTATCCCCTCCTCTGCAGTACCAGTATATCCGGTGTGATGCATCCTTGTGCACCATCGCATTTTGTTGACTGTGGGAACTTTGTCACTACACCCAAAACATAGTCATTTTTAATCATCTCCTGAATCTCAACATTCGGATGATGCATCGAATGCATGCATCCGATGGGTGCATCATCATGCATCATGCATTGCCCTATATTGCTGTTGATGCATCAGTTTTGGCAGGCCTACAATTGTAGGAAAAATGCATCACTACTAACGCTGCAAGAATAGCATAATTACTTATTATACTCCAGAAAACCGATGTGCTTGTGGTTGCGGCACTATTACTTGTTTTTTCCATACATTGCCCAAAGTTTGTTGTCTCGAATATAAGATAACACCTCATGTATTATCAGAGCTTTGAGAATTCAAAGGATTATTAATAATTAGACGAATTATTGAAAATTTAGATAACTTGGAAAAATTTAGGGCGACAAGGTTTTCCTGATGCAGCTGACAAGTGTCCAAGCTTGTATTTAATTCAATACGCAATTTCATCAACGTCCGACGGTCTTCTTCAACAGCGTCAGAGCCTTGCTTCCTGCACTCTGCTCGTCCCTCAGCTTGGTCCTAAGCCTTCCCAGCGCCTTGCCCAACTGGTTTTGGCCTTTCCGGTCTGCTCCGACGCCCCAGAATGAGTCCTTATCGGAATCCTGTCACAATGTATAAGTAAAAATTTGGCATAGCCCTCACATTCCGCTAACCTCGACAAGCTCTGCATCTCCAGTGGAGAGCAGCTCTTCCTTCAAATGTCGGTTCTGCGTGAATTTGTGCCAGAGAACGAGATCCATCTGATTGTTTTTGCTATTAATTGGACGGAATCGCAGATGAAACTGATTCTTGCCATCTCGATCCTGACTTGCAGCCAATCAGATCGCACTTCAGGATTGAACCTGTGGGTTTCGTCAAAGACCACACGCGGGCGTGTAGAACAGGTTCTTATGTGCTCTGCTAGTTCGGGGCGGTGTTCCATGAACTATTGCAGTGGTGAGTCAGATAACGACATTGTTCGTGATGTTCCTCACCTTCAGTGACTGGAAGAGGTGTTCACTCGTAGGGTACGTCTTTCCTTTGTACTCGATTGGATCGGAAGAGAAATTGGTGAACCCATAGTACGGATCATGGGCATGATAGAAGAGGATTTTCTCCGGCTTCCCATTTGGTGATGTCGTACGGGAGGGTAGAGTTGGGCGGGTAGTAGGTGGAGATGACTGAGGAGATGGTGATGCACGGTGCGTCGAGGATGTCTGAGGAGAATGCGATCCATGCGGTGCTCGTGGAGGCTGCGCAGGGCTTGTATCGGTGCCGAAGACCTGCAGGCTTGTATGAGAAATACTAACTTTCCCGCCATCCGACGAGTATCCACGATCTTCCTCGAGCTCCTTTTTGATTCGGTCGATCTTGCGAGGACTCAGAGGTTCGGTTGAACTGACTCGAAACGTTTGGACAAGGTCCATATGGTGTGTCAGGAGTCTTTGGTTACTCTTGTCCTTGCTGGACACCGGCGCCTTCTGAGACTTGCGAGACGATTGCAGCGCCGCACCTTGGTTCACTTGACTTAAAGTGGGCTTCATACTCGTCGCTATGATACGTCAGTCTCTGTACGATGCAGCTTATGTATGGGGCGCGACATTCTTATTCCCATGCAACATGTGTTGCCGACACGTTGCTCCCCCGAGGAAAACTGGATCTGTGACGTTAATAATGATCCGTTCCGGAGGTAGCGCCGTAGTAGGCCTGCTTCGCGCCCACGTAGGGTGTGCATCACACGTGGGTCATATCCGCAGCCAGCTATCTTGTTAGTGAGTGGTCCCGAGGTCTTCACGTTTCCTACTACAATGGCTACAACTATGCGACGAGATGCAAATATGTGCGAGGTATGTCTCGCTACCGTTCTCCTTGCTATCTATCTCTAAGACGTTGTCGGCGATAGACATGTGGTATCAAGACGAGATTCGTTGACCCCAGTGGAATGCAACACTCGTACTGTGGTCGCACGTGTGCTCGTACTGGAGTAGGAAAGGCAACATCCGAATGCCTACTCAAAGGCTGCAGTAACCCAGGGACTGCGGCTTTCAATGGCTTTTGTTCGGAGGATCATGCCAAGTAAGTTGCAGCGAATAAGCGCTTCTTGAGACGGAAACTCACAGTCGACTAGGAAAGGGGGTGGGGTTTCTCCCCCGCTAGCTTCTCCCGGCCCCAATACGCAACTACAAACTCACAACCACAACGGTGCTGGGCGTACAAAGCCTCAAGCTCCCTCAGATATCGTTCACTTGTCTGAAATCAGTTCTGCGACAGTGTGGCGAGAATGTACGTGGCATTATTATCACGATTGTGCTATTGATGAACCTCTTTCCAAGTTGTGAGAGAGTGGAACAGCAAGTGGCTGTCCCAGGAAGGGTCGGCATTGGTGGAAAAGCTGTATGAAATATCTTATCCAGCTAGAATATCTGATGCCCAAGATAAATATCTGTCAGTGGCTTGTCTTTCACCGAGCTGAGTGCTATTAGACTTAGTGGTCCATAGACAGGATATAAAAGCTGCTGGGCAACCCCGCGTTCTACGCACCTTCCACGCATCTCAGTGCATCTGCGATATGGGAACCAAGGGTCCCATGCTTTGCAAGTGGAACTCGTGCGGCATCTGCAATGTCGTAGGTTCGGCTTTCAAAGGTGTCGCCTTCGGTGTTCCATACAATATAGGGAGGTGAGCATTCATCTTCATTTCATGCTTGATGTTTTCATCATTGTCGTTATTCATCCTCAAGACAAGGAAAGGGGCTGTACTCCTCGAGAAACCCAGCTTCCGCCGATCGACTTGCTACATCATGCTTGTCTTCACCTTACCGCGTCATGATCGCCTGCGATGTCGTTTTACCACAACCCCTCGACAAGAGCACTTCGGTAAATGTCTTGGACTTGAATCAAAGCTCTCATTCACGTTGTACATGCAGGTTGTCGCTGGCGACAGGGTAGTTGTTCGAGTATCAGAAGCGATTGTTCCCAGGTTCATTGTGATGTACACGAAGCAGACTTGAACCTTGCCTTCATTAGTTTTGGACGGTCTTGATTATTTATTTATGTATTGCATTCTTGATTGGCCGCAAATCAAGCTTTCGCCGGAGCTATTTCGATCCCCTCGTGCTTCCGGATGATCCGGCAGCACGCAGTGCCTTCCCTTGATCGAAAGAGCACAAGGAGGCAAACAGATGACCCCAGAATCACTGATGGGCGCACCCTTTTTGCCGATATAGTTGTCTTTGGTCTAGTTGCAGTGCTCCATTCCAGGAAGATAGCCTCATGCACTAACATGCGGATGGCACGTTGTAGTATGATACAATCCACCCCAACGCCTGGGCTGTTTCCGCAGCCTCATGCCGATGGCCACCTCTATAAACCACGACGCGATTTTGAACTGGGCAGCAACTCAGATAACATCAATGGCTACTGGACTTTGCGAGGTCAGCGATTGCTTACCCTGTCTCTACCGGTACACCCTTGAATTTTCCCGATGTAGAACTGTCATAAGACGCCAAAATTCGGTACTCATAAGTACTGTGGCAAAACGTGCGCCGCTCAAGCGGCCACTACGCAGCAACCTGCGCGTCGCGCGAAATCAGGACCACTTCCCAATGCAAAAGTTCCTCCACCAGCCTCAAAGCAAGTACGACTCTGCGATGTGAGTGCAGGATCATGATGATCTGACAATCATGAACCATGTTTTGTTCCAGTATTGTGGGCAAAAACCGAAGTTCAATAACTTTGATTATTGCGGTAAATCGTGCGCGTCGAAAGCCGCTACCACTCCTCCTGTGCAGCCTGCTGTACAAGGACGATCTGCGCCGAAGCAAGGTGTTCGCCTTCCTGCCACTGCTCAGCCTGTGCCGCCACCTGCTCAGATTCAGCACATCAAAACATCTAAATCAGCAATGCGCCACGCAGCTACAACTGTAGCCAAAGGTTGCTGATTATTACTCCTCTGACTGAGTCGATACTTACCTATTTTTTTGCAGATGATTCAAGTGAGGATTGTGACGATGATGAGTACCCTGACGCGGATGAGGAAGACGAAGACGACACGGGTACCGGCACAGACCTGGACGCCTATCCATCGGATGACGACGAAGAACCTGCTCCAGCTCCTCCGACACGATCAGTCAAGACTGCGCACGCTCCGCTGAAACAAAGCACCCCAGCCCGTCGTGCAGCTGGCACCTGCCTTGTCCCCACCTGTGGAAAACCATCTTTCGTTGATAGAGGTGGGGTTAAAACAGAATACTGCTCCACACGCCACCGAGAGTAAGTAGTTACAGGAAGTCGATTTCCGTGAGATACTAAATTTCTTTCAGAGAAGCGGTGACCCTCGGACTGGTTCCTGGATGCATTATGTGTCAACGCTACCCACAGAGTGGAATGGATTACTTCTGCTCTACCGCTTGCAGAAATCAATCTATGACGAAAATCTAGAGGGCCGTTTCATGTACTCACTCATATTGCGACAGCTCTGTACACTAGGCGTAAAGTTATGTTAGGACCGTGATGAAGCTATTTGTTGGTAATCGCGGAATCTCTGTAAGCGAACAGGGTTAGAAGAACGGGCACTGACAGTAAGGTTGCTGAAGGCTGAAGCTGGAAGGAATTTTCTCAATATCACGTGGAAGCGATTGATTTGTGATATCACCCTCCGTCCTTCGAAACTGGCTACTCAAGTAAGTGCGTGCCCCCTTATTTATAGCCATCGAGGGCTGGTCGATGATATCTAAACGCTATCCCGAGCATAAGAACATGGCAGCCTATTGTGGTGTCTAATATCGACTCAGATGACCGGATGACCAGGTCTGGTTATCATGGTGAAGCTGGAGCGAGGAAAAAAGGTGCCAGAAAGATGTTTAAAGATGCATTCAACATGTGCAAAGCCATTCCATGTTGCTAGCTGACCTAGATCATTCACTAATACGTAGCATCGAGTCGCATATCAATGTACTCCCCTGCTGTCACAGGCTCGTACTTCTTAGGTCTGTCTTCACTCCAACAACCAGGAAGGCAGTCAATCAAAAGATCTCTGTCAGCAGACATAAACTAATCCAGCATCAATATCAAACATATATCGATCGTCTGCAGGAAGCTTACATATGGGATCGAGAAGCGCTCCTTGACCATTCCCGTCCCATCGTTCGGGGGTGCACGAACGCGGTGCAGTGTTGATTTGAGCGTGTCTGATTAAAAAAATGAGATATGATCTTGTGGCGAAGAAGAAGAAAGAAGTCGCTCAAAAAATTGCACCATTTGACCACCGCATCAAAAAATCTCCTATGTTAAAGATGACCGTTCCCGCAATGGGGGTTACAGCAACGAAGTTTCCTGATCCACGAGGGCTTTCAACTTCGAGTCCCCCAACATCGTCTTGGAACAGAATCGTGCCCATGCCATAATCCTATCATCGATGTTAGTGTTGCGGAACCGCGCATCGCTGCCGCTCAAATAATCACTTACTGTGTGTGCACCGATTCTCCCTTTCTCACCGCGTGCGAATACCTCTGCAGGCGCAGCTGGATAATGCAATAGTCACAACTGATTATCTGCATCTTGATGATATTTTCCCAAGAATTCGCCTCCACCAGGGAGCTCAAGCCCTAGAGACAATGCAGGCAACAGCTTCTCCATCTCAAAGTGACGGCATGTGTCAAAGAAACTACATGCTGTCTCTCTGAAACCCGGAAGGACTTGCTCTGGAAGCCACACATTGGATATGCGCGGGAAATAATCGCGCGCGATGTCAAAGGATTCTTTGAAATCGGGAGTATGTTTCCGTATTTTGGCGAGTTGCGCTGGGTCGAATACCTACGCAAGTTAGGATAATCAGTAGCTTGGATAACGGCGAGACATGCCATTTGTGAAACTTGCTCTCTGCCAACCTGAACGCGACTCGTCAACAAGATATACTTATTACGATCTGGTCTTCGCAACCTGGAACAACATACCCCGCTATATCCCCTGTGTTTCCATCCCTCCTTGGGATGCGGAGCCAGCAGCTTCGTTTCGATTGGAAGCGAAAATAACGCCCTGCTCTTGTTGTCCAATCATTCGTTGAAGTGAACTTCACACATGCACAAATATACACACCCATTCAAACATGCTCTCTACCTCCGTTTGAGGGATATCGGTGTTGCAGAAGTATGCGAATCCAACTTCTCGACACGCTTTCACCAGTTGCCTCCCTATCTCTGTCGCTTCCTGCACGTTAAAAAAGAGCTTCAATATCAGAATCGTGTATGGATACCGCACGTACTGGGGAAGTTCCATCCCCGAAGCATGCAAAGTCGATGATTGGGATTGCAGTAGGGTCGAGGATAGTAGCTGTCATGGTTCAACGTTGTGGCACCCGAAGATTGGAGGTAAGTAAGGTCACCCGCTTAGCACTATCAATTTAAATATTGCCCAAGACAACTCCGCCCTAGCTTTCACGGTGCCGCATAATAGCCGGGGTGGGCAAGCCATGGCCTGGGGCAACCTCGAAGAACTTGATCCGTCCAAACACCGTTCGTTTGTACTAGAATGCGTCACTTATGCCACACGATGTCCCATTTTTGTTTCACAAACTCACGTATGTCCACGTTATTATTGTACATAACAGGTTACATCGTGTATAGGGGGAAATTCGGACCTAGATCAAAGTAAGATACCCGCGAGAATTACAGTTATCTTCATATCGATAGGCCAGAATCTACAAAATTCACTTAGCCGCTTTTGTTTGTTGTTGGAGTGACACCAAACAAAGGCGCTCATGCTAGCTAGTACTTTTGTAACTCGTCATCATAACTTGGGACCCGAGTACTATGGCGCTGGATCTGTTCAACTATTCTTCACATGCAAAACTCACACACGCACAGACGCCACACACATACAAACGAGACGCACACACATAATCACTCCGTCGCATACACACTCTCGTACCGTAGAAAAATTAGTACTGCACTATTAGATCTGACATGATTCGATAATCAATTTATATTGCAGACAAGGCTGCTGATGAAGGGTTCTATAAACGAATCTTTTTAAGGCCCGGCTGGTAGACGAGATGGAGCGATGAGAAGTGAGTAGGTCTCGGAGTGAAACGCACTGAGAGTCGCCAGCATTGGCAGCAAAGCCTCGAATCTTTTTAAGGCCTGGCCAGTGGACGAGACGGAGTGATGAGAAGTGAGTAGGTCTCGGAGTGATGATCAATTTATATTGCAGACAAGGCTGCTAATGAAGGGTTCTATAAGCGCCAATCAAGTCGAGTCCAAGGGCAAAAAAAACGCACCGAAGCCGCCAGCATTGGCAGCAAAGCCTCGGCTGGTGGACGAGAGCGAGAAAAGAAGACGGAAAGCTGCCAGTATTGGTGTCAAAAAGATGTTCGCGCTGGGTGGATCCTTGATGTAAGTGTCGATGAGAAGGGCCATCAGCAAAAGTGCCCAAATCTAACAAGGTCCGGCAAGGTCCGGAGAGTCTCCCACGGCCACATGATGCCTTCCGAGGCTTGAATGTATTTGTTCGTCATTATGCAAGGTGCGCATACTCGTCTCGTAAGGCCTCACTACTAGACTCTTTCAACCTCACGGCAGCCTTGCGAGGTGTTTCAAGATCGGCTCAGCAGTTGTCGGCAGCTCTGATCACGGAGCCTGGCCCAATGTTGACACGTGCAGAGTTGGATACCTTGGGGCATCAATGAATTTTATGAATGATCATAGTGCAGTACTAATTTTCCTACAATACAAGAATGTGTATGCGAAGGAGTGATTATGTGTGCGTCTCGTTTGTGTGTGTGTGGCGTCTGTGCGTGTGTGAGTTTTGCATGTGAAGAATAGTTGAACAGATCCAGCGCCATAGAGTACTGGTACAACAACTGCCAACCACCATCATCATGCACAGAAACCGTTGACATATACCAGAGGCTGTGAAACAGCAGTGTGTTGCCATGTCCACACGCGGTATGACGTCGAAGGCCATAGCACAAGTGACGGGATGCGGCCATCGAACAGTCAATCAAGTTCTTCGACTCTCGCGACTCACAGGCTCTGTCGTTCGAAGACCTCTGGAAAGCGGTCGTCCTCACCTACTTACAGCACAGGATGTTGCAGTAAGTGAAAGCACAAAAGGCATTTCGAATTTGATACCTAACTGTTGCAGTACCTTCTCTCATGTGTCGAGCGCACTCCCGACATCTTTCTATTTGAACTACAGAGTGCCCTACGGGAGGCGAGGGATCTCGAGGTGTCCCTTGCCACCATCGAACGAACGCTACATAGGCATGGATTGACACACAAACATGTATGTAAGATATGTTTGCACGTGTAGATTCTAACAGTGTCATACATGCTACTTGACAACCATAATACAACTTGAACTTTGTACGAACACAAGCATTACTTGACAATTACCTTTGACAACATTGTAATGTCTTACAGCAAGGACTTTGTTGCGTGGTGGTGAGGGTTACCTACAGTTAGTAATAGCCATCACTATGTGCAGCTGGTCGCAGATCAGTGCGCGGTGGTGTGGTTAGGTTATAATTAAAGACCAAAAGCAGCTAGCATGAGCGCCTTTGTTTGGTGTCGCTCCAATAAACAAAAGCGGCTAAGTGAATTTTGTAGATTCTGGCCTACTATCACTCCTGGGGTTCTGCAACATTTTCAATAAATCTTTTGTAACTCCTCAACCACATCATATTTTCTTCTACGGATTTGCACCATTATAGATTCGTAGCTGCTCTATATGAATCTGATTTTTGCTGATTTTAAGGATTTTGTGGTGGAGTGTCGGATGAAGGCCGAGAAAATTCAGGGTCTGACTGGTATTCTGCAAAACATGGTCACGTCGTGTCACACATCGGCACAGTAGCGGCTTTCACTTGGAGGAGATTGAATTTCTTACACACTCTCCTATCTGCTGTCACGCTTTCATACATGTCGTCAATCCTCTGTCTATAGCATCTTAAAACGAGAGAATGGCCTCTATCGAAATTGTGTTCTGACACCCTGACGAGGTGTTTGATATGCTCCGGGTGTAACTTTTTGAATATCTCTCTAGGATCTTTGGGATCTGGATCATTTATGATTATACAAGGTTGCAAATCACCACTATTCTGTCTCTCGCAGCTGCAACACTCAAGAAAATTTTATTCTACTTGGACAGTACATCATCTCTAAGTAGCCTACATACACATGAATTTTTTCGAGGTGATTCAAGCAGCGCATTGAGGTGTTTTGAACATTTTGCATATTACATGCCAGTTGCAGATTCCCAGGAGTGATAGTATCGATATGAAGATAGCTGTAAACAGCGGTAATGAAAAAACAGCTAGCTCAGCTTCCGTAAACCAACCCAAGCTCCCGTCCCCTCATTCCCCCTCGTCACTCTCACCTTCATCCGGACCTCCAGTATCACCTTCCTCGCTCTCCTCATCCGACCCGTTGTCCACAGGAAGTGTCATAAGATCATTCAAACTAGAGGAAATATCAGCCCACGCACTCCAAAAGCATACTCAAATGAAAGTATTCCGTGCGAATGGCGCTGAAACGAGTAAAGCAACCACTCACCAATGGACAAATGGCGTCATCACATCCGCAACCGCACGTAGTACATCCATAAACTCGGAACCAGGTGCAACGACTTGGGCATCTGTGAACCGGTAGGAAACTGCGAGGGAGCGGCATTTGAGGAGGGCAATGTCTCTAGTAACGCGTAGCACAAAATAAAATACGCCCATTAGCCTTGATGACTCGAAGTATACCTTACCACGTACTTGTGATTCTTATCCACACCCTTTGGTGCGACCTTCAATTGATCTTCATGCCCAAACACACTCTGACGTTCTCCTCGCGGGTGTGGACGGGGAGGGCCGAAGTGGGTAGTGAATGCTTTAGAAGAAAGGATAGTGTGCAGCGTCTTAGCAGCGGGTGTGGAGCGAAGTAGGTGATTTCTGTCAGACAATAGAGGGTATGAAAAGGATCATGGAAATAAAAGTGGAGATGAGACGGACCTGAGAGTTGTGAGTTCGTTCTTAGCAGGACACCATGCCCCTGCGGCGATGACGCTCTCGTTACCCGGCTTGACTAATAGTCATTTGTGTCAGCGTGTATCGAACCAGTATTTTTGGCTATGACAGACTCATTCTGTATGCGTAAACAATCCAGTCAGCTTATGCGGCTTTGATGTCAAGAGGTGCGTACATGTGGTCTGCGAAAAGTTAAATATCTTGAGCGGAAGACAAAATGATACGAAGCTCACAAAAAGCAAAGATTCCCTTCCTGCCACTCCTCGAGAAACTCGCAGATAACCCTCTCTTGTATGGCGTTTTATCATTACTGAAGCGGATCTACGCGCACGACATGAGGCCCAGATCCACAGAAGGAACGAACATAAGGACAAACATCTCTATAAATGCGATGTATGACGTCTTTGGGAGGCAGCGGGGGAATCTGGGAGTCGACCTCTGTAAGCATGTTAGTGAACTCCTCGATAAACTCCTTGAACTCCTTCTCAGTGCGACGATATACTGGCTCTGTTGCCAAGTAAGCCTAGAGCTTCGGTACGATGCACAGGCATCACATACCGTGTAGCTTGAACCTAGAGGCGCACGACGTCATTTTAGTCAACGATAAGCGAAGGCCCTGATAGAAGCACGAACCATTCGCGGTCGTTACACGCGGGGTCTTTGAGATGCGCTAGAAAATCAAGCGTGTTCTGTGAAATCTGGCCAGGTGGCACTTCAGAATAGTGAGTATCGTTCATGATGTACGCGTCAAGGGATCAACATACCCCATCCAGTCTTTGGAGCTTGCACAACCCGACCCACAACTTGCTGCCCCTCCTTAAGGTCTATGTCGCTCCCATATGCGTCCTCTTCATCTTTGGTATCATCCTCATTGGTTTTGCGTTTCCTGTACTTGGACTTGGGTTTCGAAGATGAGCCGGATTTGGCATTGGAAGAGCGCGCGCGTTTCTTGGGCGGCGGGTCGTCGAGCGCGTCGCTGTGAAGAGATTCTGGCTCTGAATCTTCACTAGATACCTGAGCGCGTTTACGAGGGCCGACCTTGCGTGTAATTGGCATCGTGGTGTTTTAAAGGAGGATAGAGGGTCCAGACTCCAGATGCATGTGCTCCAAGACCGACAAGACCGACACAATCGCGGGCTTTGAACTTTATATATTATTCTCCCACTCACTTTCCGAAACACGCAAAGCCCAATGTCGTCACAGAAACACGATACTACGACGATTTGTGTGACGTGCGGAACGAGCGGCTACTCATCCATTTTGAAACACCGAGTAGTTTTCATTTGTACCCTTGACTTTCCTTATACACGCAGATCACCCTTTGTATTCGTATCGTATGCTGGCTCACGACAGGAAAGGTTGTCTATAATAGTTACCCATCGCCAACTCGGTTATGAATGGCATAAATGCCATATGGAAATGATTCTGTTCGTTCGGCGCGTGCCCTTCATCGTCGATTCATTGAAATTCAATGTGTCAGATCTCTACACCATCAATGGAGTTGCTATATCCCCTGCATCGCATGTTCCTTCCATCAGCAATTACACCGTTACTGATTTGACCAATCTATCCCCCAGACATCTGTCCGATTTTCTCGCACATGAACTGATCAAGCCTAATCACCTTGATAGAATCGCGAATAGCCAGTGAACAAATGGTGCTAAGGGCCTCAAAATGTCTACCCTCGACAGAGGAATGAAACGAATGTCGAGCGCTCGTCGCGAAACGATTCGGGCTTTGAATTTTCGCCGGGCGACTGAGAACGCTTGTGAAGGCCGACCTCGCGTGCGACTTGCATTATTCTCGACTCTCCCAGACCTATAGAAGAAGGAAGACGGTCTTGCTTACGCCTCGAGCGTCATCCTGGTCAGTTACAGATGCCAAACAACCAGTTTCTGTGAGGTGTATTTGTTACTTACAAAGGAGTTTGGTAAACACGGCCCATCCACTGGCACTGATCCAATTGACGTGTCTTGGCGAAGTCACATCGATAGATCAAAGCACGTGGACGAGACGCTCATAGAGACGCTATCTCAGGCGAAAGGGGTCAGGGACGCAACAGAAGAAAATGCCCTTTGAGCACGCAGGAAGGTGCGTAAGAAAACTCTGGGGTAATGGTAGGTCGAGCGAATTTCGAACAGTGAAGTTGGGCGTTGATTGTGCTTCCAGAATGTCGTAGAGATTTTGCGGCGGTTGCGGATGTGTGTGAGGATGGGTGATGTGATTAAGTTGGCGAGATGAAGAGGAACATGATAAGAAATGAGTATCATTGCGACTGGCACGATCAGACGGGGGCCAAGTCAACATATCAACCTTGAGAGTGGCTGTAAATTGGGTTCAGCCTCATAGTTTTGCCCCAATACCAGCGAAATCAGCTGTTATACAACATTGAGGGATATCTCAAAGTCATTGACAGCAGCGATGGGGTACCAGAAGGCTGTGCTACAGTGACAATTGTAAGAAAGGCTGCGCCTTTAACGATGAAAGCTCGCTTCAATCAACCCTTCAACGACTGTGACATATCACGCACTGCCTTCTCTTCTATTTCCTTTTCTGTCCATATTTACATCAATTCACGTTTAGCCTTTGTCCTTATCGCCATCACCACACGTTCCCAATTATTCTTTGTACCTACGCCACACCTTTCACGTCTCGCTTTGCCTTTCTTCTCGCTACTCGCGCTTTGATAGCGCTTTGTCCATTCTCCCGCCGTATAAAAAGTTACATGTAATTCTCGTTTAATTAGTGAATCAACTCCCTCTCAGTGATCCGTATTCTCGCAGCCGTCCGAACATTCCGTCAAAGTCAAAAACGTCTCTGTCTGCATCATCGTTTGATCTCTAGTCAACTTGCTACCATCCTCTCTCACAATTTCCTACCTTCCTCGATCGATCCTTTCGATTCCCCTTAGAACTCACCTCAGCCTTACACAATTATAATTAGTGTCGAAACGCCGACAAAGGGGGCGACTCAAGCGACAGGCAGGCGAGAAACCGAAAGCCGTCCTGGGTCCTGGACTCACATGGGAGTTGTTGATTCCGGATCTACAGTCCCGGAGCTGTGTTCAGCCAACTGTGACGTCGATGATAGCAGAACTGAAAACTACTGATTATCTTCAATGCAAAGTGCGAACTACGGCGAAATATGTACAACAGTACATGCCTTAGTGCCGATTCCAGAGGAGATGAAATGAATCCCCCACGATCGTCGGATTTCCAGGAGGAACATCCCAAGCAACAGAAGCGCAACATGCCACCTGGGGAATTTCCACTTCTATGGGTGTGAACCGTCTATACTGTCTTCCTATCTGCCGTGCGAACTCCTGCAATGACGGTGGTTGGAATAACTTCAGTTAGCTCTTCCGTAAGGAGTTCAAGAGTCACTCGTGTCATGATAACAATAGTGTACCAGTAGGGCTGCTCAATTCTTGGGAGTACGGCTGTGACTATGTGAGATGGCAGCGTCACGGTGGGAATTGAATTGCGCTGGCCGTGACGTAACGACGCTGAAATACTGTACCTGACCGCGCTTGGATACCGGTATTGAGTTGGTTTCTCAACGGTCGAAATGTCGGGCCCATTCAATAGTCTTGTTCAATACCTGCAGTGATAGTAGATTATGGCATTAGTAGGAGAGCTCGTCGAGTCAGCATCTGGAAAGCTACGGTGACACAAGATGGACGCATCTACCCAGGCACTAAGTTACATCTTCAGGCCCAAAGGCATTTATGATAAGGGCTTGCCGTGTCAAGCGTCTGATGAAGCAGTATAAAGCGCAGTACACGCACCTCTGCAGTCGAGTACAAGACACCCACGACCCACCAACCAAGTCCACTTTGAGTCTTCGACCGTGCTCAACGCCCGCCAACTTCCAGTAAAATGCCGCAGCCCATTCCAAGCACCACACCCCTTCGAGTGTTTAAAGATCATACAGACAACATAACCGCAGTCGTAGTTTTCCTCGATAGACAGCGTATGTTCACCAGCTCAAATGACCACACACTTCGTCTATGGGACTTGAAGGCAGGTGGAGTGTTGAAAAAAAAGAGGGACATCACAGTGGGATGTGGGCATTGGCGGTATCACAAGACGGGCAGTTAATAGCAAGCGGCGATAACACGGGAGAGCTCATTACCTAGCACGGAGAATCTCTCACCCCAACCATCCAAGCCCACACTACATCAATGTTTGGACCCGTCGAAAAACTATCGTTTTACGATCCCTGACATTCCCTGTTTGGTATAGTCTCAGGTGAACTGAATTGATTTCTAAGACTTAAACTGCGCGAAATTTCAGCCGCTTTTGCTGATGTAGTTGGGTCTTCTCGCTTACCTTCTCTCCAGATGCGAACAGTGCTGGCCAGTGGTTTATTCGACGAAACGACGAAACTGTGGAGGTGGCAGATGCAAGAAAATTGAGTCCAGTGTAAAAATAGGGTCTTCCGCGTTCGGTTTTCACCGTCTGGTAAGCTTCTTGTCGGAACAGAGGACAATATCTAAATTTATAATCCAAGCACCAGGGAATGCGTCACAAAATTAGACGCTCACTGGCACACGCCATCACTCGCATGGACGCCCGATGGTACACGGCTTCTCTCAGGGAGCGGTGAAAAGGATTCTACCATACGAGAGTGGGATGCATCGACCTGGACGGGCTATACTGGTGCTGTGTTGGTTATTGCCATAAATTCTGCTGGCACGCTCATCGCTTCTGCATCTACTGACAGCCGTGTCCGTCTCTGGCGTTTATCTGATCAACAAATCAATTACATCTTCCGGCATTCTGACTCAGTGCGATGCGCGACATTCTCCATGGATGGCAAGCACATCCTCAGCGAAGGTAATGATGACATGATATCAGAGTAGGCAGTACCTGAAGATGTTTTGCCAAAGGTACCTTCCCATTAATGTTCCGCCCCATCGTCATCTCATCTCCCGTCTTTTTAATTCCAAGGGTCAAGGTTCTGACTCCAAGGCATGTTCATCCTTAAGCCATATAATGCAATTCGAACATGCTTCATGCAGATACCCACCATAAACACAACCGCCCGCAACGCATGCATCGCGGGAGACCTGTCTGCGGCTGAAGAACTACTGACACAAGAGATCGACGCTGATGCCAACAACTACACATCCTATGTTAACCGTTCATTCGTCATGGCACGCAAACTTGACTGGGACAATGCGTTTCAAGATGCAATTAAGGTAATATACACCCGCTCGGTCCTTAGCATAGGCTCACATCGATCGTAAAATAGTCCATCCAGATAAAGCCCTCATTTGGAGGCTTCATCGCCCAAGGTATCGCCCTCAGCGGAAAGGGGAAAATCGAGGACGCCACGAAAACTTTTGACCTTGCGTTCACGTCGACGAATGGAGATTCAAGGACGACTCATTTCCTGTCCTTGATCAAGGCACGTTTAACCCTTATTACATACTGCACGCTTCATTAAGAGTTTCAGGCTATCGCTCTCTTCAATGCAGGTAAGCATGAAGAGGCAATGTTGCGCGTCAACGACCTAGCCGTCTATTTTCCCGATACCGATCCTCTTGCATGTCGTGTCGTAGAAGTGAGTATCAAGTCGAGGTTCGTACGCTCATTGATTGTTCTACGCTTCGCGCATCAGGCATATCTACGTATGCGAATGGGAACCATTGCCATGGAAGGCAACCTTCACAACGAAGCTCTTGACCACTTCACTGCCGCTGCCGATGCTAGCGCTTCCTTTTCTACATTGCCAGTTGATTCCATGTACGACGGATTCACTATGGTATGTTGATACGATGCACTAAACATGTCTTTCATACTTAACTGCGCGTTTTTTTCGCAGGTTTTCGGGTGCGAACTCAGGTCAATGTGGCAGACCGCAAACAAATATCATTGCCTTGCACTCTTTCGTGCAGGTGATCTTGACGCACTCGACTTGTACCAATCTATGATGGACGCAAGTGATGAAGCTACTAAGGCCAGCTTGCGTGCTTGGTTCTCTAGTGAGTCTCTTCAGTCATGTGACCCATGCCACGGTTCTCAACAACCTTTCACTAGGCAGACCACCGTCCCCGAAGGTTGGGTGCTGTTGACAACGAGGGGAAGGAGAGGCTAGTAAAGCGGAGGGCAGCGGTTTCAAGCCTGCAAAAGCTCTCATCAGGGGGCTGCTGCTACCCCCTACCGCTTGTACTTCTAGTTCTACGTAGGAATCTCCTTAAGCCTTTGTCAATGGGAGTAAATGGTCCATGCTCCAGTACTCCGCTCCCCAAATCGGGCAAGCCAGCAGGTGCAATCGACACTCATGACCCATTGATGGAGAAGTTTACAGAATTAGCCCCTAAGACTACAGGTAGAGAACCAGACTATAGGCCTTTCGGCCCGTCTTCTGGATTTCATAATCGGTATCCGTATAGGTCATAACATAGAGTGTCCGATGACGTATGGTAGCAGGCGCTGGCCGAATCACAGTACCGTTTGTCGACTGCAAGAGTAACTAAACGTTCTAGAACCCACTAATAATGACATTAACGGTCACTAGTCAATGGTATCCAAGGACGGCAACATGGCAGAGTTGTGGCAGAGTGAATCAGATTGCGACAGCTTGTTGCGATGTCTAATAGCAACTCAAATGGCCACATCACTACAAGGTTTGGAAATTATGGTGAAGCTGGAACGAGCAAGAAAAAGTGCCAGAAAGACATTCAACCGGTGGGCAGGACCATTCCATGCTGATGGCTGGTCTAGATCCTTCACTAATACGTAGCATCAAGTCGCATGTCAATGTACGCCCCTGCTGTCACAGGCTCGTACATCTTAGGTCTGTCTTCGCCCCAACAGCCAGGAAGGCAGTCAATCAAGATATCTCTGTCAGCAGACATAAACTAATCAAACATCAACATCAAATACACATCAATCATTGGCAGAAAGCTTACATATGGAATGGAGAAGCGCTCCTTGACCATTCCCGTCCCATCATTCTGGGGTGCACGAACACGGTGCAGTGTTGATTTGAGCGTGTCTGATCAATAAAATGAGGCATAACGTTGTGGCGAGGAAAACAGTCGCTCAAAAATTCACACCATTTGACCACCGCATCAAAAAATCTCCTATGTTAAAGACGACCGTTCCCGGCATGGGTAGTGCAGCAACGAAGTTTCCTGAGCCACGAGGGCTCTCGACTTCGAGCCCCCCAACATCATCTTGGAATAGAATCGTACCCAATGCAAAATCCTATTATTCATCGTCAGCGTCACGGGAGCGCGAGTCGCTGCTGCTGAAATAATCGCGTACTGTGTGCGCACCAGTTCTCCCTTTCTCACCGCGTGCGAATACCTCTGCAGGCGCAGCTGGATAATGCAATAATCGCAACTGATTATCTGCTTCTTGGTGATATTTTCCCAAGAATTCGCCTCCACCAGGGAGCTCAAGCCCTAGAGACAATGCAGGCAACAGCTTCTCCATCTCAAAGCGAAAGCATGTATTAAAGAAAGCAGACGCTGCGTCTCTGAAACCCGGAAGGACTTGCTCTGGAAGCCACATATTGGAGATGCGCGGGCAATCATCGCGTCCGACGTCAAAGGATTCTTTGAAATCGGGAGTTTGTTTCCGTATTGCGGCGAGCTCCGCTGGGTCGAATACCTACGCGAGTTAGGATATCGAGAGCTTGAATGATAGCGAAACATACCATTTGTGAAGCTTGCTCTCTGCCAACCTGAGCGAGAATTGTCAAAAAAGATGTATTGCGATGTGGTCTTCGACAACATACCCCGCTATATCCCCGGTGATTCCTTCCCTCCTTAGGATGCGGAGCTAATAGCTTTGTTTCGATTGGAAGCGAAAATAACGCCCTGCTCTTGATGCCCAATCATTCGTTGAAGTGAACTTCAAGCGTACATGCACTGCATCCCGATAACACACACCCATTCAAACATGCTTTCCACCTCCGCCTGAGGGATACCAGTGTTGCAAAAGTATGCAAATCCAACTTCTCGACATGCTTTCACCAATTGCCTCCCTATCTCTATCGCTTCCTGCACGTCAAAAAGAGCTTTAAGATCAGAAGCGTACATGAATACCGGTGGTACGTACTGGGGAAGTTCCATCACCGAAGCATGCAAAGTCAACGATTGGGATTGCGGTAGGTTCGAGGACAGTACTTGGCATGGTCTAACGTCGTAGCACGCCCGAAGAATCCAATGGAGGTAAGTATAAGGTTACTTACGCGCCGCTGCTGTGCTATGGAGGCCATGGGGCCAGTTGGTTTGAAATAGAATGCTGCCATAAGCTGAGGGTCACTTGGGCTCAGGTAAATTGCTTATTTGCCACATCATTGCCGCACTACTACATAATGCAGTACGTACGTAACTCATGACTGCCGCCGCGAACGACTACGTTTGACGTTCGTTGAAATCTGAACACCATCGATTGCGAGTCACTGCATCCCATGTCAAGTTAACTCCTTCCAACTGAGAACTGAACAATTCCCTCCCAGATTTGCATATACCAACACATCAATGGTCGTTCAGCTCTATCGGTTAATACGCATGCATACAGACCAACGGCGCTGTTTCTCAATTCCTCTGACAGGAACAAGGTACAGGAATGATCGAAGACGGATGATCGCGCATCATCACGATTCTGACGCCGTTCGAGGTAAGAAGCGCCCGCCATTGAATGAGTAGCCCCCAGCTGTTGCTGATCAATGCGTACTGTACCGTCGTGGACGCCAGGTTAATGCGATGGGGTCGTCGCGAGAATGATTGCCTGGTCACTGAACGCCTGAGGTCTGACATTGTGGAGTGAAGTTGCGGTATCCTGTTGGATATAGATATCTCTTGCTGTTCTGAGGATGGAGACATGAGACGTACCTTTACGTACACATGGTGCTAGCTTCCTTGGCCCGAAGTAACTCGAGCTCACATCGCCCACGTGAGCTTTTGCAAATACGGGGGACCAGCACGTACTAGCCCACCGCGGAAGTGTCTGCAAATATGAATAGCATAAACTGACATGGCGCTCGGTCCCTACCGAGTGCTCGAACGAAGTTAGCATGTTCTCAGCGCTTTTGGACATCGTGATGTCATGCCCGTCGTTTATACGGGCGTTTCGGCTTCGAATGCAGAAGGCTCTGAGACTTCAAAGAAGTAGTTTTTATATGTTCTGATCTCTATGTCTGCGGCAGCTGCCTGCGGACACGCAGATCACGATAGGGAGTAGGGAAAAACCAAATGATCAGAGAACAGACCTTGACGTCAGCGGAAGTGGCCGATTCGTCAACCCGTTACTGAGTTTGGATGAACATTTGTTTGATGATCAACCGTAGCATAATCAAGATGACTGATGCCAATTACAAACCACACCGGCGCAAGTTGTAGATGACTATATTGCTGAGACCAGACGCCCACAACCGTCGGGTGGCGAATAGAAACATTCCAGGTGACAGAAGCTCAGGATGTCACGGGAAGAATTTCCACGTATATAGCTGTGGTCGATTAGGTGAACTATGTCTGTTGTCTTCCATCTACGGCCCGGACTCCTGCAACGACTGTGGTCGGAATAGCTTCGATGATCTTTCCTGTAACTGTTCAAGAGTGATTCGTGTCATAATTATAGCGCTTGTACGCTTAAGGCTAGGGGAGAAGCATCCTGCCTTGGGACATGGCGGAGATTGAAAGACTTGTGCTGGCGTAACAGGGGCGCGAACGATTGGCAATTGGATATGGGTTTGTGGACGGTCGAAGAAATAGGGTCCATCCGATGGTATTGTTCGACGATAGTCGGACATGGCATTGGGAGAGTTCGTGGAGTCCTCTGGAAAGCTGTGATGACAGAAATTGGATACATATACACAGGATCTTCAAGATAAGAACCTCCTGTGTTGGGCGTCTAATGAATGCTGTAAAACAGTATAAAACCCGCCGGGTACACTCACCTTTGCAGCGCAGTAAGACACCCGCAATCCCTCCATCAAATCTACTTCGAGCGTTATAACTTTCAGTGACATGCCGCAGCTCATTCCAAGCACCACACCCGTTCGTGCATTTGGAAATGGAGCAGTCGCAGTCGCAGTTTTCCCCGATAGACAGCGTATGATCACAGGCTCGCACAAGACGCTTCATCTGTGGGACTTGGAAACAGGTGTTATGTTGAAGAAAATGCTGGGGCATCGCAGTGATGTGTTGGGATTGGCAGTATCTCGAGATGGACAATTAGTAGCAAGCGGTGGCGAGAACGGAGAGCTCATCGCCTGGTATGGAAAAACTGGCGAACCTCAGGTCACCGAAACCATCAAAGCTCACTCGGGGATCAAATCCCTGGATTTTTCTCCCAGTGGTAAAGTACTGGCCACTGTTTTAATGGACCAAACGACAAAGCTTTGGAACACGAAAAGCTGGCAGTTACAAGGAGATCCAATTGTATGTGATGATCGCGTCTTCTGCGTTCGGTACTCGCCGTCTGGTGAATACCTTGCTATCGCGACAGTCAGGGACATCAAAATTTATAATCCAGGCACGCGGCACTGTGTCGCAAACTTGAAGAGTGACACACCATACAACTACTCACTCACCTGGACGCCGGATGGCAGCAGCCTTCTCTCAGGTGGAGAATATCGCGATCCCACCATACGTGAGTGGGAAGCGTCGACCTGGGAGCAGGTCGGTCATCCGTGGACGGGTCATAGTCACAATATCAATGCTATTGCCATTCATCCTTCTGGCACCCTCGTCGCTTCCGCATGTGATGATCAGCATGTACGTCTCTGGCGGCTTGCAGATCAACGAACTATCGCCATCTTCCAGCACTCCTACCGGGTGTGCTGTGTCACTTTTTCAATGGATGGCAAGCGCATCCTTAGTGGGGATAATGAAAGGACCTCGGAATGGGCAGTACCCAAGAAGGCTTTGCCCAAGGATATTCCCAAGTCAAAGGTACGTTCCTGCCGATATCCAGCTCCTTCATCATCTCATGTTTGGTTCCAAGGCTCAAGTCTCTGCTAGTGAATCAAAGGCATGTTTCCATCATTGACTCTGATAACGCAATTCGAGCATACCACAGATCTTCTCCATCGCCGCCCGCCATGCATGCATTGTGGGAGACTTGTCTATGGCTGAAGAGATACTCACGCAAGCGATCAACGCTGACGCCGACGACTACATCGCCTGTGCGAATCACTCATTGGTTATGGCACGCAAACTCGACTGGAACAACGCGCTCCAAGATGCCGTTGAGGTGAGATATACCGACTCATCATGTCTAAGTACCTTAACATAGGCGCACCATAGTCCATCCGCATCAAGCCCTCGTTAAGAGGTTATATTGCCAAGGGCGTTGCTCTCTGCGGAAAGAATCAGATCTTGGATGCCACGAAAGCTTTTGACCTCGCGTTTGCGTCAACTAACGGAGATTCAAAGATGACCCATTTCCTTTGCTTGATCAAGGCAGGTTACGCTTTCATTAGACATCCTGCATCTCATGACGGCTTTCAGGCCATCACACTTTTCAATGCAAATAGACATGAAGAGGCAATAGAGCGCGTCGAAGAGCTAGCTACCGATTTTCCCGATACCGATCCTATTGCTTGTCGTGTCGTAGAAGTGAGTATCAAGTCTAGTTCGTGCGCTAACACTGATTTTCTGTGCTTCGTACATCAGGCGTATCTCCGTGTTCAACTGGGAACCATTTCCCTGGGTAACTGGCTTCAAAAGCTTGAAGCTGTTGAACACTTTACTGCTGCTGCCAACGCGAGCGCCTTCTTTCATAAAAAACCAATTCATGACATTTACGAGGAATTCACTGTGGTACGTCAATATGATGCAATTGCACATCATGCTCAATTCATGCTCAACTATATGTTCTTGCAGCTCTTTGGGTGGGATCTCAAGTCATTGTGGCTAACCGCGAACCAGCAACAGTGCGTTGCACTCATACGGGCAGGTAGATTTGGAGACGCACTCGGAGCGTACCGATCCATGCTAGACGCAAGTGATGAAGCCACGAAGGCCAGCCTAAGTGCTTGGTTCTCTAGTGAGTCTTTTCAGCATTGTTACTCCTGGTACGATCCTCAGCCCCCGTTCACTCAGCTCTCATGCAACAATGAAGTGCACTTTCTGCTGCCGTGAGAAATGCATCATGCTGCGATGGCTGCGAGCGATTACCCGTGCATCTAGAAACTCAGATATATTTGCGCCATTCTGATTTGTACCCCGACATTAACTGTATCTACTAGGAGTTACCCTTTGTACTCGGTATCGCATGCTAGCACATAACACGAAAACAGACTGATAATGTACCATGCTTACACACCCAGCTGGTCCCTTCCAGCCGCCGACTATGACAAACTGTTTGTTCAGCGCTGCCCTTCACTGTCGATTCGTTGAAGTCCAACTTCTGACCACCTTCGATCGAGAGCCACTGCATCCTATGTCAACTCCTTCCAACCAAAAATTGAACAACTCCCTTCTAGATTTGCATATGCCACCCATTTAATGGTTGTTTCAACTCTGACATATTCTCAGTCTGTGCTCGCACCGTGCGACCGCAAGTGCATAGGTATACGTTAAAGTCGGCGCGACTCTTCAGATTCAAATGAACACTTTCGTTTATGCACAGAGGACTGAAGACATCGTAACACAAACGCATGTAATGTCTACACAGTGCTAGCTCTAGGGACAATAAACGAAACAAATAAAACATATGCGCGTTTTTGAGGTGGTGAATCCGGTAAAAAAAAAACAGTTCCTAGCACCATAAAAATTCACCTACAGGATGTATCGTTAGCACCAATGGCAAATGCCCAGTGATGTTCAACGTGAAATGCGGTTGTTTCCACCCGACCGACGGGTGGTTAGAACGGTGAAAATGTACTATCCCTTCCGGTGCAATCGGCACCCCACAGAAGTCGGCAGGTCACACATTTTGGCGGGAAAATGTGACATTTTTGTTACAATTGGTCACAGGCAGTCACACAAAACCCTGCGAAAAAGCGTGACTGCCGACTTCTGTGGGGTGCCGATTGCACCGGAAGGGGAACCAGACGTTCTAGAAAATTACCTTTTACGGGCAAAGGTGAAAAAGCCGGCTCCTTCCGATTTCCTCAAGTCCTCACAAAAAAAGTCTAGTACCGAGACTAGTGCGATGATTTATACTAAGTTATAGTTTATATTAACTAATTGATTGTATAACAGAAGTTGTGATATTTTTGCTCCAGTGAACGAAAACGATAGTTACCTACCGTGTGCTCGACCACCCCTTTCAGACATCGTGATGTCATTCCCGTCGTTTATGACGAGTTTCGGTTTCAAACGCAAATCACATTAATGTGTGGAGTACAAAAAACGATCAAAGAACACACCAGCTGGATGGCGGCCGATTCAAGAGCTCGGATCCATGAAATTACAATCAACCCATGACCGAGTCCGAATGAACATCCATTCGATGATCAACCATAACAGAGTTAAAACGATCGATGTCATTTTTCAATGCAAATTGCAAGTTGCAACCAGACAGGTGAAAGCTGTAAATGACTATATTGCCGACCCCAGAGGATATCAAAGGAAACCCACCCGACGGTGTTGTTCGATACCTGTAGTAATAGTCGGCCATGCATTGGGAGAGCTCGTCTGGTCCTCTGGAAAGCTGTGATGACGCCCAGGCGCTTAGATAAGAGCATACTGTGTTGGGGGGCGTCAAACTGCTAAGCGCATGCACCTCTGCAGCTCAAACACCACAATCCCTCTACCGAATTCACGTCGACCGTGCTCGACACCATCAGCCTCGAGCAACATGTTAATTCCAAGCATTACATCCATTCGAGCGTTCGGACATGGAGCAGTTGCAGTTGCAGTTTTCCCCGACAGACAACGTATGGTCACAGCCTCGCACAACACGCTTGATCTATGGAACTTGGATAGAGGTGTTCTGTTGAAGAGAATGGAGAGGCATCGCAGTACGGTGTGTGGATTGGCGGTATCAAGAGATGGGCAAGTGGTAGCAAGCGGTGGCGAGGACGGAGAGCTCATTGTCTGGGATGGAGACACCGGCGAATTTATCACCGAAACCATTGAAGCCCACCCTGGGATCACATCGCTGGACTTTTCCCCCAGTGGCACAGTGTTAGCCACTGTTTCAATGGACCAAACGATGAATCTGTGGAGCACAAAAACTTGGCAGTTGCAAGGAGATCCAATCATATGTGATGATTGTATCTTCTGCGTTCGGTATTCGCCGTCTGGCGAATATCTTGCTATCGCAACAGTCAGGAATATCAAAATTTATAATCCAGGCACGAGGCATTGTGTCGCAAGCTTGGAGAGTCACACTGGATGTAACAACTCACTCGTGTGGACGCCTGATGGTACACGCCTTCTCTCAGCGGGAGATAATTCTGATCCCACCATACGGGAGTACGATACATCTACCTGGCAGCAGGTCGGTCATCCCTGGAAAGGCCATACTAGCAATATCAATGCCATTGCCATTGATCATGCTGGCGGGCTTGTCGCGTCCGCATCAGATGACCACCACGTCCGTCTCTGGCGGCTCTCAAACAAACGAACTATTGCCATCTTCGAACACAAAAATGATGTCTGGGCCTACGGTAACCGGGTGTGCTGTGTCACTTTCTCCATGAATGGCAAGCACATCATCAGCGGGGATAATAATAGGACCTCACAATGGGCAGTACTCGAGGATGCTTTGCCAAAGGATGCTCCTAATCCAAAGGTATTTTACAGTTCATGTCCTGCCCCTTCATCATCTCATCCTGCGACTTTTGATCCCAAGACTCAATTCTCTGATTCAGAGGCAAGTTTCCATCATTGACTATTACAACGTAATTCGAGCATACCGCAGATCCTTTCCGTCGCCGCTCGCCATGCATGCATCGCTGGGGACTTGGCCATGGCTGAAGAGATACTCACGCAGGCGATCAACGCCTATGCCAGGGACTACACTGCCTACGCTAATCGCTCATTGGTTATGGCACGCAAACTTGACTGGGACCACGCGCTTCAAGATGCCGTTAAGGTGAGATATACCGATTCATCATGCCCACCTTGCCATAGGCTAAATGTCGATCGTCGCATAGTCCATCTGCATCAAGCCCTCGTTAAGGGGTTATACCGCCAAGGGCATCGCCCTCTGCGGAAACAGGCAGATCCGAGACGCCACGAAAGCTTTTGACCTCGCGTTCACATCAACCAACGGAGATTCAAAGACAACTCATTTCCTTTCCTTGATCAAGGCAAGTTAAACTTGATACTCGTGGAGTCTGTGCTTCATTATGGCTTTCAGGCCATCGCGCTTTTCAATGCAAAAAAACATGACGAAGCAATACTGCGTGTCGAAGAACTAGCTACCGATTTTCCCGACAGTGATCCTCTTGCTTGTCATGTCGTCAAAGTGAGTATCAAGTTCAGTTCGTCTGCTGACACTGATTTTCTGCGCTTCGTACATCAGGCGTATCTACGTGTCCAACTGGGAACCATTGCCTTGAGTAGCTGGTTTAACAAGCTAAAAGCTGTTGACCACTTCGGCGCTGCTGTCGATGCGAGCACTTTCTTTTATAGAAAACCGATTCATGACACTTACGAGGAGTTCACCGTGGTACGTTAGCATGATGCACTCAAACATCATTTTTATGCTTAATTCATGCTCCACTGCATAACAGCTCTTTGGGTGGGACCTCAAGACGTTGTGGGAAACCGCCAACAAGCAATGGTGTGTTGCACTCCTTCGGGCGGGTAAACTTGGGAAAGCACTTGAGGCGTACCGATCAATGCTAGAGGCAAGTGATGAAGAATCCCAGGACCGCTTACGAGCTTGGTTCTCTAGTAAGTCTTTCCAGTAACGTCATGGTACGATCTTCAACCGCCTGTCGCTCAGCTCTAGGGTAAGCACTGGCATGAAGGGCGCTATATGCTGCCAATGGGGATGCAGTCCCCGCTGTGGGCGGTTACTTGTGCATATTGAAACAGAGATCCTTGCGCCGTTCTGATTTGTACTTCGACTTTACCTGTAAACTACCTATTGTACAATTTGTACTCAGTATCGTATGCTAGCTCATAACACGAAACAAATGAATATTCTACAATATTGTTGCTTACTCACCCAGAGTTCCTCTCCACCGCCGACTGTGAATATTCGCTTGGTACGTGCCCTCCACTGCCCTTTAACATTGATTAATTAAAATCCGACGTTTGAACACCTTCGATCGAGAGTCACTGCATTGTGCTGTAAACTGTATGCCATCGTATCAATCGTTGTTAATCCGCATGGCTCTCGATTTCTGTCTGATCCGTCAAGAGTACAAAATCTGAACGAGATGCTATGCTTACTGACGACTCGAAACGAGGCTAATTGAACCCATTTATGCTAAGTATCAACAAAATACTGATGTACTGCAATTGTATTTTGCTGTCGAATCCCAACCCTGGGCACCGAACATTGAATTGCCACGAGTAAACAGGTTCAAAGTATGGTTCACCTGAATGCAGTCCTTCATGGCTTCGTTTCATAAGGGTCCACCTACTTGATGTGATTTTAAACAGAATACAGTGGCCTCCTAGGCTTCAGCCACAGACGGGAACCTGAATGTAGTGAATCGCGGTCGCATAATAGGAAATTTCACTGCAGAACGGTGAAGTCAGCCGCCAGTGGTGACGCTTTAACCAACAAATCGTTATTAATATTCAAGGTCGAAGAAATGCTATCACACCTGGACCTGCCTCCGTAAGTGCCAGAGACCGACCATGCGTTCGTAAAATCAGTATTTGTGACTATTTAGCAAAATGGCGAGACACACCAGAGGCATTACGACTTTGGGCTAGGTAAAATATTCTTTGGAGGCAAGTAGGAGTTGCATCCCCGACTCGAAAAAGGAGGCTTTTAATGTGAGTAGGGAATAGACAAAGATATGGTATGCCGACTGGACATTTCACGCAACGCAGACAGTGATGCGCGCCTCACTTTTTCACTGAAATCGAGAACACTCGAGTGAAGACATACATGAGTTGATAATTCTCATTACCCGATGTCAACGAACCACCTACTTTCAGGGCCCTGGTGTTTTCTTCCCAAACGCTAGTTTGTCGTTACACGCTCAAGTACGTGCCACTTGAATGGATGCATGTATCTCTGACCACCTTGCTGGGATATTTTGAGTATAAAAGACTAACACATACCCAGGTAAATGCAATTGGCTTGTAGATGCGAACTGAAGAAGAAACAAAGGCTATTATGATCAATGTAACGAAAGGCGATCAAAGAACAGGCCTCAATATCATATCTTTCAAGGTCTGACTCAGGAAGACTAGCCGAGTCCAAACTTTGTTGGTCTAGGTTACTTGTATGCTAGGGATCAAAGGCAGTTGCTGAATTTGACTTCACGACCGCCAAAAAATTGTGCCCGCCCAAGGGCCGACCCCGCTGATATCGTTGGTTTCTCCATGAAGGGTGGGTCCATTCGATTATCAGTGTCGTTCAACACCTGTAGTAATCATAGTTAGACATAGTTCGTTGACTGTGATTTCAGTTGTACAGATAGGACGAGATGACTACTCTTCACATCCGAGGCGTTTCGGATACATTCCTTTTACATTGTCACATGACATATGCATCTTCAGTGATGCCTTATGCTCGAGCGAAATCGACCGTCCCTGCGCCCGACAACATGTCGGCTGTCCTTGAGGGCTACACTGGGGTTTGAGGTTTGAAAATGAGCTATACTTTGAACGTGTGAGCTTCTTCAACGGTAGATGGACGAGCGCGGGCGTCCATTAATGTCCTGGAGGGAATACGGAACGCACACAAACACAGCGTTAAATACAGAGACGAATAAAATATCAAAGGACGTAAGCGGTAGTTGCCGGACTGACTTCGGATGAACGCCGATCGACAACGATAATTGATGATAGCAGAATTCGAATAACTAATCGATTATCTTCAATCCAAATTGCAGCGAAAGCCTAGAGTGTTGATCCCAGAGGAGATCAAAAGAAGCGGGCCACAGCACTCGAGCCCCGCATCTCCGCCGCGAACATTCTAGGGAAGAGAAGTCGACATGCATCCAAGGCTATGATCGAGGGGTGCATGGGCGATCAGGCGGACCATATATGTTGTCCTCCTATCTTGCGGACTTCTGTAATGAAAGTGAGTTTGCATTGAGAATAATGTCATTTTAGCTTTCTTGTGACGGTAGTGTGTTACGAGGTGTTCATGTCATTCACAGCAGGGCGTACCAGTTGGGAATTAGCCACGCGTGAAGGAAGTGTGAACAATGAAAGGGCGCTGTTGCACTGCCGAATTTGAACTAGCACAGCAGACGTCAGGTTGAATCCCAAAGGCTGGTCCAATCGTCCTATATGCGGTAGTGCTCTTCAACGCCTGCAGTAATCGTCACTCGTGATATTAGTAGGAGAGTTCGTCGACTCATCTGGATAGCTGCGGCGATGCAAGTTGGATGCATGTCCCAAGGCGCTTATGATAACAGGCTGCCTCATGTCTGGGGCGTGTAACGAGGAAGGTCAATATTGCAACGGAATCAGCATAAAAACAGTTCACGCACCTCTGCAGCCTAGTATAAGAACCCACAATTTCTCCAGCAAGTCCACACCGTCCTCGACACCATCAACCTCCAGTAACATGGCGCAGCTCATTCCAAGTACCACGCCCGTTCGAGCGTTTGAAAATCATGGTGGATCCGTATCCGGAGTGGCAGTTTTCCCTGATGGACGACGAATGGTTACAGGCTCGTATGACACCACGCTTCGTTTGTGTGACCTGAACACAGGCGTAGTGTTGAAGAAGATGATGGGGCATCGCGGTGAAGTGTGGGGATTGGCGGTATCACGTGATGGACAATTGATAGCAAGCGGTGATAACAAGGGGGAGCTCACCACCTGGCATGGAGAAACTGGGGAATTCCTCACCCAAGCCATCCAAGCCCACTCCAATGCGATCCACTGGGTGGACTTTTCACCCGATGGCGCAGTGCTAGCCACCGGTTCATACGACTGCACGACGAAGCTGTGGTGCACGAAAACCTGGCAATTGCAAGGAAACCCAATCACTTGTGGAGGATACGTCTTCTGCGTTCAGTATTCACCGTCTGGCAAACTTCTTGCCATCGCGACAGTCAACAATATCCAAATTTATCATCCAGGCACCAGGGAATGTGTCGCAAATTTTAAGGCTCACACATCATCAACCTTCTCACTCGCCTGGACGCCCGATGGCACACGCCTTCTCTCAGGGGGATGTCAGGACGATTCGACCATACGGGAATGGGATACATCGACTTGGAAGCAGGTCGGTGATCTATGGAAAGGACATACTAGCCTTGTGTATGCCATTGCAATTCATCCTGCTGGCGCACTTGTCGCTTCCGCATCATTTGACAACTATGTCCGTCTCTGGTGTCGCTCAGATCGACAAACCATCGCCATATTCAAGCACTCTAGTGACGTGCACTGTATCACATTCTCCATAGATGGCAGGCACATTCTCAGTGGAGGTGTGGATAAGAAGATATCAGAGTGGCTGGTACCCGAGGATGCTCTGCCGCAGGATTGTCCAAAGGAAGAAACGACATACCAGGTAAATTCATATTCATTTTTCCGTCTCTTCAAAGTTCAGCATCTAATTTCGCGTTTTTTCGGTGTCAAGGCTCAGGACACTGATTTTAAGGCATGTACCCACATTTGACTCTCATACCAGTAGCGTAGCGCGAACATATTCCATGCAGATACTCGTTATAAGCGCGACAGCCCGTGATGCATGCATAACTGGGGACCTGCCTACTGCTGAAGAGCTGCTGACAAAAGAGATCGACGCTGATGACAAGAACTACAACTCCTATGCCAATCGATCATTCATTATGGCACGAAAACTCGATTGGGATCACGCGCTTTGCGACGCAATAAAGGTAAGATACGCCGACCCATCATACCTCTCAATACAGGCTAACTTGGATGGGGACATAGTCCGTCAGCATTCAGCCATCCTTGATAGGCTATATCGCCAAGGTCATTGCCCTCTGCGGGAAACAGCAGGTTCAGGACGCGGTGAAAGCGTTTGACGTCGCGTTCGCGTTCACGCACGCAGACCCAAAGACGACTCATTTCCTGTTCTTGATAAAGGTATGTAAATTGTTGATCCACACACTATGCTTCATTACGATTTTCAGGCCATCGCGTTGTTCAATGCACATAACCAGGAAGAGGCAGTGCTGCCTGTCCAAGAGCTGGCCGCCCATCCCAATGCCGATCCTCTCGCTACTCGTGTCGTGGAAGTAAGTATCATATATTCAATCAACCCATGTTCTTGTCCTCACTAATTTGTCTGTGTTTCGTACATCAGGCCTATTTGCGAGTACAGCTGGGAACCAGTGCTATGGATGCCGCCCTTCACGATGAAGCTGCTGACCACTTCACTACCGCTGTGAACGCTGGCGCTTCCTTTGCTCAATCGGACATTCATTCTATGTATGAGGACTTTGTCGTGGTACGTGTGATATGTCGCGACTGAAAATCCTTGCCATGCTCAACTACGTGCATATGTAGCTATTTGGTTGGAACCTCAAGTCCTTGTGGCAAACCGCAAACCAGAAACGGTGCCAGGCACTGCTTCGGGCAGGTCAATTCGGAGAAGCCTTCGAAGCGTACCGATACATGATGGAGATGAGTGATGAACCAACGAAGGCCATCTTTCTTGCTTGGATCCCTGGCAAGTCTTCAGTAATGCTACCCGTGCTGTGATCCTCACCCATATTTCAATCAGCTCTAAATGAAGCGCGCTCTAGTAGGTTGCCAATGAAATGATGCTCTAGCAGCGAGCAGCTCAATGGGCATTTTAAAATATCTGCGCCGTTTTGATTTCTACCTCGACACTACCTGTATACACATATTACCCTTCGTACTTGTATAGTATGCTAGCTCATGACCCGAAACCAGACCGATATTCTGCAATGTTTTACACATCACGACACCCTCCCTACTGCCTCCTACGAGATGTACTTGCGCCATACGGGCAATCTGTTCGTTCGACACGTACCCTTCGTTGAGTTCAACGTCTGAAACTTTCGATCGAGTCTCGATTACTTCGGGATCCTTTCGCACACGGATAACTCTACACGACATTGTCAAAAGTTTGAAGTTGGCACGATACGCCATGTTTATTGACAAATTCAAACGAGGGTGCAGACACACACAGTGGTAGGCTCCGATAGAAGGTCCGCTCTTCAACTCCAAAAGCAACTGATATGAAAGGGTCATTGGCGGAATAATTCCATGCACCGCTGAATGCCAGAGGTGCCTATCTCCCATCGTCGAGCAAAATTGCAGTATTAGATTTAAATAAGTATAGCGCCATCTAAAGTGGCAAAGCCCGATACTTTCCTCGCCGAATGCCGGACTTGTTTGGGAAGTTCTAGAATTATCCGTATCCCTCGACTAGGGAATATGATACGTTTCATTATCCAACCCTTCATGCTTTGACCTCCACGACTCACGATAACTGTAATTTGTTTTTTCAACGTTCGCGCAAACAATCTCGATTCGAAGTTGTAAATTGAGTGTTGACGACGGATAGAACTACGTCGTCTGTATTTCTTTCATTCATGTTTGTCCTGAAACTACTGATACATACAGTTCTTCATACAGCGCACCATTCCAGTCAATTCAATCTTATGCTTGAGACGTCCTTCGTTATCTAATCCTCCCTCTTTCTCTTTTTCAACTGGACCCTCGCCATGGCATCTGATGCACGCGATTTAGAGGATGATGCGTTCGCGCCACAATCAAAACCATTGGGTCGTGAACTGATTGGCTCTACCTCCAAGTTAGATGGATCCATTACGCGAATTGTATGCGCGTTTAGCTGATAAACCTTGAATAATAGTTAATGTTATTTTCTTTTAGTGATATATTGAATCTTACCCGGCGCTCCTTCCAATTAAAATCGTGCAAAGTGGCTCTGATCATGACCAGCGTTCCACATTTGAGACTAGAGTACCATTCCTGAGGCGCGATGAGGTCGTTATTGACATTCCTGATATCCAGTTGACGCAGTTTGGCGTTGACATGCTGAAATAAGTCTCCCCCATAATCCGGGAGGATGGTAGGCTCATAAAATGTGTTTGTTGTGATTGCAGCTTCGCCGGGGTTTCCTTTGGTCTCTACATCATTAGATGATGTTCCTCCGGCAGTCTTGCCCTCCGCGCTTTCATCGTTTTTGGCGAGTTCTTTCTTTGGCACCCTCGCGCGCTTGCCTTGCATGGCTTGCTGCGCTGCTCTTGGTACCTTGGAAATCGTTAGCAGGACACGCCTACTTATGGTGTGATTCTTATGGAATATAACTGCTCTGTGTTGACTATGATGTACTCTGGCAAACCTGATTGGTCGGTTCCAGCATGCGCAGTCCATTCCTTTATGTTGATGTCTTTGTTCTTTCTCTTTAGCTCTTTGATGTCGCTTTGGATGATGTCGTCCGGAGTAGCGATCTGGTTGCCAAACATGACATACATCATTTCAGTAGCCTGTGTCGGTTGTCCCAACACGAGAATGCCTTTCACTCGAGTTTTGTCATCAATCACGTTTGGCTTGATTAGTTTGGTAAGTGTCAATGCAGTATATTGTTTATCATCACTCATGGTGTCTGCTGTTCCGATGTAATGATTGCCTATAGCACTCAGCTTGGTGCCACACGGACGGGGCAGTATCTCGCCTACGAGCACAGTTTCATATTCCAATCCGTTGTCTTTGCATTTGTATGCAAAGTTCCCCGTCTGGACATTGCTGTCTCTCACGAAGTCATCTTTATAGGTAGCTTCTCCTAATGACATGCCTTTTGGGAGCGCGATCAGCTGTCGAACAATATTGTCGTAAAGTCCACCTTCGATCCGATTATCGTAATGTTGCGGGTCAACGTCCATTATGGTGATGTGGTTGAAGTACTTTGTCAGTGTGTCGTTTGTGAATTGTAGTCGATGAGGTAAGCCCCTTTTTTGTATTTCTTGCACGCTTATATGTGCTTGGGATCCACGAAGAGGGGCGTTATGTTTTGTCAGCTGAGCTCATATATTATTCATCGGATCTCTGACTCAATCCCTTATAGATCATCACCCTATCAATTTCATCGTTCAACATTGGCGTATGATATCATTTGGCCGTACATCTTACTCCTGTTCACCTGTTCATTTTATCATGTCTCTCGACAGACACATTACTGCATGCTTTTGCTCTTGGGGCCATCTTTCAGGCTATATTCAAGTCCCTATTAGGGATACTGTCGGTGGAGAATTTGACATCATTTTCATTGAGAGATACCTCGGCAGTCGCGCTGATGTCGGTCAATGCACAGTGTTTGTATCGAGCAGCGATATAGACTGTGATCAATTAGAATTTCTTGTTTTTTTTTGATCGAAACCTTCATGGTAATGGTACCCTGTGTTCCCCCTATCTTGTTTTCAAGATTGTTGAAGGTTCTCGTGCCGATAATCTAAGAAGGTCAGATTATGTGGCAGTCATAATGGCTATCGACGAGTGCGGTTCCCTTTTTTGCTTCATGCATCCATTGCTAATAATGTTTGCTAGGGTTTTGCGTGTCGTCCCTCCCAGTGACACTGCCCTCACAAGCGCTGCAAATAACGGAATCACCCAGTCTTGACGATTTACTTCAAATTTTTCCTAATTTTCGCAGTGTTTTTGCTGTTCATTTTTGTCTATCGACATTTCCAAGTCACAATTTATATGTTATTCTCGACTCGTTCACTATTTCTGTTTCGTTCGAAAATACATAATTGTTTGTGGTTCTCTCCGTCAATCATAGCACTCCTCTTTCTGTACATCACATGCATTGTTATCCACTCTAACTATTAACGAATCAGTTACTTGTTTCAATCAAATGTGAATACACTGCTCACGTTCATCAGGTGGCGAAAATGAATGAAGGAGACCTGGATACGTTCTCATTCGCACACTGGTCCCCTCCCAGACACCATATGATGGCACTAGTGTCAATGTAGCTTGCACTATGTGAACTGGTACCAGGTGTTTCAGCATGCCTGAATACCCAAGCCAGTCTGCCTTTGTCATTGGTGCTTCGCGTCATGTGCGGACAATAATATGTTTTGACACAGCGTGAATCATGTTGCGAGAGTTCCGTGATATCTGAGTATAAGGTAAACCCTCTTCTGATGTATTTGGTGAGGCTTATGATGGTGGCCAGGTTAGTCCCATTTTGTTTGTATATTCTGGGATGTACCAATCCAGACATTTCGAGCGTCCGTGCCAGGTAGGCACAGAAAACAGCCTCTGCAGATATGAAGTTCATAATGACCATACTGTGGAATTGGAAGATAGGGGCGACAGCAGATGCCATGTTGGTGACAATGATGTCAACATTGCGTCCGTCTTTGTGCATTTGGATGAGTTTGGCTATGCCAGTGTTGTTGTATGGCCCAGCTGGTGGACGATGCAAAGTCTCTAACAACTTTATATCCTTCTTCCTCCATAAAAAAGTTGACCAAGGACTCGAACACCGGCAGAGTAGTATAGACATCCAAATCATTGATTTTGACTGCACCTTGTCTGGCTTGAATAATGTTGAGAGCGGAAGAACCTGATACCACAGTGCCTGTGCGCTGCAATAACCCAATGAAGTCTTCAATTTTGTTGATAAAACAGGCAAATATAATTCGCCTCCACCTTTGAATGTATTTTTCAACTCCTGCGTGAAACACAGGGGTTGCGTTGGCCAACAGTAGTAGTTCAGCGAGGTCCAAAGAGTCCATTACATTTTCGCTGAGCTCCCTACCCAAGGTAATGAGATGCGCTGCGTCTGACATGGTGGTTGAGATGGTGTGTAATGAGCTCTCACTTTAATTGTTAGGGGCCATTGTGTGACCTACCTCATTCAATTGAAAAAATGACGTAGATTGAATACCAGCATATCATGAACATGTTACTTAACTTTGTTTGGGCAAGAGATCCTTGGACATACACGTAAGAACAGGTCTTGCGGTTCTGTGTACAGTTGGTACAGATATTGTCAGGCATGTGCGGGCCATCACACTTAGTCTTTCTACGGCGGCAAGCATCACAGGCCCATTCGATCTTTCGCTTATTATAGGTGACTTGATCACTGGCGTATGATGAGGTCTGCTGTAGAGTGACCATGGACGTGCTGGCCATAGGCTGCTGGGACACGACATAAGGGTTGCCAATATCTACGACATTAGACGAATAGGTGTTTGAAGAGTAGTAGGGACGAGTAGAATGCATAGGAAGAAGGGTACAAGGATTTGCAACGATGCAATGATTGGAGGGAGCAACGAGAGGAAAGGAAGAGTCACGATAGTATTTCGAGTGTGCTAAAATAAAACTAGCGGCTGTACTAATATATGAGAGGTGAAGGAAGGTTTTGAAATGATATATATTAATCTCGTTTTCTTTTACACAGATTCCACCGCTACCTTCGCTCCCTGCAGTGCTCTCATATGAAAGGCACTAAGAGGTGAATGCTTAAGTGTATATTTAATCTTCAGAGTATGATTAATCTCACCTTAACACAACGTCGGTGATTAGTCCGATGTCTCCAGGATTGATATCCATGACATCCATGGGATTGTCAACGCGTGTCTTGATCACCAAAACATTACTGTATGGCATAAAGACATTTCCATAACCTGCAATACCACTCCCTAGGGATGATAACAAGTAATTTTTCTTGCTCTCTCGGTGATTCACAATGCAAACGACCAGCCTGAATGGCAACAGTGTTTGGTTTGATGGGTGAGTGGAGAATGTGTCCCTTAACATGTTAGGATGGATCACCATGGTGTCTCGTCCGAATTTGTTAACCCATGGGTGTGTGTAGAGGTGATCTGTCATTGTCAATTCATGGACACTGATCATCAGAGGCACGGGCACTAAGAACGGCTGCCCGCAACTGGTTGCATATAGAATTCCTCGGTGTCCTCCTCCGATCAACTATTGTAAGTAGCAAAGTTTAATATAAATATATTTGCTCAAGGATCAACACTCACTGGATTACTCGCTAAACTAATTTTTGTGCGCAAAATGTCTTCCCAGTCTGACGGACTGTGCTTGGGAAGCTCCGCGTGGTACAGCTGAAAAGTGCACTGTACATTGTGACAGCTTTGGCCTAAGTGCCAGTAGTGGTGTTGTCCGTGCATATGCCAGCAAGGGCTATGCGTCCGATTAGCTCCTCCGTGTGTCACATTCGTCAAGTCAATGAGGAGGACTTGTTTTGCGTCATTGATGCTGCGCCAAAGTGTTGGACAGTCGCGACCACATTCATTGTCCCATCCAGCCATGGTATGCATGTATAGCATACCCATATGAGTGTATTGTTGCTTCCTCGCTACTGTTAAGCCTTCAAGTTTGTTATTAAATCCTGGGATTACGATTAGATCTAATGTGAGGTGTGGATGAGCGCAGAAGACACCTCCCATGGTCGCAAACAACATCTCTGCAGTGCGTCTTCCTGCTAAAACCACTGTCAAAATTGTGTCGTCAATGCTCTCAGTCAGACTGATATGAAGTGTGGACTGCGATTGATTATAGAATATTTGATGGGAATTGACGAAGTGCTGCATGGAGGAATCGATGTTTGTGTTTTGAGTATCATGTGTGGCAACAAAACCATTTCGGATCAACCAGTGTCATAACTGATCTGTAGCTCCTCTTGGCACTGCAAAGTTTAAGTCGTTTGGTTGCCATGATGTCGGCCGCAAGATCAATGACAGAGCCGCGGATCCTATGAGGACTGCTCCACTGTTAACGATGATATGTGCAAATTCATCTAGCATTTGAAGAGCGTAAGGTCTCAGTAAGTCGAGAAACGAGTTGTTGTGAATGTGTGCCACGACGCTGCACATTGTTTTGCATGTCATAGACAACTTCTGTAAGTCCAAGATGTTCAGATGAGCACCAATGTGGTTGCTCAATTTCGGAGAGTCGAACACTGAACCATGTGGTATCTTAAGTCAACAGAGATAGGTTAATCAGGCTCATACTGACATACTTTTGTCCATGGCAGCAAGGTGTTGAACATTGCTCATTGTGAAGTAGTTGATATTCAGAACATAAGGACAGGGGCTTATTTTGATCGTCATCACGGTCACATGTTTCATTTGTGACATTGTATCCCGACAGATGACGTTGCAGTTGTGACGAAAAAGTGCAGCAGGACATTGTGAAATCAAGCACGTCAATCAAGATTTTGAGATGGCATTTGATAATTCATAAAAAATACAGGAAACATTCTACCAAAATTTTCTACTTCAGGTGCTGCGATTCTTCCACATAATCCCATTGAATAAATCGTTGTCCAGGTCTGCTCTGTTGTTGGAGTGAGGAGAGATATTTAACAGGAGTCAAAGAAACAAACGTACTTGACAATGTGCTTCATGACTTTCTGCACTTCCCCCGCTAATATATCACGGGGCATACACTCCTCAGTGAGACAATGCATAATAGTGAGCATGTTGCCACGGGGTGGTGTGAAAGGAAGGTATCGCCTTTTGTTTTTGTAGAATGGTCCCACACAGTATGAAGATGGTATCACATCAAGCACATCATCATGCTCTCAAATGACAGTGAATGCACAATCTTTCATCACGATCATTCGTCTGGTGAGACTGCAGTCAATGATGTTACCTGGCTCCGTTCCCTTTTCGCAAATAAAAGGACGGATGTTCAAGTCGTTGACGCCAGTGATGCTAGATCGTCCTTTATTGAGAAAAAGAGGAACAATGTAGGGATGCATCATCGCTGCACCAAACAGCAAACCTGTGATACAAGGTAGTCTGGCCTGAGAATTACCAGTCGTTCAATTATAAGGATAGCGTAATTTTAAATCTCTCACATTACGGCTGTTCAATTCAGCGATACAAAGGTCGATACTGCCTGCAGCGCAAGCTCCAGAATACAGATCGGGATCTTTAAAAATGTTGTTCCAGCACGAAAAGTGGCCACAGTGACTCGTCAACCTCCAATGAAAGTTCTGTTCTTCAATGATTTTAGATGGGACAAGTCCATTATGTGCCAGAGTGTAGGACATTTTTTCCCACAAGGAAACATCCAAGAGTTATTGCGAGTTTGTACTTTGAACTTGTGCTTGTCAAACTCATGTGTAATAGATGAATTGGGATGAGCAAGTGGCAAGAACGTCACATGTCTGTTCATTAATTTGGGATAGCCCAAAAAGAGGCTGCCAGAGCAAACAAAGATGCAGTCGGTCGATGAGCGATGAGCCAGAACAACTGGCATGACAGAATCCGTGGGACTATGAATTAAAACAACCTTTCTTCCGTCTTTGTGGAGATAGTCGAGGTCATAAGCAACAGCAACTGATGATGGCGTGTAAAATGTAGGAAATTGATCGGCAATGAACCCAGAATTACTGAAAAAAGCAGCAACCATTTGTTTGGCATAGTGAGGTGTAGCAATGCACAATTCATGTCGGATTATTGGTGATGTACCATATAAGATGATGTCGAGCACGGAACTGCTGAGTATGACCGAGTTTGTAGCGTCGAGAATGGTACGGAGACGAACATGTTCAGTACCGACAGCATGCTTCAGAACCTAGTTTAGCCTGTTGACGATCACTTCATGACCAATTGTCGAGAAAAGGCAGCTGACTGCAAAACATCGCACTATGTCCACAATATCCATGAAACGGATTATTTTGATCAGGACATCGTCCACAGTACTGGCTAGATATCACATTAGTACAGTTGAATCGCATCTCATGGGCAACCTACTCATGGTTTGATTTTGAAACGGACGAAAGGGGCATAAGTGGAGCTATGTGTTATAAAAACATTGAAAAGGGGCGCAGTTCTTTGTGCTCCAATGTCCTTTGCAAACTCGAAACAATTTATCAGTGCAAGTCCGATTTCCCAGTACCTGATTGGTGCAATTAGGGCCAATGCAATAGAAAGAGCAATTTTATCTCTCACCTGGAACAGACTCAGCGAGACGAATATCGCAGCAATGTTGAAGTTGTGTGTTTTTAGGGTAAATGTGAAGAACGCTATGCAGCAAATCACATCAATATTATGTCATCACGTCATGTATGTCTAAACTTACTTCGCACTATGAGGTTGATAAGTGAGCTTTTGCCTGCTCCTGTCTGCTCGAAGAGGACAACTTTTTTTACGCTTGGTCCTACTCATCAATGTTGGCAAAATACGGCGCAAAGAATCTATCTGAATCCTACGCACATTGACTGCTTGATGAGGTTGCAGATAGCATCGTATGATTGGTTGCGGCGCTCTGCGAGGTGAGATCCTGGATTCTTATCGGGCGCCGTGGTGACACATGCATGGCCAGCAAAACTCATCCTGATGCTTCGCTCAGTTATGGTGGAGTGCCGAAATCGCTCTCTCACCCCGCACGCAGTACATGACAAAATGAATGCCGTCTTGATCCATCAGAGTTCGAAGGAGGTTCTTCATGAGTCGTCGAGCTTCCTCATTGGGACTGCACCTCTAGGACCCTCATCAAGACCTGCAATCCAGTTCAGTAACAGTCACGAAGAGCGGCGAACTGAACCTACTGGCCATATCGAAAAGCTTTATTTTTAACATGTTGTCCTGAATCATAATGTCGTATCCATTGGTCTCAGTTGTACATCCCCTAGCATCGTGGGATGTCTGCACCATTGTTGTTCGAAGCTCGAAGATTCCTGAGCAGCATTCGTGAGTGGAGTACTTCTAGCAGGACTTTGGCACGTTGATCAGTCCATTTCATTGGTCCCAAGCGCAGGCAACACTGCAACATCACCAATTGTTCTTGCATTGGGCTGACCAGGAAGAATAGATAACAACCAATGATCGCGGACAGTCTGAGCTAATTTTCAGCGTTGTTAATATAAAATGAATGCTTCTTAGCGCGCAACAAACCTTGGTTAGAAGAATGATTATGTGTTTGCGCCACAATTAAAACCATTGGGCCGTGAACTGATTGGCTCTACCTTCAAGTTAGATGGATCCATTACACGAATTGTGTGTGCGTTTAGCTGATAAACCTTAGCCATTGTTTAGTTAATGTTATCTTCTTCTAGTGATATATTGATTCTTACCCGGCGCTCCTTCCAATTAAAAGCATGCAAAGTGGCTCTGATCATGACCAGTGTTCCACGTTTGAGACTAGAGTACCATTCCTGAGGAGCGATGAGGTCGTTATCAACATTCCTGATATCCAGTTGCTGCAGTTTGGCGTTGACATGCTGCTTTACCCTGCGCTCATAAATACATGTTATCAGTGCTGCTCTGGCCAATAAGCCTGTTGTCATTGAACTGCCGAAAAAACTTGGAACACATTAGTTTGGCTGGGCATCTTCACATTGCAGCTTTTTACGCACCTCGTAGATGCAGATGCTTTGAGTCAAACACGTGAATGTGAGAAAGAGCTGTTGTGTCTTTAATTTGTCCTGAGGGAGGAGTTGTTGCTGAGGCTGGATGTCACTGAACGTAAATGACAATACAAGCGGTGTCAAAAGGTGGATCCGTTTATCGGTCATCTTCCTGTGTCTGTTGTGTTTGATCCCTGTGTCGCAGTGTTCCTTTGTATCTTCTTCAATTGCCTCTTCACTTGGCCATACTTTGGGTCCAGGATCCCACTTCACTGAAATTCTTATCGCCTCTTACGATGGTCGTCCGCTAACAACCGACGTCAAGTTCGAGATTGCACTCAGTCTTGATTTCGCCTGCCTAACAAGTTTATCAATTGGCTTTGAAAGCTGAACATAGCACATACACCATACCTGAGCACTGGGGTGTTCTAGAGACATACTAATCGATCCTTTCCTGCTTTTAACTTCAACCGTTTCAGACCTGCTGGATTCTATTGACTCTGGCTTGAAATTATCTGCCACATGTCTTTCAACATGCTCAGAAACTGACAATGAAAGGATTCTTACACCAAAAGAATAGAAGTCCTTGAGTGAGATCCGAGCTGACAGGAATGACTCACCAACCACTAAAACCTCAACAACATCATCACACAAGTTTGTTATAACAATCGTCGTTTTTGCTTTCATTGACAGTTTGCACTTGAGGAGTTAATTGTGGTAGGTTTCGATATATCACGTTGATCTGTGTGAGAATCGGTCAAGTCACACTTATGTTTCTTGTTCTTTGTGATATCAGATTTCATGACAATTCTAGCAGACTCAGTTTCAATACGATTCACTTGACAAGCGATATCTGCAGGTGCAGGAACTCGATCATGAGCATGAAGATTGCCATCAACTACTGAAAAATCATGGTAAGCCAATGCAGTGGCATCATCTGATCTGAGCAATTGGTGCAACTGCTGTCCTGCAGATACTTTTTCACTTAAAACAGTAGTGGTATCAACAATGGTCTGTAAGGCTAGAATATGCTGTTGTTTATCCTCAATGCGACTATCCTCACTACGATGGCAAGAAATCTTTTTTTGGTTAAAAGGTCGCAGGATTAATAGGCCGTCAAGCGAGGTGACTCAGGAGAGCATCACATATGGTGCTTCAGTTCCAGTGCAACCTTCAAGATCTATGATCACACATTGTAATGTCTGTCCCTGAGCCTTATGAGTTGTCATCGCAAAACCTGGCATTATTGGAAGTTGGGTGCGTTTGATTGAACATTTTTTACCATTGAAAGGATTCGTAAATAGCAAATCAACGGTGTCCTGCAATACAACCGCTTCGTGTGGCGCCAAATGAGGCAAAGGATCACCGGATGTTGTTGGTGTTTGCACCACACAAGAGATGGCATGGCGTGCACCATTTGCATCTTCAATAAAACGAACACTTTTCAATGTGCCCAAGCAACCATTGACAATTCCAGCACTGATGTCAAAATTCTGACAAATGATCATGGGCATTCCCAACACTAGTGGGATCTTCCCAAGACGCTAAGATGTCATTCCGGAATGGATGTCCATCAAATGTTCCCATAATTTTGGATTGCTAATTGATTGACCCCTATGTTTGTCCATGCATTCGTACCAATAGATGGGCTTTCCAGTATGTTTGGCATAAGCCAGTGTGGCTCAAACATTAATTGCATCTTTGACTTCATTTGTCGGAACAATAATGGGCGCATCTAGCCATTCAGCCATATTCCAGTCTGGTTGCACATTTGATAGGAGGTGAGCATTCAAGACGTCGAAGTCATCATTTGTACATGCTCCACATCGCAATCGACTCAAAAGATCAACAAAACCCAAGTTCACAGTGCCTTGCTGCTATATGACTGTGGTCAGTAAGACAACTGTTGATATTGATAACCATAGCAGCTTGCCGAACAATGCATTTTGACCTTGTACCGTACCAACAACATGTGTTGAAGATTTTCTATGCAAGCCACGTTGCCCAACAGGAGGAAGTTGAGCGAAATCCCCTGCAAACACTATACTAATTCCACCAAATATAGCTGAGTTTTCCTTTGCTTCACACAACGCTTCATTTATCTGCAGCAAAAAATTACAGCCTATCATAGAAACTTCATCAATTAGAAGATAATCAACATTCTGCCACATTGCGACAAGATCCTGTTTTGTTTTCCCTTTACTACCTTTCGTTCTTCGCTGATTTAAAAGAAGAGCTGAATGTAATGTCATTCCAGATATATTGTGAGCAGCTACACCCATATACAATGCAAGTCGAAAACGATTGCCTTCATTATGGCATTTGAAATATTCCTGGACGGCAGTAATTACGCGTGATTTGCCAGTGCCGCCTGGACCTCCTAAGAACATGCGCAGAGGATCACCACAACTTTGAATGGAATGATTAGCTATCAGCGAGAAAGCCCTGGCCTGTTCGGTGTTCAAACCAAATTCTTGAATCATTGCAGCGATATCTACTGCACGTGCAGGCTCCGCGTTCTTCGAAAGATCGTGAACAATGATCAGGACATCCACATTATCATCCGATGTACTTTGGAATACATTCCGAAAAGATTCACCATCGGCAACAACTGTTGTTTCACCTGCAATTATAGACTTCCCAGCAACAGCACCTTGTGCTTGTTCCATTGTGCGTTTTTTCCACTGTTGCTTTCTTGACTCATATGCATGTTGCCATTCATCTTCAAGAGACGTGTCACCATTTTCGACATGATGAACAGCATTAATTTCTGGTGCTAGTTCACTATCTCTAACATGTTCTATATTGCAGTCATCAAGATCAAAGCGGCCAGCATTTTCCATATAGTGTAGGCAATCTAAAACTCCATCCTGCTGATGCATTCATTTGATTGTAGAAGATTCATCAATCTTGATCATATGATCCAAGACATCCTCCTTGATTGAACTGTCATCTAAAAAATCCTCTGAAGTCGTGGTACATTCAAGCACCTCTCCACATACATGATTGCAATGATTTGATGGCCGCTGAAGACGTCAAGCGTAATGATCATCACGACTATCTTGACATTCATGCAGAATCTGCATATTTTTCATTATGTACTGGAACTTAGGTGGACACTCACGCATGAAGTGTTCAAATGCATCAGACCACGAGGAGTATGTGTTCATTAAATCCTTAGGTGCAGACCAAGGACTAAACAAGATCAGCATCAGTCAACAATAGCGTTCTCTAATTTCCAGTCGATCCCGACGTGGTAAAGATGGTCCTATGGGAACAGGTACACAACATCGTTTCGGGTGTCAAATGACCAAACGGTGACTACTGCTCTCAACATGGCCCGACAGAATCGGAAAAGATGGACATATATGTGATATGTTGTTAGTAAGTTTTTCTATGAAACAACAAGGATCGTTTCTGTACTCATGATCATCTTCGTCCAACAATGAAGGAGGGTCCACAGCTTTGAACGAGCTGTCTTCCTGCATCGGATCATCCTCAGAACGAACGTTCTGGTCCTCAAATTCCAACTGGTTTGTGTCTTCATCTTCATCCAAATCAACTTGATTATGTTTACCAACCTTGCATTTTTCGACATGGGCCACAAAATCCCACAAACACATTCCTCACAATTCCTTCGCTCTCATTTGGTAGTCCTGTACTTGGTTTGCTTTCACAATCAGTGAACCCTCTCAGGTCAGTTGTGATTCCCACTTCATCGGCAGCTAATGTTACGCGTAACCTCTCGGATAAGATCTGGCGGCACTAAACCCGCAAGGGGCGTTCGAAGCATGGCTTTCGGCACTAGCCCAGCAAGGAGCTTGCCTGCGCTAAGTTTGAGTAAGGCTTGAGACCCTTACGTGCGTAGAGTCGACTGGAGTTTCTCAAGGATACGATCCAGGAGACGGAGTTCAACTCAAGAGAATTGTCTCAAGAGAAGATAGTTCTTTGTACAGAGGGAGTTCTCTTAGGCAAGAGAAGTTCAGACCCAACGACAAGATCAGATGAGAACCGAGTAGATTCAAGTTAGAGAATCTATCTACTGTACAACAGGAAATATATACGTAAGGATGATATACCGGTGGAACGGTAAGGGTACAGGGTATGCAGAGGCAATACCGGAGTAGTGGTAAGGGTCGGGGGTTGTGTGAGTCATAAGTATAAATAGGTAAGAAGTACCGGTTGAGCGGTAAGGGAAAAGGGCATGGGGAATCCCCATCAATGAGAGAACCGAAACAAGGGGAAGGGCATAGGGTGTGGTAGAAGCTGTGGCTTCTCTGTGATCTAGGGGAAGGAGCGAGAGCTTCTCGCGTTTCAGAACAACGGAATCAAAAAGGAGAGATGAAAATAGAATAGTCCATGGTCCAGGTCTGGACAAGTCTGAAGAATGAAGAATGACGTGTAACGCTCATGTTACTGTAACAGCTAAAGCTTGTTCAGCTAACTTATTCATCACATCCTCATCATCTGCTTCACTCGAAATTAGTCCAAGGTGATCTTCATCATTCTCAAGTATTTGTTCATCTATCTCTTGTTTAACATTTTGCAGGTCATGCTGCACGTCACATTTGGAATCTGGAAGACAGTGCTCAAAAAATCTTTCGAAAGACGTCCAGAACAGGTTCTGATACTGATGGCTCGTATAATGATCATCCAGATCCATAAGATAGGCTGAAACTTGTTGGGCTGAAAGCTCTTGGTACGAAATCATCACATGTGCACTTTTTCTAATCAATTCTTTCACATGGACAGTAAGCTCATCATCTACAGGATCGTACTCACTTAACTTGTGTCTCGCGAGATCCAATGCTGCATAAGCAACATGTGCCTTTAGCTGTGATTTCGTGATATAATCTGTGATATAATACAAAATTGCTTTGGCCGATGCACCGGAACTGATGAATTTTATGTCCATGTTACATCAAATGGCCTCCAACATAGTTTTGTTGAAATTATTAACCATACCATCAAGGCACTTCAAACAAATTTCACCAGACTCATTATCAAAGTAACTGGCAGCACAATAATGTTCCTTGCTCAAATCGAACCTACACTCACGCGGAGCAGGTGGACCTTTCCAGTACTTGAAACACGTTGCATTATGCTTGTGAATTTGGCACGCTTTAACAAGATTGTGCATATCTTTCTGACATTTCAAACAATCATCTTGCAGTCCAGAAGCGCCTGATATACCTCTGACTGCACAAGGATGATGATCCAACGAAGGAACAACATATTGAGAGCCCGGGTCTGGTGGAATCTCATTGCATATACTATCATCCAAAAAGGATAACAAACGATCCCGAAATTCAATGTCATTCACGTCAGAAATGCGCTCTCTGATCTCATTAGGATTGAGCCCTCCTTCGAGCCATACCATCAAATGACAATGCAAAGTGCCACGTCCCTGCACCTCTACACAACCATAGTACACTTTGACAGTACCTAACACTCCTTCAGAAGCTTTGCTGTTGCTACCATTATAACCCAATATCACAGAAAAAAACGACTTCATATACAGATCAAAAAACTTGGCTGCAACAGTAGGATTACGCACAACCAGTATTGACTGTTTCCAATATTCTGGCACCTCAGCAGGTAACAAATCATCTACATTAATGTCGGCACCTGCTAAAAACTTAACCACAGGATTATAAACATCTGCCAGGTTGATTGTAATGTAAAAATTTGGTAAACCTTTGTCGATCATGAGTGCACAAATCTGATTCCGCATAACAGTCTTTGAAGCACCAGAACCCGGAACATGTGAGGTCACACTATTCACTTGTTTCAGCAAAGCTCGAACTTTTTGTTCCTCAGGAGTAAAGGCAGTAGAAAGATCGCCTTTTCTGACATGCTCAGCTACAACCCAGACGGTCTTGGATGAAACAGAGGCGAACCCACCAGCAATGTCACAAAAAGATGACCATTTAACTTTTAGACCAGTATGAAGCAATAACGTGTGTCATTGCAGCATGTTGAACACAATAAACAAGAATGAATAGTGTTCTTGAAATCGACGATCAGCCAAATTAAACAAATGTTTGACTTGGCGTTTCAATGCCAATTTAGAGGTACGATGCGGATGTTCGAATCCACTGACCCCATATGGGAACAAAGTAGGGTACACCATCGGAAAAAGCTCCGGATTGATGAACTCATTCACAGGCTGTGAGCAATGGGGCACTTGAATGTATCCACCAGCTTTATCTTTTACATGGCAGAGAGCGGCTGCCCTAAGTTGATGCGAAGGAGCATTGACATCAACATCAGTTACAACAACATGCTCAAAAATTGGGGGTAAACTTGGATCAGCAAGATTGGCATGGTCTTTCTCAACACCAATGTTGTTTTGTACAGGCCCAGCTGGCACACCAGAACTCAGCGCATCATAACGAGATGTAAGAACTTCATGAGCTTTATCACTTGAATCACTCACAGTCTCAATGTGAACAGGAAGAACGTCCTCGTCGCTAAGGGAAGCTAACCTCTGTTGATCGATAACAACATCACGATAGAGATTATTATGCTTCTGCAACCATAGCAGCGCACTCCTGACCTTCTCTCTTCTCACAATAAGAGGATGTGCATGTTGTCTCATCCATTCCGCCGTCGGTGGATGCGAACCTACAAATAAAACACATATTGGAGTCACAACATCCTCCATAGGTGGAGGAAGCATATCTAAAACAGAAGAAGTTCGCTGCAGAAAAATAATAATATTGCCTTTAAGACCACGCTGTGCATTGGGTATATTGTTGGTCTCCTCATGCAAGTGTAAAATGAAACACTTCGCTCTGCACATTGCAATCATCATTTCCTCAGCTACCGTCAATCCTTGTAGCGCGCCAGGGATGTCACCAATATAATTGTGATTTGCTAAAGCCAACGGCAGTGTTTTCCCCCTACGCACCACAGAACAACACTCCTTACAAAATTTTGCAGAACACTGCGCACTCGAGGTAGAATCCGAACACAAACCACGTTCATCGTACAGCACATTATCCAACAAGTTGTTGTGCGTCTCGACATCAGTATTATGACATGACCCTATCTCAAAATCAAATTCGCCAGACATCCATTCAGAATCAACGATTCGGCCATTGTGGATATGGAGATCAGGGCGCTTTAATGGAGTAAGGTCAATGTCATTCAGAGAAAGGATTTGACAATGCAATTTATTGTATTCTGCAGCGCAGGAAAAACAAACAGAAGTAGAGAGGGCTTCAGAACTCATTTGCTCCTGGAAAACTTCAAGAACCCTGTCTTTTCGCACATCAGAAATTAATTGAGGCCATTCTGAATGCTTACGTTCCTGTTCAGCAGCATTTAAATCATGTTCCCGTTGTTTATCCGTGACACGGTCTCGTACCCTTTTACCTTTTGAAAGCAAAGAGACGTATGCCCTAAGCGACTTTCGCAATTGAGATAAACTACCTGTATCATCATAGGAAATCCCGCAGCATCTCAAAATGCGAAGCAATGGTTTTCTGCCGATGTTTTTACGCACAGAATTTAATAACTGGATCTGTAAGTTCAATCGCACATCATCCAAACCCTCTTCTTGCAAATCTTCAGTGTGAAACTCATCGCTGATATTCTGACATACAACTCCACTATCCTGATCATGAGATGCACACATACCCTGCGAAACATGAAGAATGATCCTATCCAACAGCTGATCCTTTGTGCCCATGAAGCACAATCCATGCCATGAAGCCACAGGCTTCCAAAGAAGACTTAGACATATGTTCTGCTTTCGTGAACAAAGTGCGTGATGATTTAGAGACACCCTCGTACATGCCTCATTGTCGAAAAACATTCAAGACACCTATAGCTTTTGACCTTCGACGTCAGTTCTTGAGCACAAACTAAATCATGGCAGATGCTTTGCGCAATAGTCCATAAAACAGTGCCCGATATTGCTGACACGTCCACCGACAGCAACTTTTCCAATATACAATCGACTAAATCCAATGATGAACTAAATCCAGCAGCGACTTCACGACATGCGGTAAAATCACAATGTTTAGAACATGTATCTGTTAGGTACCGTGCCGGCTCAAGAGGCAGAGAGGTCGGGGCTTGGCTTCAGCTCTTGCGCTGCAGCCCTTAGCCAAGTATGTGCCCCGAATTTGGAGTGGGTCTGATGTTGTCCGATGGTAGGACAGGTGGACCGCTTGGGTCCGCTTTGGGGGTTGGGGAGTAAGAGCTGCTAGGGGCGGACCGGCTAGGAGCGGAGCGGAGAAGGCGGGGAATGATGCGGGGGGTGAATAGGAGCAGGGGGAATGTCTGGTGGGAGCGGAGAAGGCGAAGGATAATGCAGAGGATGGAAGAGGGTCAGAGGGGAATATTGAAAGGGGCAGAGAAATAAGGGAGAGACTTAGAGCACGGCTCTAAGTCGGAGCAGAGGGTCGGAGGGTCGGAGGTGACAACAAGCTGAAGCTTGTGTCCAGAGGAGGCAAGGTCCTACTGAGAATTCTCACAAGTAGTAACTGTGAGAAGACAAGTAATATTAAGACTAAGGAAAAATATCTAAGTACATGATATGTTATATACTTCTATGTATGAGGCAGTGACCAGGATAACTATGTAGTAAAGCTATGTACCAAGGATATCATTTGTAAGTACTTTACATAGGAAAGACATAAGCCGGGGCAGGATATCAATATGTACGCGTCGGATCAGTGATCGAGTGGTAATAGGAATTACCGGTGATCCGGAAGTAATGGTCTAAGTACCGAAAAGGAAAGCATATATCTAAAAGGGGAAAGAGGTCCAGTTGAATGGATATGTTATGGAAGGGGACCAGTTGAGCAGTCAGAGCGGAGTAGATACAAATGATGATCGGGCAGGGCGGAGGATGAATGGAGCGGAGGGGGTCGGAAAGCAGAGCGGATATTGATATTAGGGCGGTCGGATCAGGTATATGACAGTATCCAAAGATATGCACTTGCCATACAGAAAATGCCTCAACAACATGTCACGTAGCTCCGCCACTGAACGAATCTTCCTTAGTTCGAAACCGTGCATAGCGCATGCCTGAACAAGCAGCAAAATTTCAGGTGAGAAGGGTCCAATACGAACACCAGAACGACATGAACCGAAAAAGATGTCATGGACAATTGACTCTGAACGTCTACGAGACAAAGAGACTGCCCCGACGAGGGACGAAGACTGGGATAGATGACCACCATCGGCGGGTTCAATATAATTTTGATTTTCATCAAGTATACATGAATTTGCTGGAGCAGAGCATGAAGATCAGTAGTGTCCCAAAAAGAGACAACGAAACACAATCACCTCGAGAACAAGATGTAGAACAAACATAAGGATTGCAAGCGGGATCCCGGTCGTCCTGACCAACTGTTCACCACACAGCAATCCAATTCATCCCAATCAAAACATCGCAATCAAGACTGAGTGCAATCTCGAACTCGACGTTGGTTGTTAGCGGACGACCATCGTAAGAGGTGATAAGAATTTCAGTGAAGCGGGATCCTGGACCCAAAGTATGGCCAAGTGAAGAGGCAATCGAAGAAGATACAAAGGAACACTGCGACAGCGGGATCAAACACAACAGACACAGGAAGACGACCGATAAACGAGGTCATTACAGTGGTACGACGTTGATGAGTACGACGGCGCTGGTAGGGGCGAGTTCAACACATGAGCATTCAGGCCTAGACCGATCAATCAACACAGCATTTTGTTTTTATAGGGATAATGTTCAATCAATCTTCACAGCCACTTAACAAGTTTGGTAATCCCAAATCTTACGGATCTACCGCAAAAGTTTTCCCATCAAATGCGATAAGACCCTCTACTAAAGTATCGGGAATTTATAATCCAGCCACACAGAACTGCGTCGCAAACTTTGAGGGTCACGCAGCAATCGGTTCATCATATAACTACTCACTCGCTGTGGACGCCCGATGCCACATCCCTTATCTCAGGGGGTTATAATGACGATCACGCCATACGGATGTGGGATTCATCGACCTGGAAGCAGGTCGGTGATCCCTGGACGGGCCATACTGGCAATATCAACTCCATTGCCATTGATGCTTCTGGCATGCTCCTCGCCTCCGCATCTAGTGATAAACATGTCCACCTCTGGCGGCTCTCAGGATCGACCCATGAAACACTCCAGCGAAGTACAATGTGTCACCTTCTCTGTAGATGGCAAGCACATTCTCAGTGGGGGCAACGATCAGAAGATCTCAGAGTGGGAACTACCCAAGGGACTGGCATTGGTAAGTTCGTCTTTATTTTTCTGTCTCTTCGTCAGCTCATATTGCGGATTTTATGTCCAGGCTGAAGACTCTGGGTTCAAGGCACATATCCGCCTTTGACTGTTATAACACAGCGCGAACATGCTCCATGCACTGCAGATCCTTGTTTTAAGCCCCACAGTCCGCAACGCATGCATAACTGGGGATTTGCCTACTGCCCAGCAGTTGCTCACACAAGATATCGACACAGATCCCAACAACTACGAGTCCTATGCCAATTGATCATTCGTTATGGCGAGACAGTTTGACTGGGACCATGCGCTTCACGATGCAATTAAGGTAAGATATACCGACCCATCATGCCTCACTTAATACAGGCTAACTTGGATGGCGGCATAGTCCGTCAGCATTCAGCCCTCCTTGATAGGCTATATATCGAAGGGCATCGCCCTCTGCGGAAAACAGCAGGTTCAAGACGCGATGAAAGCATTTGACCTGGCCTTCACGTTCACGAACGCAGATTTGAAGACGACTCATTTCCTTTTCTTGGTCAAGGCATGTAGTTTTTCAATTCATACTTCGTGCTTCATTACGGTTTTCAGGCCATCGCGTTATTCAATGGAAATGCTCATGAAGAGGCAGTGGTGCCCGTCCAAGAGCTAGCTGCTCGTCATAATGCTGACCCTCTCTACTCATGTTGTGGAAGTAAGTATCATGCATTTAGTCAAGCCCAGGTTCATGTGTTCACTGATTTTTGTCACATATCAGTCCTATTTGCGGGTCCAGCTGGGAGCCATTGCTATGGATGCCGCCCTCCACAAAGAAGCTGCTGACCATTTCACTGCAGCTGTCAAAGCTGGCGCTTTCTTTTCTAAATCGGACATCCATTCTATGTACAAGGACTTTGTCGTGGTACGTCGAACGCGACCGAAAATCCTTTTCATACCCAACCTCAACTACATTCTTGTACAGCTTTTCGGCTGGGACCTCAAGTCCTTGTGGCAAAATGCAAACCAGAAATGCTGCCATGCACTTGTTCGTACAGGTAAAGTTGGAAGAGCTCTCGAATCGTACCGATACATGATGGATATGAGTGATGAACCCACGAAGGCCATTTTCCTTGCTTGGGTCCCTGGCAAGTCTCTAGCAATGTCTCCCGTGCTACGATCCTCACTTGTATTTCCCTTAGCTCTCGACGACGAATGAGGCACACTCTACGTTGCCGATGGAGATGCTGCCCTCGCAGCGAGTTTCACGTCTGAACACTTTCAGTCGAGAACCACTCCTTTCCTCCACATAATATGTTCCTTCCCTCAGCTCCATTAAAATCAGACAGTTTCCTCCCAGACTTGCAATGCACATACCACTGTTGGACTTTGACGAGTTCGACTCGTAAATGTCCGAAACTGTATATACGTGGCTGAACCTTATTTCGCCGTGTTTAGGAATAGCGTCATCTGAATCGTTTGAGACCACCCTTCGTGAACTGGTTGCTTAGACAATGCGTTGGACCAATAGTTACTCGACACAATCCCTCTTTCTTGTATATGTATCATGAAGAAGATCTTGCGTCGATTAAAATCGATAATAGGACTCCTAATGCTAGCCTTTCCTTCCGAGTTACTCGCTCAAATGGGGCGTAATTTCAAGGAATTTCGTCCGTTTGCTTCACAGTTCAAGAGCCAGACTTATGGCCGTTGCATAGTTGTGGTTTCTCCGAGCTGAAAAGGGCTAGCTTGGAGAGGGAAGTTTCGTACGCACATGTTACCCTCTGCTGTTCCAGGTCTAAGATTTGATCGTTCTTTCAGGGACACGTGTACAATGCCACTGAAGTAGCTACTTGTCAGATCTCGGCGCTCAAGAAAGTCCCGAGCACTTCTTACATCCCGATCTAACTCCTTGAATCACGAGCGATTGATTCTGCAGCGTCTGCAAGGGAAGGAGTCACTCCATACCCAGAGTCTTCACCTGTGGACGACTTGAGCGCTTCGAGTACCTTGCTATGGAGCTCCTTGGGATGGACCTTGACAATGTACGCACACTGCGCCATCTGCCTCTACCCACAGTAAATATCTTGGTGGTCGCTGATCAAATGGTACCTAGTAGCATGAACAATCTTTGATCTGGCAATCCTGCTTCAGATCGCAGCTCTCGAATTTATACACAAGAACGGAGTCGTCCGTTGCGACATGAAGGCAGTGAACATCCTCCTCCACCCCACCGATCTGAAGTGCTTGTACCTGGTCGACTATGGGCTCGCTTGGGGTTATTACATCTACGACCGAAACCAGTCTTTCTATGGATGTACCACTGAGATCGCACGGCGTGATTGGTACACTTCCGTACGTCAGACTGAAGATGCACCATGGCATTCGTAAGTCGCCACACCAACCTGCATTATAGGCCTGCCTCTTACCGGTCCAGCTCCTCGTGATGGCATGGAATCCCTTGGCTATGTGCCTCTCAATCTCGCTCTGGGAGACCTTCCATGAACATACAACGCTGAGCATGGAACGAGGAAGACTTAAAAGATCAGATTCGGATCAAAAAGCAACGATACCTGACCTTGTCCCCGATGGACTACCTTGCTTTGAGCAAAGGGTGACTATTCACGCAGCTTGAAGTTTGACTAATCACCAGACTACGACCTGCTACGTTCACAAATACGAGACTCGTGCGCGAGCTGGCTTATTCGCCTCCTCTGATGTCGAGTAGCGCAAGGTCTGTTGGTATCCTAGTTTTTCACTTAAAAATCTTTTTCGACTGAGCACTCCCCTATAGGCTACCCGTCACGCTGTCCTGTAGTTGAGCACACATTCCCCCTCCACCCCGGACAGAATATATACTGCCAAATTGACATTCGTACAGCAGTGGAAGGCAACAGTGCTCGAGCGGGTGAGTCATTCTTCTGGCAGGATCCTAGTCTCTCCCCTGAAAAATGGAATACAGCGGTCCGCCCAGCCGTCATCTTCTGGATCGGAATAGATAGATATACCAACCTCTGGAGCATCAACCTCGTTTGTATCGTAAAAGGAACTCTCTCTTCCACCGACATCAATGTCGTTCCCGTCTCCTCTTCGCCTACTGAGGGAAGCATGACGTCGACTCCCGCCTGGCCGCTTTCTGACTTCTACTGCTACATATTTCCTCGGCCAATGAAGTTCCTTTGCTACCCGGGCGAGGAACTGTATGTTCCTTCTCATCCTTCGAACTGGAAATGCTAACTTGATTTGTCTTCGGTTCAACCTGTTCCATCTCCCTGGACGATCAGCAAAGCCAACACCAATGTCCTCTTCAAGAAGTTTAATAACAATACTCTTGAAAAAACGTTGCCGTTCAACGAACGACATTATCCCTACAAAGAACCCTTCGTCGTGGCTACTGTACTTGGGCCAAATATTCAACATAGCGATGGTGAAGGCAAGCACATCGATTTGGGGGGACGTAGAGCATGGTTCGACGAGCGTGACGCTGTCAGGAAGCGTTGCCTGAAATATGAGGGCTCGGACGTTAGAAAGGCCCTGTCCGATAGACATTGCACATGGGACATCTCGCTGAGGGGATACTGTCAGAGTGAACTGAGCTCGTCTGTTACAGCGGGCGTAGCGGTAGATGACACGGGATTGCCTCCACTGCCCGTGATTGCTGATGTCGAGATGCCTGATGTGGGTTATGTTTTTACGCAGGGCTCTGTGCAATTATCTCCCACCATAACAGTCGATCTTGTGTCTAAACCGACATGTCGCTCATTACCAAAACGCGATGAATGCTAAGACCTGAGCGGTAGCTACTCGCGTTTATTGGTGCTGGATTTGGGAGATATATTCAAGCTATCAACACATCGATCGATGTCATCAGGCAACCCACAATATTACATAGCAGAAGCTAAGACATACGTCCATAACGACTGGCCCAGACTGCAGAAACTCACCCCAGCGAGAGTTTCATGCTGTCACAAACAAACGATATTACACTGTTTTCATTATTCAAGCGTAATCTCCAAGAGGGTGTTTAAGGGAGAATAGTCGTGATTACAAGGTTGTATCATAACTATGCTGTCGTGAATAAAATACCCGACAAGACAATATATACCTATCTATAAAATCCATCTGAACGCCAATGTATGCAGACTCACATATACCCATTGCATGGCGTCCATATGGAATGCAAACAATGTCCTACCCTTGCGAAAGTGTGAATGTAGTCCGTATGGTCGGTGCTCTTTCGCGACCCCTACGACTGGGTCCAGCCTGAGGCACAGGCGGCGGGCCCAGGATGGGCGAAGATGCATACTGATCCGAAACTGTCGTACCAACATCGGTGCGCCGCTCCAGGTAAGACGCGTCATCAGATGAGCGGTCCCCCGCTGGCGTCGTCCATATACGTACCGTACCATCGTGGCTGCCCGTGGCAAACATGAAGGGTTCGTCGGTGGAATGATTCCATGCAACGCATGTCAAGTCCCCGCCGAACGTCTGAGGTCTGATGTAGTGGAGTAAAGCTGCAGTATCACGATCCCAGATATGGATATCGCCCGCTGTGTCCGATTCGTGGTTAGAGTTTTTAGATGAAGATGAGATCTCAGGAGAATATACCTTTTCCAGCACATAACACTAACTGGTCTTCCTTACCGCCAAAGTAGCTCGGGCCCGCGAAATCCACGTGAGCTTTTGGCAGATACGTGTGACGGAGAAGTAGCCTAGCGATTTGTGCATAGGGATGTTCGCGATCCCTAGCGTCCCGTACTAGCTCCATCTTCCATAACTGCGGAGGTGTCTACAAAATACGAAAAGACGTAAACAGAGGATTGCATATGTTATGACTGTCAGTACCTTGCGTTCGAAGGAAATCAGCACGTTTCCACCTCTTTTGGATATCGTGATGTCACGCACGTCGTTGACGACGGGCGTTTGACTTTGAATTCTATCAGTTAAAGGGTTCGGAGATGATGAAAAGCGGCTTACTTTTCAAATTGTCTTGTCTCTACGTTGAAAACTGTGGTAGGCGAAGTCAAACAGACTGGCCCGTGGACATGCGCAGCGCTTACCTATTATACGCTTCTCAACCCTAGTGGTGCGGCTTGGATGCAACCCATTAGGTGCCGCAAGTAGTGGACCCACACCCAGTAACCGCTGGCCATCTGGAGTCACAGCCACGTTGTGCAACTGGATGCGACCGAAGTGATATGAATCAAGAACCTTAAAAGATATTCAGTCGAGATTCCGTTGGCACCGAATGGTCTAATTACCCTTCCTTGAACGTCCTGATGATAAAGTTCATGAGTCATCAGTGGGTGCACAAGTAATGACAGTCGCGCTAACCAGTTTGAAAACATCGCTACCTTCGACAGAGAAAAATTGCGCTATCGTAGGACAGCATCAACAACGTACAACGAGACAGGAATAATGAAATGAATTACTCTCGCTGGCAGGCAGCCATGCAATGGATGACACAGAGTGCGGACGGTCAATTGTTCTCTTGCAGAGTCCATCCTCCGTCCAGACTTTGAGTCCGCGAGTCAATCTCGTCAAGAGAATGGTACCGGATGCAGACCTGTCCGATCACATCTGAGGTTTTGCGAATAGAGGAACACTCGACGTACGACATACCATGCAACCTGGCCGATGAAGCCTCGCACGTGTACAAGAACAGCCTGAGTTGAAAAAGACTCCTGAGCATGATTAGCGTAAACAACATTTATAGAAGCACGACACGTCATTGCTTACTCCGACACGAAAGATGACTGAAGATCGATCCCAACTTAACGCATCATATCAGCCCGAGAAGCTACAACTAAACCAGTCATAACGCACCTTGACGTAGCGAGATATTTGCCATTCGGGGAGAACTGTAGATGTCGAACAAGGGCAGTGTGTACGGAGAGGTCTTGCAAGGGTTCCAGGGTTTTCAGCTTGGGGATCAAAGTGGAGACTCTCTGTCCTCGAATGGTATTCAAAGCGAGGGATGAGAAACGCGTGGGAGACATCCCTCCAGAAGAATTCCTATCGAAGGAAGGGGTTCGTGGCGGCATGAAGGGCCGTAGATACGGATGGGGCTGCCCCGCTTGCTGCTGTTGCATCATGATGACAGAACGCACAGCTCCTTTGAAGCGCTGACGGGCAATAGCTCTGCGAGAAGCGTCGCTCTCCTCACTCGGATGACCTTCCATAGAATTGGGACGCTCAGTATATTCCGAGCATACAGATATAGCTATCTCCTGGTGGTGAGGAAGCTCGATCATCTGGGGACGCTCCTGCGTGGTAGGAAGAGTATGGTGCTTGTGTCTCATCCGAGTAATCATGTTGGTTAACTTCTTGAAGGACACTCGTCTTAACAGGCCGCGTATGGCCAAGATGCGTTGATTGCAGTAGTGAATGATCTTCCGCGTTTCCACGACCACAGAAAGGAGGAGCATGCGGTGGGTTGTTTCATTTATCACATCCTCCAGCCAAACGTGACCACGATGCTGAACAAATATCCATCGCTCTGAGGCGAACCAGGCCGAGACGGCAGCCAGGCCAAAGGAAGTGACAGCCTGGGATTTTAGGTAAGGACGCATTTAAAAAGTGGCTGACTGATCAGTGAACTTACCGTGAAAACAGTGGTAATCGTGGACGTGACAAATCCCTGGTCGTAGACGTTACGTATTAGAAACGCATCCTGCAGTCGAATAAGACCCCATACCTGGTTTGTGGCGTATGTAAATAGCATCAAGCCCGCGGAGAAGCATGCCACAGACATAACGAGAAAAACCAAAGGCGACCGTTTAATCCATATCAATACCCACCAAGGTACCCTATGGCCTGGAGAGCGACTGACGACCGTCATTTGACTGAGTCTAAGCACGACGCAGGATAGACTTACTACATGGCTTGCTTCCAGGTGAGACCAAGGAGACTGTTCACTGCGGCTGCTATACTGAAAACCAACGAAGAAAACCAGAACGCATTGACAGACTTCTCCAGTACCCCATCTGTCAGCTGATATGAGAACTGCAAGGTCGTTGCCGTCACAGCCGAGAAGAAGGTCGCGACTGTCGACAAGTTTAGCAGGTTTGCCGCCGCATGCTGCTGGGCGAACCTAATCGTCGGAACGCCTAGAAGAGAATGTAAGTATGAAAGTGCTAAGGATAGATTGGATATATACCGATTTCGATAAACATCGACAGATTGACCGTGATGTTGTCAATGTGCTCCCCAATCTCCGACGTCAAATCGTGGATATAGCGCTGCACTGCTGGATACCGAAATTGACCTGAAACTAGTTGGCAAGATTGTCCGGCAGAGCTTAGATGGAGGCACGCTACCTTTGTACTCCTGAAGACACGAAGCCCAATACTAGAAAAACGTGGGTTAGCAGAGAGACTGGGGGCATCAACTGGCCATCGAGTTCACCTTCAGATCGACTTCGAAAGCACGCATTGACGTATTGACTGCCTCGTCTGTAAACTCCGGGAACTCGTTCAGGCAGTTCAGGAACGTTACAACGTCTTCTGCGAAACTAGCGAATTGACCGGGGAAACTTTCTGGATCAAGGGTTTCATCGTTCATGTGTTTGAGTGGAGGTTGTTGGCCTCTCCACGTGCGTCGTCGGTCCATCAAGTTAGGATTAACGAGCATCTCTCGAGGTTGGCGTGAAATTCTCCGAGGAAACAACGTGGCCGCGTTCTCGCGAAAAAGAAACAATAATTTTGTGAGGCGCTCCCGTAGTCGAAAAGCGGAAGACAATATTCCAACGGAACTACCAAGTTGGCGAGCAGCATTGGCGAAGTTGCGTAGCTATATGGGAGATGAGCGTAGAAACGTGGAAGTGCGCCTCTGCACACCTCTTTGTCAAGATTGTCGATTCGCCTATGAAGATGGGTCGGTACAAATAGACGAAATAACGAACATGCTTCTTACTTCTCAAATTTGTTGAATGATTCTGATCCTGCGACCTGCAGTTTTTCATCCACGGTAGCTGAAAGGCAAATGAGGCCACGATTGCGTGATGCGCTCACGAACACTCACGAACGTCTCGGTCATCCTCGAAGTTCGAAGGGAGGTTGACATCTGACATTGTACTATTAGCGGTGCACGAGGCCAACATGGGATGACTGACCGCTGTCTAAAGAAGCTTCGTTGCTAAGCTCGCTCAGGACATCCAAGAGACTGATGATAGTCTGTTTCCGTCTCGGGTCTGTAAACGCTTCACCTCGAGCGTAGGGGCTAGGTATACTTGGAATGTTTGAGTTCGAGTCGTGGAAAGAACGGGCTGCATGAGCTGCCCCAGTGCCTGGAATATGAGTGAGAACGACCAAGAATGCTCTACTGGAAGACGTACCACGAAACATAGTGACCAAGTGCTAAGAGGTCTGTTGCAGCGATCGTCCCTGGGTATTATAGGTGCAAGGATCGGATCCTGGTTTTGATGCTGAGGATGGCGGTTAAAGTAAGGTCTGAAATGCACTCCAAACACCAGAGCGGCCTAGGCGAGCACCGCACGTAGAAGTCGTGATTTGAAGTGAAAGTGCGAAATTCATTCGCTCAACATCTTAGTGAGGAATTATTTAAGATGACGGCATGTTATCGCTAGACATACTGAACTCAGCGATTCGGGGCGTGATGGCCTCGAGGAGGAATACGAAGCAGCGGCGACCCTGACTTGGAGCTGCGCTGATCTCTGCTAAGGAATGCTGTCAAAGCTGATAGGAAGATAATAAGTGAATCTACGGTGAATCATTCTCAAAATACATAAGCACGGGTCAGAAGAAAGGGCGAATTTTTTGGCGAGACAATATGGACGGGTTTCAATGCCAAGGGACGTAAAAGTGGTGTGAACGGGGGCTGATGGATCAGACGTGCGGATGCAACGTGTTTGCGAGTAAGTGAATTATCAAAGGATGACCATAGGTGGACAAGTAGCAAAAAACCTGTTGCCGCGGAGGTGAAAGTTTTGTTAAATATACTAACACATTTGGGATACTAGAGAACTGTAGAGAAATTTCTGTGGGCATGCAGGGGTCGGATGTGGCTGTTAGAGACGTTGCGATCGTCAATACACAGTCAGAAGCTACACTGCTACACTGGTCACGTACACGGCATACACTGCGAGGTCCTTATCGTAGCTTCGAGTATAGTTCCGTTACCTGCACGGAGAACCCCGCAAAAGGAGACCATGATCTTCTGCTACGGAGTGAGGTATCAGAAGGGCTCCACGACTTAGGTCCACATCTGGTGAAAAAATGTGCCTAGACACCTGGTAAGCGAACTCAGACTGGTTGAATGGAGAAGTAAAAGATCGTGCAAATATTGCTATTCTGCAGCAGTCGTCGGTATCATCTTCAATGAAATCTGTGGCAGGTGCCCGCTGCATCGTGGTCTGCGACTTGGACATGTGACATTATTTGAGTAGTAACCGGCCCGTTAGATGCTGATGCCGAAAAAGGGAGTTCAGCGGTTCTTTCTACCACAAGTACTTCAAGTCGATAGTACTCAGCCTACGGTAGTACTGGCAGGACCTAAACTCATTCGTGCACTATGCGGATCCTTTCATGGAACATTGTAAGAAAATGAGCTATCATCCTCCGCGAGAGAAAGTATTCTGACATTGTGCTTTGCAACGTGCATGACAGAATGGCGTCAGGACTCTTCCTCAATATCACCCGTGAGTTACCCATCATGGTTTCCACTTGGTTGGCAAGGGCCTAAACAACCATAGATGGAATACCTTCACTTCATTTCAAGGAATTTTGCAGCATATCAATGCAGATATAATCTGCTTTCAAGGTGTGGGTCGTTCATTCATTTTAGCTTTCCCTTTCAAATGCCCAAACCTTATCTACCCAGAAATGAAGACCTCGCGTTCCAGCCTGTCGCGCTGCGTTGCTTTACAAGACGATTTTGAGGCTTTCTTCTCCTTCCCACAGAATAAAGCAGGGTATAGTGGCGTCGCAGTTTACGCTGACTCCCGCACTATCACTCCACTTCGGGCAGAGGAGGGTCTCTGCGGCATCTTGCAGCCTAAGCCACCTCTCACGTTCGATGAGCGCATATCTCGTTCATATCCCTGCGCACATGAGATCGAACTAATGCCGGATGAACATGGATCAACCCCAAGTGATCTCGCTGCCTTGGATGCTGAAGGTCGTGCCCTGATCGTGGACTTTGGCCTGTTTGTATTGATCAACGTCTATTGCCCAAACGAAACTTCCGATGTACGTCTTCCTTTCAAAATGAACTTCCACGTCATGTTGCAAGAACGAGTTCGGAGGCTCATGAATGAAGGCCGGGAAGTTGTGGTCGTCGGCGACATCAATATCTGCGCAACACCTCTTGACCATTGCGACGGTCATCTTGCTAGTAACGTTGCGACTTTCCACGACCATCCTGCTCGTGCGTGGTTTCATAGGTGGCTGAGCCCTATTGGTTGCATGACTGATGCCGTGCGGACATTCTGGCCTGACAGAAAGGGAATGTACACATGTAAGACGCAAGTCCGGTCTATTTCTTCCCATCATTCATATTCACTTTATGTTAGGCTGGAACACGAAAATTTCTGCCCGGGAAACCAACTATGGTACCCGAGTCGACTACATTCTCGTTACACCCGGTATGCTTCCTTGGATCAAGCACGGAGACATTCAGCCGTCGCTCAAAGGATCTGATCACTGCCCCATATATATCGATCTTCACGACGAAATAACAACCGATACTGGCGAAAAATTGTTCCTCCGTGACGTCTTGCCATTGGACGGGAATAGATCAGACCCGCCTCGGCTGGCAGCACGACGATGGGAAGAGTATTCTGGGAAACAGACGCTACTGTCCACGTTCTTCGGAAAAGGGAACAAGTTGCACAGTTCCCCATTTTCGTCGATTTCGCCCACTGCAGATACACAAATACCCAGGGAACAGTCTAATGCTGCACAGTCAGATCATACACACCCTGACTTCGAGCTTCCGCCTCCAACGCATCCCTCGCTGAGCTCTCAGAAGTCCGCATGCACGTCCGCGAGTCAGGCCCCTGCACCATCATCTACGCTACAACCCGATCCCATTTCATCAAACCAACATGCGCCCCCAGCCACTTCTACAAAGCGCAAGTCATCAGCCGATGCAACCAAGAAAGCGCCGAAGAAATTGAAAGGCGGTCAAAGCAAGCTCTCCTCGTTCTTTGCGCAACCTTCAATGATCCCGCCTTGCAGCCAGGAAGAATTTTCTACCCAAGTTGCCGATCAACAAGACTACATAGAGTCCGACCATCAGCTCGCGCTCGAGCTTTCCGCTTCACTTGGAAATCCACTTTCGCAGGGCTCACTTGCCTCAGCGACGCCTTCGGGTTCGCAAAGTAAAGCCGCGTGGTCGCAGCTGATGGCCCCTGTCCAACCACCGAATTGCCTCATACACGATGAGCCCGCCAAGGAGTACACCGTTAACAAGGCAGGTCCAAACAAGGGGAAGACATTCTACCTCTGTTCGAGGTCCGTCCCGATTAATACCCTTCATTTCGCATCTATCTAATTTCTCCCATCTAGACCGGTTGGCCCGGGTTATGACAAGGGTAAAGGTGAACGCCTCCGGGAAGAGGTGAATCCCCGATACCGGTGTAATTTTTTTAAATGGTCGAACGACGTCAGGCGGGAAGCCAAGGACAAGTCATTCTCATCATGAAATCCAAAAAATTTGCCTCGAGGCAAATTATACTAGTTGCGTATACATACCCCGGGCCGCGCATGTTCTTTTTTCATTAATCATACTACATAATTTTGGGGGTTCAATGAGTGTTAGCGCAGATGCGTTGGACACGTGTTTGGTGCGTGGTGATTTACACCATGCAACCACGGAGACCCACGAAGACAATTATACATTCTGACATGATTCTGTACCCCTGAGCATTAGCCTATAATCCGCGGCGAGCGGATGATAGACTATAATAACGTGCTCATTATACATGCGTCGCTCTCAAGAGCCTCCTTCTCCTTACCGAACGACAAATGCACTTCACGGCAACCAACGCTTTCTTGACGTCAAGCGAAATGCACAAAAATGGCGTACGATACGGCTGCGATAATATAGAATAACAAAAAACCAAGCGCAATCCGCCTGCACGAAAGTAGCGACGATGACGTGGAGCGGCAGACATCGCACCGACGGCTAACTTGACCCCCGGACTTGTTTCTTGGCGGTTCCGATCATGGTGTTATTTACCTGAAAAAGGCTTAGACGGTACCGGAAGGAACAACGTTGTGGTTCACCTTCGTCGCGAATCGCAAGGAGCACAGAGACTCGTTCAAATGCGCCGCCAACGGTGAGAGGTTCAGGATCATCTGCCACAGAACCATGTCAAATTAGCGACTCCACATTCACAGATCCTGCGCTCACCAGCGTCTTCGAATTCCCGCTCAGCGAGTTTTGTAACAAATACGTCAGCTAGAAACCGAGTCAGCGTCGATCAGGAAGATTTGGCCAAAACGCCCGTAGATCACCTTCGAATTCCTATATGGGATATGCTTCTCTCCTTTTTCTCCTTTCTCGCCTAGTGCAGCGATGACGTCCCCAAGCGCGCTCAAGCTCTTGTTAATGTTCTGCGTCTCTTTCAGTCGTTCTTTGTCCCCCGCTGCTCCGCTTGAGTTGAGGCGCTCGCTACCAGCCAGGTCAACGAGATTGAGACTGCCTTCACAGCTCTCACCGGTGTGCGTGTTTGTACCAGAGATTCGGAGTGTGAAGACAGAGTGCGAACGCGAGGAACGCTCGTTCATGAGCGTGGCTGCCACGGTGCGCCGGGAGTTGGCGACACGAAGGAGCGAGGTGACAGACGCTGGGGACGGGAGAGACATCACATTCACATCAGTGACACGTGTTCCGGACTTGTCGTGTTTGATCTCATGCTTCTTCTTGTCGAACTCGCCCTTGCCGAGGAGGTCATTGATTGTTTCGTTATACTGCGAGTATTCTTCTCAGATCAGTCCCCGAGATGCCTCGACAAGATACGTACGATCTCGAGGAACTGGCCGTCCATCTTGTACTCCCAGCCTTTAGACCTGAGGTCCTCGGCAGCTTTGAACACCTGGTTCACTGCGCGGGGTATCACACCTGTCGTGGCATCGGTCTGAGAAATAAGTAGGTAAGATGCATGTCGCTACAAGAAAAAAATAACTACCGATCCGCCTTCCATAGTGAAAGACTTGCCAGAGCCTGTTTGGCCGTACGCAAATATGCAGACATTATATCCGTCCACACAGCTTTGAGCGAGGAGTGAAATCTCCTCGAAAACTTCCGCCTGGGTTGATTCGGGTTCGAATACCTGAGGAAGAGCTACCTCAACATTGTGCAAATATTTTTAAGGAGAGAACGAACCCGATCAAAACCAAAATTATAGACTTCTTTGCGCTCAGAGCCCATGGCGCTGGAGCTTGAAGAGGAGACGATGATCTCTTTGTGATCCCTTTTATCAGGAAATGATAAATCTGCTTCCCGTCCCCTTTCCTCATCATCAGGAGTTGGGCTGCCGGTGAACGAAGACGAAGGAGACAGGTCTGATGTGAGGACGGGGCGAACTCGACAGAATACTCGAATGTTGCCCTTGAGCTCCTGAACCATGTTGTGCAACTTCCGGCGAACCATCTCGCTTTCCCTGGCATCCTGCTCCAGGTCCAATATTCGTTGTCGTGCGGTTTCGAGTTCGAGCGTCTTGTCTGAAGTGGTGGTCATTGCAGCATCGAGCTGCATCTGTGTGGCAGCATTCTGTGCCTGGAGAGCATTAATCTGCGCATTGAGAGTGATATGTGAGGTGGACTGATGTGATAGTGTTGCCTTGAGATTCGACACGTTATCTCTCTCCTTGTCCAGATCACCCTTCGCCAGCCTCAGTTCATCTGCGAGCTCTCTTGCCTCCCTTGCTTTACTCTTCACTTCCATCTCAAGCTCCATGACCTCTCTTGCATGCTTCATGCGCAATTTCTCGATTTCATCGCTTGCGCTCACCAACTCTCTCCGCTTGTCAAGCTCAAGCGACTTGGCGTTAGTGAGCTCGAGGGAAAGAGCGCGATGATTCGCTTCGAGCTCGGCGACTTTGGCGCGCTCTGCATCCATAGTTTGTGCTAACCTTGCGGCATTGGCAAGTTGTGTGGATTCGATTGAAGCGACCTTGTTTTGCAAGTCGGAGAACTCTTTAGATTGTAATCCACTTCCGCTAGCGACTTCGCGATCCTGAAACAACACGTCCCAAAGGACGTGCGGGTCCTGTTAATGAACCTAGTTGTTTTGGTGGCGCACTGGTTGCGCGGGTTGTCCGCCGTATTGCTGACGTTAGATAATTTCGGTGGTTCGGGTCTCGTGAGGCGTTGTGGGCCAGATGGCTGTTTCGTTGCAGGGCCCGTTGTCGTAGTTGGTCTGTTAAGGCCTCGACTGGCAGCTAGCGGACGAGCGGTAGCTCCATTGCCAATTGCTGGGAGTTTACGGGGTTGATCAAGAGCCTCTGCATCGAGATCATCCTCTGCTTTTCGTTTGTTGCCCGACGTCGACATAGAAAAGCCTAGTGTGGTAGCGATAGAAGGGACTGGCGGGTCGAACGGGTCGGGAGATGACCTCAGGCGCGGTAACCGCGACATTACGAAACGTTGAATTATATTTCTCGGAATCAGTGACAAAGAACAACTTTCGCGACGCGTCGGTACACGTGATCGTAAATAACCCTTTCAAGGGGGGTGACAGGCTGATGTCACAAAATTTATGTGTGGCAAGTTATACTACTCGTCTTGCAATGTTAACGCTCTCAGCGCGCTTGCCAGCGCGTCTCCTGCCAATTGTTTGCTTCCTCGTCCACGAGTTCACTTGTTCAGACGCGTAGCTATGCGACACAGCCAAAAAAGGGCAAATCGTGAAGCAGGCTTGTAAGTCCGCGTCCAAGTTCAATTTATTCCTGCTTGAAATGGATGTGTGCTGCAGCGCAGGGATTCAAGGGAAAGAAGAACACTCTCGCTGGTCAAACGGAACCTGCGAAGAAGGACAAGAAAATGATGGTATGTTCTCCTTCTTGGAATTCTCATCATGGCCTAACTTCCGTCCATTAGGCCTTCCAACCGCTGCCCGTCTCGCAACTTCCGCACCCACTATTTGAGAGTGACCGCCCCGATACCCTCGCCTTGCAGTCATTTCATCCCGTATGCTCCGAGTATCTTTTTGTGGATATTAGATTGATGCTTCCTGATAGGAAATGCTTACAAGGGTCGCCGAGTCTCAACCACTCAAATTCCCCCATAATGACAATGATCCATTCCGTATATTTGGGTTACCAAGGAATATACTTGTCGAGGTTCGTGCTACGTTCACATTAGAGCACAGGTAATTTGATCGGTTTGCCTTTTAGTTCCGCCTACTGTCCAAGCCCTGCTCTGTGATACGTTCCGTTACGATCGATGCGATTAACAAGTTAGACGCAGCAAGTGAGAAGAACAGCAAGGAATCCAGGGTTGTTTTTAGTACGCTCCTTGTAACCATCACACAGGTTTTTATTGACATCCTTCAGCCGGACCCCAGGGCTGTGGAAAGAGCTTCCTCCTCCTGCAAGCCTTACAATATTGCAATGCCCGCGATTGGCTAGTTCTTTACATTCCTCGAGGTTCGTACTTCTAAATTTCCCTAGCAAGGCAGTTCCTTAGCATCTCTCGCAGCAACTAATCTTGTGAATTCTACCACCGCCCACGCCTACGACATGCGAACTCGGACATACCTTCAGCCAATTTTTGCTTACCAAACTCTTCAGCGGTTCCTCAAGGTTAATGCCCCACGGCTTGAACAGCTGCGTACCCAGACCGAGATAGAGATTGAACGTCGCCCACCAGTGCCTCCTGGCACGCCCCTCGTGGAGCTCATTAATATTGGCCTCAAGGATCAGGGTCTTGCTCCAACTGTGCTTGATGCCGTGCTAGAAGAAATTGGGAAGCAGACAATGTGAGCCACAGTTCCCCGTGTCCGAGACGAGCATAGTGCTTAACGGATGGATCATAGGTTCCCGGTGCTTCTTGCGATTGACGACTTCCAGGCGCTATATTGCAAGTCGCACTATCGTGACCAACATTTTTCGGCTATCAAATCGTACCATCTTTCAATGCCACGCCTCCTGCTCGAGTACGCATCGGGACAGAAGTCATTTGTAAGTGGATATGAAAGTCTGACCATCTCGTCATCTAAATGGAATCATATCAGGTTCGCGGTGCAGTCTTTGGCGCGCTCTCCATGAGTAACACAACATTCCCGCTACCTCTGGAGCTCCGTGAGGCGCTTTCTCTCGAGTATGACCGTCCGTATGGGTCATACGTCAAGCGCCAGCCGGAGCTCGTAGAGTACGCTCACGGCCTAGAGAAGCTGGTAGTTCCCAGCAGCCTCAGCGTGCCCGAAGCAGCATCGGTTTTCGAGGTGTGGATGAAAGATCGGGCAGTGCCTTCGAGTGAGTAATATTACTTAGTTCGTCTGTTTCGTGGAGTGCTTGACTCGATCTTGGATCAGAACCCAACGATGAATTGTTCCTGGCAAAGTATAGCGAGGCTAGCGGGAATGCAAGAGCGTTTGTCTGGAAGGGACTTTTGTCGTCCATATCCGTATAGACAGGCATTGTGGAGCAAGATTTCGATATTGTATGGGGCCGCGCGGTTGATGGTCCGATGTCGTATATCAGATTCATTGGGGTATCATTATTCCGCCTAGGGCCTTGTTACATGAAGGCATGATTGGAGAACCTACCATACGCGATTTTAGTGTGGCTATCCCGGTCCGTTAACCCTGAACTTAAGTTAAAAGACTACGCCTCTTGTTGCGCTAACTATATATTGAGTGGTAGGAAATATGCAGTTGTATGGCGGGCCTTAAACGTTGACACTTGCTTTAAGTTCGCTCCCTCGGGGCAAAGGGTTTTCGGCGAGTTACATACTAACTCGGGAAGCACTGATTATGGCTTGCTGCCTCTTCATTAATTTTTGACTAATCCTGCGATGCTCGCAACTCTGTTGAGCTTGCGCAAATGTACGTACTTACCTCGGAGCATCTTCCCGTGTTTTTAAAAATGCTTAAGCTGCGTCGTCTGAACATTTGCGGAAAATTGAGCATATCAATCTGTCAACTCACAACGTCATCAAGCATCTGCAATCCCTGCATAGGTGCTGTGGCTGCGTGTCCGTGGCATGTCGCGGCCAGACTAAGGAAATATACGGGTGGCGGGGTACCAACGTCGTCGTCCGAATCTCTGATGGTCCACATACTAGTCGCGGTCAAAATAATCTAAATAATAATCCAAATACAAGGGAGATGTCCAATATGAATATTGTGCTACTATGAGTCCAAGCACGTTACTATATCACGCACACAGGAAAAGCATCAGGGTTATCGCTTGAGCACTGGTAGATTTACTGACATTGTCCCGCACAACCAGATAGCTGACGATGACTATATGATACGCAGTGAATCCACACCTCGACTCGTGCGGAGGGCAATGTCATGGGCCGCGAGCATCTCCACAACGTCCTGGTCGGCACTGTAATGCACCCAGCGCGAATGAAGGATTGTTTGATTGGCTGCATGTGCCTTCATCTGCGAAAACTGCTCAGGTATTTCCGAGTTGTGCAATGCGGCGCCGACATTCACGAGTGTGAAACCACAATATTTTCCGTGACGGAAGTGTGCAAATATGGTCAGCGCCCATAAAAGCACGAACGCAACAGTAGCCACGATCACGTTTGGCAGCGCCGATGTGAAGACGAGCTGTTTCCCCGACACTCGCCCTGGAACGTAAGCCGTGCCTTCGCCACCCATGATGTATGCTGAGGGTTGAGGCATCTCAGCGATATTCACCAGTGCGTTGCTGGAACATACGCATGAAAGATGAAAAAACTTACCCTTCGCCGCAGCTTGCGATATTTGAGTGTAACCTTGTGTAAGGTTCTCAAGGGGGCTTAGTTGAAGTGTTATTGCTCCACCTATATTGTTGGAATCGATGGCGTTCATCTGAGCATCCGAAAAGAGGAAATTGACTTGCGTCTCCGAACCGAGGCCGAACCACGTTGATGTTGCAGGGCCCGAGTCTGTGGATAGGTACGACGTCGCTACGCCAAACATTAAGGAGGTTTGCATGAAGTCCAAGTTCCCTTGCCTTGGATATGCTTTCCCTTCAGGAAGTGGCTGGACCTCCAATATGAAGGACCCTTGTGTGCGAACCTCGCGTGTTTCGATTGTGATGTTGGGCTTGCATACGAGGAATGCGAGCTCATAAGTGTTATTTGGCGCAGTAAACTGTAGAGTCGGTATGCCGGTAAGATCTGGGTAGATGGAAATGATATTTATCTGGTCGCCCGTGCAGCCTTCAGGTGCACGCTAATGATGGCAAAAGTTGTCGAGCCGTCAGACGGCAGCGTCTGAGTGGTATGATTAAAGACGTATACAGTTGGGTCCAACACATAGATCCGTGTTACAAAGTTGGATTTGTACACCGCTGGTGTGGCTTTAGTCGTGACGGAGGCTACAATGTTGGAAGAACTTACGGAAAAGGCTGCTCGGAACAGCGATATCAAGATCGAGATCCTCGAGGTATGCGGTAACGGCCGTTGCGGCTACGCTGCTGCTATTCATCGCTTTTGACGACTGAAGACTTGGTAAGATTCACAGCCTTTGCCCATGTGCAAAAAGGATTGAGTCCGGCCACGTCAGTTAGCCATCTTGCAGTTGTCGAAGCTTGGATGCTGGTCGGCATTGGCGCGACATAAGCAGCATATTCACCACGCGAGTTGTTTGACATGGTGTACGCATATGACATACCAAGGGCCATCTCTGCCCATGCTATCGAAGCAGGATACCCGGGGGAGACGGCCAGCTTCATAGGTGGGATAGTTTGTCCGGATGCAACAGGACTATCGCGAAGCACAAAGATTGAAGCCAATGAACCCTGTTCAGAATAAGTTCCTTACCTGTAAAAGCTTAATGGCGGGATGGCACCAACAGAAAACGCCTGGATATCTCCGTCGGCCAGAACGGGCTGAATGCTCACTGTAGAACTTCGTCAAGCGTCTGTCACCAAGGCAAGACAATTCCACCCACGAGCGGCAGGTGCGAGCGCCGATGCAACCCACGCAATACCTGCTGCGACAAAGGCAGTAACGAAATATCGAGAACAATGGTTGCGTATAATGAGCATGATAGTCTCGGTTATTCCACAGGAAGGGTTGGAAATGGTATTGATTGCAGAAAGGGGAACACCTCGGGGACGTGCACGAAGAAGTCTAAAGAATTCTTCATTCTTGCCACAGGCTTGTCAAAAACTTTAACAAAATGAAGTAGGCTACTTACCTTCAAGCTTGAAAGCAGATCATGCACGGGATAAAGGGAAATGCTGATGATGATGATGCTGATGGTTGTTAATCCGGATTTCACAATGGCTTGAAAAAAACATGAGCGATACTATCGGCTAAGACATTATCGCGGTTTCATACCGAGCCATGTGTTATCAAGTTCATTGTACAGTGCTCTACCGAAGGGGACCACTTTGTAATGGACCGTGTAGCAAAACGACAGATACGCAATGGTGATGAAAGGTACAAGGAAGGTTTTCGTAAGTTCCCAGGTGCCTTTCAGCAGAATTTCCCTGCGGCTCGTGGTGCGGCGCTGGCGAAACAGCTGTGGGCGAATCGGGGTCTGGAAGTTGCTTGAACTCGTTGTATGATGCTGGTAGTAATCAAACTGGTCTTCATCAGGTGAGAGAGACAGTCTGGATCTTTGAGGGTCTGAAATATTCTCTGGATGACCAGGTAGAGAGCGAGAGGGTGAAGAACGCCAGTGGATGGGTATCAACGGCAGGTTGTCCGTGGAGATGGTGTTCGGGTATGGGACTTGCTGATCACTGTGCATTCTGACAGTCCATAGGGAATGAACCAGTTTGCTTAGGACGCTGAGGGAGACGGGAACCACTGACCTGTTATTGTCGCTGGTTTGGTTCCAATATCATGTCCTTGATGATTTCTACTAATCAAAATCAAGGGCGCAGAGGTTGAGGCAGAATTCACAGCATGACGGACTGAAGATATAAAAAGCTCATTGTATACACAGTTACCGTCCAGCCAGTCAATTATCTGAACACATCATATTATAAAAACAAGCGTTACAAACTCATATGTTTATGCGCTGCAAGCTCGAACTCAATCATTGCAGTTAACTACCAATCATTTCATTGATTTCAAACAATAAAACTTACCTTTCACGTGTCCGTTCGTGGACATGGATCGGCAGATCAGTAGCACAGAGAGCTTCGCCACAGTAGTGACAAGCCTTTCAACCAAGTGATCATGCCATCCGTGACTCTTCGCATCAATTAATGGAATACCAAATGGAGAAGAAACGGAAAGATGCTGAAAATGTCCCTGATCTGTGCACCTGTAGGCTGTGACTCCTACAAAGGCATCCTACTTAGAAGTGGTCAGGCCAAGGCTGAGTGACGAGTGCCCCGTTACTGTTTCGAAATTAGTTCGGCTCCCAAATCTTCAGAAGAACAAGGTACGTGCACAAATCAACTTACATACCGGGCCAGGACTCCAGTCACCTGCCTTCAACACGTAAGGCAAAAAGTCAACTGTGCAACAACGCTCTCCCAAGGTTGGTAATGCGTTTCCACTTACCCACCCTCGTGTTTTCACTCTGCTCATCTATGGTTCGCGCCGCCGCTCACTCATATGATGCTTTCCTCAGTAATTCCGCGTTTTTCAACCTGATCTCCGTACCCTCTCAAGTGTGGATTTCATAAGACTGACTAAGATCACGTGCATCTATGACCGTCGAAACCGGAAGTTGTTGTTTGCATTTTGGACTCAATCACTCCGAACTTCGACTGAAGCCTGTACTCTTGAGTCTTGACATGCGTCGCATGTAGTACTTCCCACCTAGCCAGACCAATAGTCGTTCCTTCGTATTCGTCGCATACAACCTCATGCAACCCGGCCCCAGTACTACCGGACTCTATTTAATCATGGCCAATTTGCTGAAAGGTTAAGGTATAGTTATCCAAGTATGGATCACTCCTCTTGGCAATCCTCGTATTTCCATGCCATTGTTTGCCGCCGTCCGTGTTGGCCGTGACATTCAATTCTTCCGGATATACTTCAATCATGTGCTGCATGTGAGTGATTGTACTAATAATTGGCGCGTCCATAGAAGGAGCGACGTTTCCATCAGATGCAGCGTGACGTGTTGCACAGCGCCGTATACCCTCATCTCCAGAAGAGGCATCGAAGGGTTTACCAGTTTTGTAGCTGACCGAGTTGATCCTGTTTTTTTGCACCCGAGTGAAGTCCTTTTGGGTCATAGACTCCTGATAGGGTTCAAGCGCAGACCTCATTTGACTACTACAAAGATATCCTAAATCCTTATTACACCAGATGATTATGTAGTCGTCCTAGTTGTGCTTTCCGCGCTACAATGTTCCTTTTAGCCCGCCCGAGTTTTTTCATAGTGCTTGTAGTCACCGTCAGTGCTGCTGAGAGTCAGAGTAAGTACTCAGCAGGCGTTTGTTCATCGATCGCCCGCGAGCATGACAAAGCTGATTTCCTTTGATTCTAGCATGGGTCAGTCTGCCGATGAATGTTCCGCAAAATCTATCGGACTTGGTCTTCGATAGTCCTACCGTCCCAACACTTTTCGGAACCCCCCCACAAGTAATCAATTCAAGCCTTGATTTGAATACGGCCAAGCTAGCTGTGTACTCATCCGACTGCGTTCTATGCGCCGGCAACACGTCTTTCGATGTTTCCATGTCATCAACTGCGAAGGTCCGTTTCTTAATTTTATGCACCAATATGATACACTTTACAATTTTTTCAGTCTCTCAATTATTCCTGGGCCTATTCAACGCTGGCTTACAGCGGTAATGTGTATAGCGACACTTTTGGATTTGGTGGCCTTCTTCAAGTGGCCAATATTCCGTTCGGTGGGTGCTACTGTCTCTCAGGCCCTCCCATTGTATGAATGACGCCTTTCTACAGGCTTGATTGAGACTGGCGGTGATCCTGGTCTTGCATATATGTTGTACAATGGCCGCCTGGGCCTTTTCCCGGACCCTCTCAATGCTACTGCAGCGTCACAACATTTTCTCTTACAAATGTACCAGTCAGGCCAATTGCTCAATCCAGTCGTGGGGATGCGCTTTGACCCAATGAATCCCAAAATCACTATCGGTGCTCTGGATCCCAACGATTATCAAGGCCAAATTAATTGGGTGCCATTGACGACTCCCAATGCTACATGGACATTCCAGAACACATTTATGATTGACGGCTTGAAGGGGTACAATGGATCTTTCCTCCCTCAGAGCGAGAACTTACTTGCGGCCCTTGATTCATGTAAGCTCTATCCATATGCTTGCATAGTGAACAAATTTAATTTTTTTGCAGTGTGGACTGGAATATCGATGCCAAATGTCGATACATACGTGAAAAATCAAGGCTTTGCAGGAAATGTGCATTATTCCCTCAACTACAAGACCGGTGTTGCATCGTACGTGTGCAATTCAACTGTCCCGCCCTACGTAGCTCTCACGGCTACCATCAACGGTGTTGATTACCCAATGGACTCTCTTAATAACTTGTTACGGCCCCTGGCAACGAATATAGCTCCTGCAGGCTGTTGTCCGATAGCCCCAATGAACAGATCGACTACCTTACCAAACCTAAATTTCGGATTGCCCTTCCTTCGTAGCATCTACCTGTAAGTTTGAAGCTCTCCTCTGGGTAGTTCGTCCCCCTTATAAAGTTATGAAGCGCGTACCGATTCCCAACGGACGGCTGCCCCGGGTTCTACGGTTTTGCCTTTCCTTCCGGTCCTGTGAACCGCACCGCTGCACAACTGTCGCAAACACCGACATCTACGCCTACGAACAGCGCACAGTGCCTCGCACTGATCCCCCCAACCTCAACGCCAACACCGTCCTTTAAGACTGCTCAGCAAATGCTTTTTTCGACCAAGAAGTACAACGTATATGACAGTCCACAGAATATGTCGGTGTCTCTGCTGGGGGTTGAGAACTTCCCGGCAATAGTGTGGAACTCGAGCTCGAGTAACTCGAACTGACACGGCTCGTATGAATTAAAAGCACTGCGTCATTTTCTCGTCATTTTCTTCTTCATAACACCGCTGTGGGTAGGACATGCAGGATTGTGGAGTATTCCTAGGCATATATTGTGGTATCAATGTAATTGAATGTTAGTGTGTTCTTGAGTCTTTGGTCTCATAACTCTCGTTCAGTGAATTGGCGCTAATTGTTCATTGTAGGAGAAATCCTTGGACCGTTCGAGGCTTTCTAGAAACTGAATGCTTTTGGGGTCGAATTTCATTTTCGGATCGAAGGGTTCGAACTTCTTGCAAGCACTAAACTCCGAGTAACGCCGAGGGCACATGAATCAATTGCAAGCTCTCACTTGTAGGAGCAAGTCGACAAAGTGTCATCGCAATGAAAAGTTTACGGACGCTTCCATACTACCAAGACATTATGTATCATTAGGTACCATCCACAACATAGATGATGAATCGGATTCATAATGGCTCCACTATCGTTACCGGCGACCCAGGTACGATCAATGTACAAATGGTGTACGGAGTGAACCTAACGTTAAGGTCTGTTAGAAGTGGAAAGTGCAATGGAAAGGAAGGGGTGATCACATGCTCTTCGATACCATGTCCACATGCACACAAGTTGGATCTCTGAGAAGCTCCCCACATCCTGCCCTGGTACGTAACAATGATTTACTTCATGGTTTGTTTTACTATTGACGGAATGGTGACATTTTCTAGACTTGCCCACTGCTTCTATCCGGTCGTCCTTTTTTTTTTTTTACCGAAGTCAGCGGATGCAACCACCAAAAACTCCAACGTGCGTCGAGTTTGACTACCCGCAACTACTAGGTTCAGATCGTCGACAGCCAGACGGCTCGATTGGCTGAAGCCTGAAGGGCGGGTGGGAGGCGTCTGTACCATTGACAACTCATTTGTTTGACGTTGCCTTTCTCGAAACTACAAGATCCTGCTTGTCCTTGGCTTGTGCATGCCAAATCCGGCTCCTGCAAGACAACAGAGCACTGGACAGCCTTATCAAACCTTCGGCGAGGCGCTCCACGTCCGTATCGAGACCGCCCATGTTGATCGGGGAGATGATTATGCGCTCTTTGCCTCGCAACAGCGGTGCATCATTCCAGTCTTGGAGGTTCCTGAACTTCCTTCACCACCTTGCATATTTTCAGCAAGAAGAATGTTGGTTTCCCGGTGAGCAGCGTCGGATAACATTGGTACCAACAGCACTGCGACTGCGATCATCCGTGGAATACGGACATCATGCCTCGGCAACAAATATCCGATATGAAGGTCTCGAGCTTGTCTGTAAGTTTGTGGAATCGATCTGATGGAACTGGGTGCACTCACGAGTGACCGAACATCACGTATCATTGAGCACTGCCCTCGTGTGGATGCCAAGCGGGTGTCCAAACCATGAGAACTGGGCGGTACTCTGCTTCGAATACTGAGAAGCTCCTTGTTATGATTATCACTGTTCAAGTAATATGTGCCCGGGGGAGTGCTTTGCAGATCAAGATTTTTAGTTCGAACTAACTGCATCCCAGGAACCCGTTACCGATTTGAACGTCCTTGGGTTTGTCGGACTGAGTGCCTACTACTGTGCAACACTCTCTAGGTCGCATCCTCAAATGATTAATGTTACCCTCGATCGAAATACCCACAAGCTAACGGTGTTAGTACTCGACCGACTGTGTGTTATGTGCCGGCAACACGCCCTTCGATGCCTCCTTTCCATCAGCTATCAAAGTCCATTATTTAAATTTTTCTTCTCAGAAAAATCTAATCAATTCTTTTGTTCTAGTCTCAATTACTGGTTACTCATAGCCTTACTCAACACCTGCTTACAATAGCAATGCACCCAGCAACAATGTTGGATTCGGTGGCATTCTTCGAGTGGTTAATACTTCGTTCGGTGAGCTCCATCTCTCGGTGCGCCTTTTCTGCCACAAGACTCTTTAACACAGTGTAGGTTAAATTGAAATCGGAGGTGATGAATTTGTTAGACAGCAGTTATTGCCTGGGCGTTTTCTCGAACCTCCTTCTGCCTCCACCCCACCGCAACCTCGGGACATTATTGTCTCTACAAGTGGATCAGGGTCTCGATCGACGAATCCCAATATAATTATTGCCTATTTGTGCCCCGGACTATCAAGGCATGTTAGTTAAAGTACAATTGACAACTCCCAATGCGACATGACGACATACCAGCACACGTCATGGTCGATGGCTTGAAGGGCCGCAATTAATCATGTGATCCTGACAGTGACATTGAAGATGTGACAGATTCTTCCATTTCTGTGAAGCATCTACCTGCGAGTGGACCATTGTTTCCTGGAGTCAGGTATTCCATGAATTTGCGTGTGTACCGATTCCAAACAAATGGATGTCCCTGGTATTACAGTTTCGCATCCCTTTCTGTTCCAGTGAACCTCAGAAGTGCACAGATCTCGCAGACGCCAGCTTCAACACCGACATAAAGTGTGCGACGGCCGCGCCGAGGTCAACGTCAACAATCTCTATTGTACTGTCTAGATGAAGCTATCATCCGAGACGTATGATGTGCTTGGCACTAGACCTGCAAATGCCGTTACTGAGCGCTGAGCGTAGATGATATGAACTATCGAAGTTGTTGTCACACGTGGTTGGATTGTGCGCTGGATTTCTGCCACAGGTTACAACTAAATGATAGGAACCGACTATACAACAAATTGAACTCACAGACGTTCCTACGTTTAATGACCTGACCTTCCACGCTATAGATCAGTAGTAGAAATAACATGACTGGCCATGACCAGTTCACAACTTATCACTCCAATCAGATATATGGTCTTCGGATGCGTTTTATAGGATGCATAGACGGGTCATACGACATGACATACGCAATATGAATACGTAAGAGGGAGGTACAATCAGACCGTCGAGGGGTACAGCATCTATCACACAGGTGGGTCAATATGACAATCGAAGGAGAAAACGAGCGGACGCACAACACGGACGCCCTCCGAGTCACCGAATGCGCGTGGAGAGCGGACAAAAAGGTTCGCTCGATATCTTTCGTTTCCCAATATGGATTGCGCGTTTCGATTTCGATTTCGACTTTTTAATTTTGTCCGCTGGCGTCCTTCATAAGAATACTACGATAACGAGTAGGATAAGTAAACGAAGGAGAGTAATGTTGTGAGACCGTTGTATGTTGAATCTTACCGAACTAACACGCCCCATCAACGCTTGACTGAGATCACGTGCGTCTATGACCCGAACTTCGAAGGCTGATAGCCTGTACTTACTCTTGAGTACTGAGTACATCAGCAAAACACTTTGCACTGTGGAACTCTGTGAGACTGTACAGAATTCGCCCACAGAAGCAAAGTGATATTCTGATGCTACTGAGTCTTGACATGGTCGCATTAGTACTTCCCAGAAGTTCCCACCTAGTCAGACCAATAGTTGTCCCTTCGTATCCGTCGCATGCAACCTCATGCAACCCGCCATAATCGCCCAGGCCCCAGTGCGACTGGAATTTATTCACTCATTGCTGAAAGGTCAAGGTCTAGGCTACTTATCCAAGTACGGATCACCAAATTCGAATCCTCTTGGCGGTCCTCGCATTCGCATGCCATTGTTTGCCGCCGTCCGTGTATACTTCAATCATGTGCCGCATGTGAGTGATTGCACTACTTAGTGCCATCGCCATTCATCCTGTTGGCACCCTTGTCGCTTCTGTATCTCTCGACAACTATGTCCGTCTATGGTGGCTTTCGGATCAGCGGGCCATTGCCATATTCAAGAACTCAGACTCAGCCCTGAGTTGCATCACGTTCTCCATGGGCGGCAAGCACATCCTCAGCGCAGGTTGGGATTACATGATCTCAGAATGGTCAGTGCCCAAGTTGGTAAGTCCTAGTCATTTCCCATCCCTTCGTCATCTGATCTGGCGTCTTCTGGATGCCAAGGCTCGGGTCTCTGATTCAAAGGCATCTTTCCATCATTAACTCTGATGTCGTAATTCGAGCATACTTCATGGCGCAGATTCTCGCCATTAACACCACCCACAATGCATGCATCGCGGGGGACTTGTCTCCCGCTGAAGAACTTCTCACGCAAGAAGTCAACACCGATGCCAACGACTATACCTCATATACCAACCGCTCGTTTGTTATGGCACGCAAACGCCACTGACCACGCACTTCAGGGTGCCATCAAGGTGAAATAAACCAACCCATCATAGGCTCCTTATGAAAGGCTGACTGTCATCTTGACGCAGTCCGTCATTCAGCCCACCTTGACAGGGTATATCTCCAAGGGCATCGCCCTCTGCAGAAAAGTGCGGGTCCGGTACGCGAGAGCAGCATTTGACATCGCGTTTTTGTTCGCGAATGAAGACTCAGATTGCTCATTTCGTCATCTTGATCAAGGCATGTTAAATATACTCTATTCTCCATCACATACTGTTTTCAGGCCATCGCTTTTTTACATGCGGATCAACATGAGGAAGCAGTTCTCTACCTCCGAGAGCTAGCCGCCGCTTGTCCGAGTGGTGATACTCTTGTATGTCGTGTTGTTGAAGTGAGTTACATGAATACCCCATTGATGGTACTGATCTCTTTGAACTTTGAATATTAGGGATATATCTGTGTTCAACTTAGAATCAATGCCATGGATGACGAGCATCACAATAAAGCTGCTGACCATTTCGCCGCCGCTGTCAACTCCTGCAATCTCTCATCTGTAGATGCCATTGATATTATGTACGAGGACTTGGTGGTGGTAAATTGATATGATTCATCTAAAGATGCCGTTCATGCTGAACTATGTTTTTTACAGCTGTTCGGATGGAACCTCAAGTCTTTGTGGCAAAATGCACGCCAGAAACTGTGCGATGCGCTCGGTCCAACAGCAAGTCTGAAGTTCGTAATATCATGCAGGCTACAATCCTATCCACATTTCACTCAGCTTTCAAGCACGAATGCAGCACGCTCTATATTGCCAACGGAGATGCTGCCCTCCTTGTAGGCGATTACGACACGGCTATTGGCTTATACTCTATAGTGACCAATCTCACCTCCGCAAACGACACCATCTTTGCAAACCGTAGCAAGGCGAAGTTAGGAAAAATCTTATGGGAGGAAGCGCTTCTCGATGCGAAAGGTGTGACAATATCTACTCAAGCTCATTCCCAACGAATGCTCACTTTGACGATGAATAGGCCATCGATCTCAACAGTTCGTCTTACGTTGAATACCAGGCGAAACATGAAGCGATTCATGGCGCACAACGTTTTGGTGAAGCTATTGAGACCTTCATAATCATGTTATCCAAGTCGGATGACGCTCCCGAGGCGCAGTTACGAGGTAAGCCTTGGAACGTTCGTGTGTCAAATCGGAGATGCTTATCTCGTCCTACAGAGCTGCGTCAGCAGTACGTTTCTCCATCCGAAGCAGAACGTGCTATTCGAAAAGTCATTCACGCTCAACTTGACACTGCCCCGCTTCGTGTACTCAACATCACCACTGGGTTCTTATGCGATTGAGGTGCGCAGATTAGCCGACTTCAAAACGAGCACAGAGTACAAGGAGCTTCTGTCTTTGACATGAAGCATTCAGAACTCCGAATGAAACACGTCACAGACGCTGTGGCGACGTACTTTCCAATGTGTCATGTTATCCCATAGATGGGAAGAGAAGGAGCCGCTGCCTGCAGGAAATCTATGACAAGCTCATTTACAAGCTCAGTTCGCTCAGCAGCATCGGCTGCCTGACTTCGACGTGGAGAGCATAGGGGATTGGTTGGATTCCGCCGATTCGCCCAGATAAGAGGAGCTGGATGATTTGAAATCTCACACACTGAGCGTTGCGATTAATCGTTCACCTTGGACAGCCTTTTGGCGCATTTCTGCCAGCGCGGCGGAGAATATAAGAGGATTGCTTCGGATCGCGAGATCACCGCACAAGTCAAAAACATACCTTCTGTTGACGCCACGATGGATGTCAGGATCCTATAAATATTGTAGCGTTTTTTTTTGAAGACGAGCCAGCTCTGAGCGGGTTTTAGTTTGTATCTTGACGATAATACTTTTTAGTATCACAGACGGATCCCCTCTAATTTTGTTCACAACAGATATTGGAGACCAATAATTAATGCCTTTTCATCTTCACCCACAATCCCGCAATCGCTCCGCACGATAAACCAATTTACGCCTCTCCAAAGTACGAATTGCGCTAAGGATATCGATATCGATTGCGCGAGAACCGTGACTAAGCCGCTTTAAGCCACTCAATAAAGTACGTAGCTCAGCGTTGAAGATACCTAGACAATGAACAAAGACGTGGATGACGCATTCGAAAGATCAGAGGACAAGATCTACTTGTTGGTACTCTACAGGTCAGCTAAATCAAGAAGACAAACACAAGATAAACTGTGGGTTATAGTGATGGTACATGTTGATAAACACAGTTACTAGACTGATTTGGGCTGTGGAAAATCAACTCCACTGACTGCCGGGATTCACAACGCCGAGCCTCTGTCCTTATGTTAGTGGCGATGATTATTTAAAAAGAGTCGAGACTCCAGGGTCGAAACTAAAGACTTACTTTAGTCGAGATTAACATCTGTAATCGAACAGGGTAAATAGAACGTTCGAAAACAAGGCCAGCACTGGAGAATTACCTCCGACATCAAGAGTCCTCAGCAAAGTCATCTAATTAGACAGTGTCACTAAGATACTACCGTTGGCACGTTAGAATTCAACCTACATGGTTGACTACGAGCTGAATGCATATCTAGTTAGAGGGCGCAAATACTACAAGACACGTCGCAACATACCTTCGAGGTTCTGCTCAGCGCGCTTCTCGACGACTGCGTTATCAACCAAGTGAATATAACGCTCGGCAGCAAAATCAGCATTGGAGAATTACCTTCATCAGATTCGGGGTCAAACAAATCTAATTAGACAGTGTCACTCAGATACTACTGCAGGCACGTTAGAATTCAACCTACAGAGTCTGATGAGACGAGCTGGATGCATATCTAGTCAGAAGGTGCAAATACTACAAGACACGTCGAAACATACATTCGAGGTTCTGCTCCAGGCTGTTGTCGACGACGGGTGCCGCTGCCGTCATCTGTACCAAAGCGATGGCAAAAAAAGCACAAGACAAAGCGAGCTTCATGGTGGCTAGATCGGTAAGAGTGTGTTACTTGGGGTGTTGAACTGTAGAATCGATGCAGGGAGTGGAACCTTTATATCTTTGGGAAGCCGGATTTCAGACCCAATTCACAGACCGACTCTTCGTGTCGTGTCACTGTCATGTCTTGATCTGATCTATATATTGTTCTGTTTTGCATATCTTGAGGCTAGTGCTCCCTTTTGACTCACATGATAATATACAATGACCAGAGGTCTCTTCGGATCTCTCTTTTCGAACAGGGACAGTTGGCAATTGTTGAAATAGAATTCCATGGGCTCTGAATAAACATAATCACTTACGAGTCATCAACTCGGAGTGCTCCTCTCATGCTAGACTTTGCGCCACAGGACACTCAAGCCAAAAAGCACCTGACAAATCACCATTAGGTGGTTAATTTACTGCTGACAAGCAAAGAGGTTCAACAACAGACATAACACGCACCTTCATGACTTCGTATTCGCCTCTTCGAATACACGGTCTAGAGCATCAACTTGAAGACTCTGAAGACGCCATTCTCATTCCCATCAAACACTTCATCTCTGGTATCCTACCGCAGATCCCCATCCGAATCTCTCTTCCCGCACAGTGATAGCTGGCAATTATCATTATGAAATAGAATTCCATGGGCTCCAAATAAAAATAATCACTCACAAGTTATCAACTCGGAGTGCTCCTCTCATGCATAGACTTTACGCCCTAGGGCATTCAAGCTAAGTAGTATCTGAAAAATCACCATTAGGTGGGTAATTTGATGATACCTGCTGTTTGCAAAATTGTTAGCTCCTCCAGTGAGACTTTGGATTTTTCGTCCTCTAAGTTGATTTGTTGTAGCTCGAGGCTTGAGTCGACAATCAGTTGACATACCCTTCGTCAAAATACGCCGTTCTTGCTTCATGCCCCTGCGTCTTAATTCTCCGAGCGACTTTGTCTCTTGTCTTGTCGAAGTAATCTCAAATCATTCTGAGTATGTTAAAGTCTTCAAGTGTAACATCGATCAACATAATATCGTTAACGTTCATCGTTCATACAATTCACTGCGTACCAGTGAAACTGATCACTCTTGCTTTCCACTCCCAGAACACCGCTTGTGTTCTATCTACGTTGTAGAACGAGTACGTGGAAAGATCAAATTGATAACTTGATGTAGTCTCGGACCCAAATGTGCGTCGGTGTGTGAAAACAGCGACTGCGATTACACGTTCTTGACACCAGATGCGGCGCCTGGAATGAGGCTAGCTGCGCTATTTTCTCGAGGGTGGAGCTGGATATGGAGATTGTGGATACCTTGCTAGGTGAGTACGCTGTGAGTTTTTATGTTGCTTCACAGATATTGATATTGATAACCTCTCATCAAGACGCCCACCGATCAACAAAAGAGCCCGAAACATGCAAGGCCTTGTGAGGCTTACATGAACATGCATGCTATGATTTAGCATTTACAGCTATGTGCAAAAACGTTGACAGTACACGCGTGACTCGAATGTTAGCCTGTTCAGCAACCATTATTTGAGTAAAATGTGAGAATATGTGGCGGCAGCACAGAAGCCGCCGATAGCGGAGTTTGAAACCTTCCTTTCCGACCATGACTACATTTAGTGATGATGGTGGTATCAATATCTTGCAACGGCAGCAGGTCTTCGCTGCAGTATCTGCTATAATTCTGTGTACACACGCTGCACTAATGAATCTTCAAGGCACCATCAACCGCCTGATGGACTCTCTCACTATGGCATTTGGGACCACCAATGAGAGTCGTGTGGCAGATGACCGATCGTGTGCCTTGCAGGCCATGCAAGAGGAGGAGAGTTTGATGAATGATGACAAGCTTGTCCTTGTTCATGCATTTATGAGGAGCTCAACAATCTGTAGCACATACATCCAAATCGTCCAGAATGATCTGCGCTTACCTTTTTTACAAAGTATCATTGAGCAGATGAAAGAAGGTTGCAATTTGTAGCTCCTTGTGTATGAATTACTATGTTTTCACACTTCGTATTCTCAACCAAATTGTAGTATGTCAATCATGTAGGATACAATACAAATGTATTGCTAGACATCCTCATCCTCTGCCTCATGCTCGAAATCATCCTCCTCCTCATCAACATCAAGCTCATCGACATCACCGACATCAATAATGCAAGCATCCTCTACAAAATCATGTTCCCGGATATACCTCTCGTAGTCCTCCCACATTTGTGATGCCATGCGATCATGGAACACATTTGAACTTGCATATGTGTCTGTGTCTGCACCTGCACCTGCATTCTCACCAGTATTAGTATCATTAGGCAGTCCTTGATTTGCGGGATTGTCATTGATGGTGACAGCGCATGGGAGAGACCCCTCATCCGGATCATGAATGCGTATAAAGTTATGGATGGCGCAAAGTGCAGTGGGGATGCGCGCCTGTATTTGAATCCTGTATTCTGGGGATATTAATAGAATGTGAAAGTGTCTCTTTAGGACACCAAAAATTTGTTCAATGACATTGTGTGTGGATGCATGACGAAGGTTGAAAAGCTCTTCTTTATTGACCAGCCTGAAAAACAACATTAATTGAGTGCATGTTCAAAAAAAATCAAAGCTTACCTGACACTCGCGCGCCCCCATTCTGCAAGATGATAACGAACTCCCCGATAAGGCACCACAAGCTCTGGACGAGAGGGAAACCCAGCATCTGCAAGAAAATACTTGCCAGGTGGAAGTTTTAAGCCCCCACCAAGGGCTTTATCCCATCAACGTGCATCAGTTGCGGATCCTTCCCAACCAGTAAGCGCAAAGGTAAATTTGAGGTCAAAATCGCAGCTAAAGAGACAAATTTACGATATGAAGCCTTTGCAATTGTGGTAGAGGTGACATTGAGATGTGGGAGGGAAGGCATGGATATGGCTCCCATCAATCGCTTCAACAGCGTCCTTGAAATAGGGCCAACACTTTGGGTTGTCATGAATTTGGGTGGAGACCGGTGTGTTGGCGGCAGGAAGGCAGACATATCTTGTATAGAAAGGGTGGCTTGAGAAAATACAAAGCATCTTTCGAAAGTAGCTATGACAGAGTTAGCATTGAAGTTGAAACATAGAGAGTGGACTTACCAAGAAATTGTGCCATTTGATCGTTGGAATTGCTCTCCAACATGTTGTACTGTGAGCCCTGTCACGCATGAGTATAAAAATATTGCCAGCTGCTCCTCTAGTGAGACATGGTGTGAGTCTGTGTGACCAAGAGCACAAAGCTCATTGATAAAATGCTCAAATACATGTGCATGGATGCCAAGCTCACAACAAATTCATTCCGGATGGCCAATGATGAGTTCAATAACCCATTCTTGGCCAGATAAGGCGGAGGTGTGGTAAGGTTCTGGTTCATCGGGTATCTGTAAGATGAGTATGTGCACAGTTGCAGCAAGAAGTATGTTAACAAGCAGTGTGATATAATGAAGAATGCACTGGTGGACTGCTGCTTGCACCGGCCTTGTTTGATCTGGTGGTCGGATAAGCTGCGGAGGTATAAGGTGATCCTGTGGAATCAATAATGGTTGAGTGAACATTGAGATTCGACGGTTGCAACGTTGAAGATCTGGTACTGTATATGTATGATACTTGATCTTATCATATTACTATCGCTTACCTGTCACTTTCAGACTCCGTTTGCATTCTGACATCCTTGTGCCACACCAAAATTGTGTTGTTGGAAATTTGAGTTCAAATGACAGTTACCGAACAGGCTCTTAGGAAATTAAATTAAAAAAGTCATAGGCCACCAATTTACAACCGTGTCTCAATGTGTTGTGTCTTCCCCTAGCTTATTATCATCTTATCAATTACTCTCACCATGTCTTCCATCTTTGACAACCTTTCTGAACTTTCTGACACTGCTGTCGAAACTGAACATGAAATGTCTCTGACTGTTCCAAGTCTTCTGACAGACATGAGCCCAGACAATGAAGAGCCTTCACCAACTGCAAAACAGCCTGCAAAGAAATGAGGACGTCCTCACAAGCAGCTGGCCAAGACCATAGGTGAGTATATGTGTTTGCATCAGTAGAGTACTCAAAGTATCCGACTCTCATGAAGCTTCTGACACAGCTGAAACTGTCAATGTGCATGCTGAACCCAAGAAATCAGCCATCATGTACTATCTCACCATGTTAGTGTTGCTGCAGGTTCGGCTTACTTCCGGTTTTAGCCATAGCCAGACCTATTAATAACTGATAGAATCACGTGACTCAGCCTGCGTCATTTACGGCCCGGCTTGGCTCAAATAATTACGGTTTAGTCGAGTTATGGCTTAAAACCAGCTCAAAGCCTAAATATATTTTAAGTCCAAAAATAGATTACAATTTAGATGCCAAAACTTTAAGACTCGAAAGCCCAATTAGGAAATCAACGCGCTGTAGATTGATATCGATCATACAAACTCGCAAATGTACTCTACATCTAAATACAACGCACAAATGGGTCCCCAGAATAACGTGAGTGGTCCCATTAGCTTTCGATTAAAAGCTAAAATAGATGTTAGCAATACTGTAGCCTTGATCAAGCACGAACATTAAATGATCAGGTGAAGCATGAGGCCGATATGGCGGCACAACACCGCAAGTCAAGGCAAAGAGCAGCTGAAAGGGGCGGAGTTCAAGGGGAAAGAGGACCTCAGGAGCCTTGGAGATTGAAGTGGTGATGCTGGTTGGCGAGAGTGATGGGTCGTGAGGTGCGGGAGTAGGGCGGCAATGGGAAGGGCAGCAATGGGACGTGCGAGATTGGGTTGGAAGGTGCAGGGGGACTAGGCAGGCATCGCAGAAATCGGCGAGATCATGTAGGATACTGCATGTTGAAGCCGTCATGTTAATCTTCGGTTCCCAAGAATATCTATGGTTGAAGGTTAGCCAAGCAAGTGAAGTAGTGATTGGCGGGCTGACGTACCTGCTGGCCACTGCCAATACTATTGCCAACAAGCTCAAACGTGTTGACCTTCACAGCGTTGGGGAATGAGCATGCAGGATGAAAAATAGCTCAGGGATACTCACCAGTGCAAAAACCAGGGTCCATTTCGAAAAGTTTCTTCGTCTTTGGTCCAGTCTGACCTACGTACTGCCCTACGAGGTCGGAGGCAGAGCACTCGATCAGGTCGAATGAAGAAAGGAATCCCATGTCGTAATACACTTGACCAAACTTCCTCGCGATGGTCGTTTTTCCAGTACCTAGGGAGAAGTAGATCCCTTCATGAATACTCTGCTGGGGATCAAAATGTGTTACTTACCTGGAGGTCCTTTGAAAATGAAGCTCGTTCTGTGCAATTGTGGAAAATATAGTACTTATGGGTGCAGCCGAAGCCTGAGGATGCGAATGAGTTCGTCATATACAAGCTGGCAGCATTTGACACTCGGCTCTTCCAGTCGCTTAATCTGTTGCTTGACGATGATTTCAAAGGCTTGCGTGCCAACAAAAAGTGATAGTGTTTGACCCTGCATCGTGGAGAAGGTTTAAACAACAGTCTCTGTGTTACATGAGTAACAGACCCACCGAAGAATTGTACAAGATAGTTCAGATATCTCCATCCTTGACCTGATCGAAAGGGTTGATGCTCTTCACACCATTGTTGAACAGTTCATGGAAGACGAAGCTGATTCGGGCACCACCACTCAACTCATTCAGCGAGAGGTCATTGGTGTTACCGTCAATGACTGTCCGGAATTCGTTTGTGAACTCTGTGATGACTGAAAGGACTATGTTGCCAGAGGATGCATCACCCATAGGACCGCCCAAGGTAGCTAGTTCAGCAGTGTATTTTTGAACCTGCGAGCTAATACGGGCCTTGATGTCAGGCAGAGTGGCACGAATGTGCTGCATCAGAATCTAAAACAGAAGGAAGGTCTTACTGACGCATGGAGAGTGATTGAGGCACGCACCATGTTCAGCTTACGGGCAAGGAATGGCGTCCCACAATACTGGGCTTTCCCTTTGTATGAAGGGTGTAATTTGAAGAAGCTGCGCTCCCCCCAAACATGTTTGACAGTATTCCAGCACTTGATCAGCATCCAAAGCCGAAGTCTGGCCACAGAAGTTCAACTCGGAAATTGCAAGTACAGACATGCGCAAGCCACCTTTGAGACGACTGTCGCTCACAGCTAAGTAGCAGCGCACGGTAGATCAGTTAAAGTATGCATATCGGGGTTCCGACTCGGAATGCCTGGGCACGACGACAACGAACGCTCGGGCATGACGACAACGATATGCTCTGGTTCACGTGTGGGGAAATGTCGTCGAAGGGTGGGGGGGCACTCGGGAGGGGTACTGCAGGAGATCCGGATGGCCTAAACCAGGGGATTGTCAGATGCGCTTAAAGGTAACAATTGAAATTAGATATACAAACACACTGCAAGAAGAATCATAAGGTGCGTGATGGTAAGCAAAAAGTAAGAAATGCGGGGTAAAAATGTTCGAGGAGATGTCAGGTATCATAGATGGTAACCTGGTCAATGATGTCATCGCACTCATGCTCTGCCATGGCTCTGAGAACAGCATCATATGCGCAACTGTCACCTGCTGTTTCACTAGAAACAGGTGCCAAAAGCTCGTTGGAGCTGTTGTCGGATACCATTGCACCTTCCATGGCCCATTGTGACACCACCCAACCTTCAGTGAAGTTAAGTCGCTCCTTTTTGACGGAGAACTTCACCATCTGTAGTGCCTCCATGAGGACCAGGCTGATTTGATTGCGCTTCTTCATCTATGTTTCGCTGCTTGACGAGAACACCCGCTCACAGGGAACGGCAGATGCCTGGATTGGGAGGTAGTCCATAGCAACTGGCGTAAACCATTGGGAACATCGCCTCAGACAGCTGGTCAAAACCTTGCGGTCAACAATGAAATATGTAACTTAGCGGAGAACAAGACTCTCACCTGCCAGAAGGAGAGTACATTCGTTCTCTCAGGACTAAGATTAGCGGTATTATAAGCCCCAAACTCCTGTTCAACCGTCTGGACAATATCGGGGGAATGCGGGAGTACATTCCTCTCAGGAAGTCCATAGATACGTGAGCCTAGTGTGCGTGACTGTAGTCGTGAGACTGGGTGTGTTGGAACTGGTACATCAGGGATCTTTTGTGCTCGCTTGGCATGCATCTGCAGGACATGTGAGCGCATGCCAGTTGTTCTTTAAATAAACGTACCAGATTTAGAATGAATTCCTTCGCCGATTTGACTCAATTTTCATCCCAGTGCTCTTCAGCCCACGACAGTCGGCATGTGGGATCAACAACTATAAAATAAATCATAAGATATCGACCTTTATGAAGGTGCAAGGGACTGACACATTGCAACTGCATATGTGTTCAGTGCAGGCCATCCGGTCATCATACTTCTCTGCCCAACTTAAACCAATGTTGATGAGTGGCGCACAGTGCAGGGGCGCCATCAGCCAACTGCTTCCAATCCTCGAGTAACCTTTCAAAAGTGGGAATTGCACTACCCAACATGGGAGTGCTCTCGCTCAACATAGATTGCTGAGCCTGGTGTGGGGGCTGACATCACACAGTTAATTGAAACATAGGTTTCGAAGATATTGATGCATACCTCAAGAATTACTTCAAAGTCCTGTAAGAAGTGCCATTCCATTGGACTCAACTTTTTCTCATGTATGGAGCGTTGATTGGCTGACTCGAAGAATAAATCAACTGCCTGGGCAACTGTTAGTCCATGACAAATGTTTAGTGAGACGAGGCCTTGCCTGATGTAGAGTTTGTAGACGATTAAGCATCACGTAAACTGAATCCCAGCGTGTTGGTTCGTCGAGCAGGAGTTCGACTGTAGGGAGCTTTATGGGCTCGCCATCATCTCCTTGGAACCATGCCTTGTCATTACCTATCACAATCATATCCCTGAAGTTCCCACATCGTTGGTCTGATGCACGAATGGAGCGCACAACATTTCTGGCACGTTCGAGAGCTTTACCAGGTGATAGCGCTCACATAATCCTTCTTGTCAATAGGTTGACCACAAACATCCCATGTGTCCTTCACGCATGAAAAGTCCACTGTGACATAGTCATCGATAATATGCTTCACGCATATGTTGATCACATGCGGAAAACAGGGAATGTTGTTGTCGATCAGATCGTAATCGATCTGGCGTTCCTCGAGTAAGCAGGAGAGCTCCTTCATCAATGTTTTGTTGTTTGCTGCATTGTCCAATGTGAAATGTCCAGGCTATATGAAGTCAGAGCGTGTCATATAAGTACAGTTAAACACTTACATCTTTTGCGACATCAGCACGATCGAGGAGACGCAGTAATGTTGAACTGAGAGATTTGCCAGTATGGCTTCCAGGAATGTGGTGAAAGGCAATCAAGGCTACCCTCAAGACGAGCACTGACGTCTTCTCTTCCTTAGCAATCCAGTGGGCAGTGAGCACCATGAATGGGCGGAGTTTCTTATCTGACCAGAGGTCAGACATGAAGGATATTTTTCCTTGCGCTCTCTGTAAGGTTATATGAGACACTTGATGGGACTCTCAACAACTAGACACTTACCTGCAAGATCACTTTTCAACACCTGGAAATACTTCTGCCATGAGACGATAATCAATTCGCGAAGTTTCATGCGGTGGGGAATGTCTGACTCATTCACTTCCCTCTGCAGAAGACTGTATCAGCTGCTGAAACTCCACGCATTCGATTATATTTATTGCCTGTGGATAATCAATTAAGAAGAACGCATAGAAAGTAAATACCACTTACCTGATCGTCCGCGACTATGAACTTCACTAACTGACGGTGCATCGCATCGATGCTGAAATCTGGTAAGTAATCATCCGGAGATAAGCAAGTTCCGGGCAGCAAATGTGCCTGGTTAGGGATGGAACCAAGCGAGTCGATATGATAAGCGGAGTCCTGGAGTCTTTCACGGATGGCCACCAAAGTCCACCCTTCATCAAGTCACCCCTTCAGTGACTTTAAACGAATAGGCCAGCGCAGGTGCTCGGCCTCTTGTAGGTATAGGTTGGTATGGCTGTAGAAAGCATGGTTACGATGGGCAGTAGTGCCGGTTGTGTGCTTGTATGAAGTGATTGGGTGTGAACTGTCTGCCTTCTGCAACTCCCTGGACAAGGTTGTAAAAAAAAAAGAACAAAAGAATGGCAGACACATACTCACTCGCAGGGTTGGCAAATCTTGCGTTTATTGGCTGAATCAAACCTAAAGAAGTAACAGATATCAGACGTGGTTATAGGCTGCGTTCCTATGATACCTGTGGCCAAGGGATCGGTTTGGGTGGAGTAGACGGTACTAGTAGCCGTCTGCAGTGGGCCAAGGACTGGAGGAGCCCTGACTCCAGGTGCAGGCAAGTCATCCTCTTCATCCCCAGACACATTACTGATCTCAATATATTCTCCGTCGTCTGCTGTACGACTGGTGCCAGCGTGAGCTGGGTTGTCATCGCGGAACCTCAGAGGTAGCTGTCGTTGCCTATTGGGGTGCTGAAGCATAGTTGCATTCAATGCAACAGCAGCAGCAATGGGGGGGGCAGCAGCAATAGCAATGGGGGCAATAGCAATGGAGGCAATAGCAATGGGGGCAGCAGCGATAGGGGCAGCAGCTACATGGGCGGTAGCAGTGGGGGCAGCAACAATGTGGGCAGCAGCAGTGGGGACAGGGAGAGGTGGAGCAGCAGGAGTAGGCAGTGGTGGTAACCTGGGACTTCTGCCCTCGTCGACAAGGAGGCATGTTCAAGTGACCGTAACGGTGAAGATACAAAGACAGAGTCTTTATAAACCTTCGTCCTGGGGAAACAATGGGGAAACCCCAGTACTGAGTCACCTAATAACCAGGCCAATGTATTCGCACAAGTGAAGTAACAGGTCTAAATAACATCATTAATAGTGATACAACACAAGGGGAACAACTGAACGTACACCCAGGGTACCTACCGTGAGATTTTCGCGCTCGAGTTGTCCTAGGGAACACTACATGTCAGTGGGGTTTCCCCGATGCCACCCATAGAACTTACCCGATGAGAAGGATACCATAAAATGTGCATTCTAATGGGCACTAAATCTGGTATTTTGCTTGGTCTATCTTCCATTAATGAATGCTTGTGGTTTGCTAGACTTATCACTAAGCAGGTGGTCAAGTGAGTGAAAGCTTGCTTACCTTCATTCGCCCTGATCAATTGAGTTTTGAACCTAGGATCATGATACAGCGAAAGGGAAGTGGGGTGTTTGGGGAAAATCCCCCATGCATCATACAGTAGGCTGGCCATGCCGCCATGGTGCTGATTGAATCCGATAAGGTGAGTCTGATCGATATCAGGACTCAGGCCTCAGGAGTAAGTATCTGGAACAAGTTTGTTTCCGTCGCAGGCCAACCAATCTGCAGAAAAATAACACTTGGTTTGCAAGGAGGGCAAGGAGACGACGGGCAAGGAGACGACATGCAAGTGTGAAAATTTAGAAAGATAAGAAGCTTATTAAGAGCTGTGTGGGAGGATGATTTGAATTTCGCCTGACTTGTATTTGGCCGCATCTGAACCAGAAATGCTGTTGGCTCATACACTATATACATATTATGTACAGATAGAGATAAGGATTCAACAGCCAGCAACTAGTATTTTGTTACAGCGTGGAGCTGAAGTAGTTGGGTGCATCGGAAAGCCATTACATGGGCGTAAACTTGGAAATTACTTGAGCTTAATATCGTGAGTGGGAAAATGAAACAGATTACTCACACACAAGTCGATTTGCGAAGAGGTGTTGCATCTGGTGGACATGCCAGTGGGGGCGCTGCCTCGGCAATCCAATGTTCATTGGAGATTGGAAGGGGATGTATGATGTGATCATTAGGTTGGGAGAAATCCAGTGAGCACGTAGCTGGTGCGGACAATGTGGCTTGAAGACCGTGAAGCAATGAACGAAGATGCCCATAGTCAGGGTCCTCTGAGAACGCAAGAGAGCGCGTGTAGATGAGAATACTTGCGAACTCGACAGGAATTCCATCGCATAGAACTTCAATGGTGGTGTTGACCTTGCACTCGAGAATAGAAGAGCTGGATAGCTTCTCATGGTCACTGGTTAACCATGGAAGGGAGCCGCGCAACAAATAGATCAACATGTATGTAAGTGACTCGAGATCGTCATGACAACCCGGGTCAACTCCTAAGTGATTGTTGATCGAAGCGAACGCAGGAGTGCCAGTGAGACTTCGATTCTGATGGAATGGGATATGGACTCTGGTTGCAGTGTTCCAGTATTCCTTTGCAATACCAAAATCAATAATATATGCAGTGTGCCTCAAATGGCCAAGACCCACCAAGACATTCTGCGGTTTGATATCACCGTGAACGTAATTGTGTGCATGGATGTATTCGAGACGTGAGAGCTGGGAAATGTGTTAGCCTATCTGCAACAACCCAGCATAAACCAACTGACCAGTTGGTCTCCTAGATTCACGACAGTGTGAAGGTTGAATTTTCGATTGTGTGCGAGGAAAAGATCTTGCAGTGATGGCCCAAGGAGGTCAAGAACCAATGTGTGATATGTTGCCTCTCTACTGAACCAGAGGGCGCAGGGTATCCCAACTCCACCTTCAAGTCGTTTCAAAATGGTGTATTCATGCTGTACAGAAGATGACTGGCTGACGATGGGTTCGAGTTTGATCGCAACTGCATCATCTTGGATGATGTTCCATCCATGGTATACAACAGCTAAGGGTCCATAGTATGTTGAATTTTTACAATTGTAGTCAGTTTGTGAACAACGTACCATATGAACCAGATCCCACAACATCTCCGAGTCTGAATCTACCATCAACTCGTATCGGGACCTGATGATTCATGATATGTGGTAACTTGAGCCTTGAGTACAACAATCCAACAGTGAATCCAACCGCGAGCGAGACTTGAGAAATGATGTGTGATTTCCAAATCAGCTTGAGCTGCCTCAAGCTGGCCTCAAGCCAGCTCAAGCTGCCATTCATGATTTTTGGCTTACAGTTGGTTCAAGGCACTTCGTCCAGCTAACGAACCAAACCAAACTGTACACAAGTGGCCTAGCTCACTAGGATAGTGAAAACATTGGCAAACCGGTGAACGCCAAGCTGGAGCGGGCCGTAGCCGAACTGCGGTTATACTACAACATGTACTTGATTACCCAGATGCAAAAGGCCGAAAATCAACGAAAATCCCCTAGCCTATATAATAGTGTATGGTAGTGCTAATTGAGGCGCATTTATCACTCATTGGATCATAAAAAATGGTCAAGATTTGGGAAAGTTACAAGCATTTCAATAATTACTTGTAAAAGTCATATGAGCCTGTCTTGTAATGCTCATAACTTGCTCAAATCTTACCCATTTGACAAGATAAGAGGCTCAAAATATTCATATTGATGAGGTCTTCAGTCCTGGACTGGTTTGAGACTGGTCCACTCATAGACTGGTCTAAAACCGGTCCGGTTTTTGGAATATTACAGGATCAAAAAAACTGGTCCTGATCCAGTTGCCTCCAAAAATGGTCAAAACACCGGACCAGACCCGACTTTAAAACACTAGTTATGATGAATAAAGGACTTGATCTTGAAGAAAGCTTCTTTGAGAGGATTGAGATTGGGGGAATAAGGTGGTAGATACTTGAGTCGAACACCTGCCAATGCTGTTATGCGAAACCTCTCAGATGAGATCCTGCAGCACTAAACCCAGCAAGGGGTGTTCGTAGCATGGATTTCGGCACTATCCCAGCAAGGAGCTTGCCTGCACTTGGTCTGAGTAAGGGTTGAGGCCCTTACTTGCATAGAGTTGATTGGAGATTCTCAGGGATGCGATCCAAGAGAACAGAGTTACAGTTTCGGTGCAATGAAATAAGTCCAACAGACAACAATGTGCTGCCACTGGGATTCCAAATGAGGGTCTCAAAATCCATTATCGAAGTGTTTATCAAGACAAGATAGTGAAACTAACCCAATTTAGACTTTCATTTCCGGACTCAATAAACACCATCCTGCAGTCACCCTTGGGTCGTATCCTGCACATCTCAGTCATGGTCGGGCGTCCAAAGTCAGTCACAAGGAAAAAAACAACTTGCTAAGCAAGAGCAAGAGATTGCCATCACTTGAGCCATCAATGAGTACCATGCTGAGCAGCGAAAAGATGAACCCACAAAAAGCCTCTGTGCCATCTGTCGAGAAGTCCAGGAGGGCACTGCAGGTGACGAGCTTGATGTCGACAAGGATGAGCATGAGAATGCCAGTGATGAGGATGAAGAGGAGTAGTAGCTAGCCTGAGGATCATTACGGTATGATAATCGCTTAGATGGTACTCTTGCACTCTATAAATCCATATTAGGGCTGGCTCAACTGGTGAAAAAAACAGATATCAAGACATTCTACTGATTCTCACATTGTGCATGCATCACTCATTCGATTGCTCTGTAGCATTGCATTAGCATGGTCATCATATATTTAAACATGACTGCCACATCAGAATTTTAATTTATGTGCGAGTGTTCACTTGAGACAGCCAAGAAAATTCACTGGCTCAAATGCTGGTCCTATACTGTATCTTGAAGTTTGGACCAGTTGCGCCTTGTCACTAGATGAGCAGCAATGTCCTTGAATAATGTGACTCGTTGATTGTTGATTGTTATATAGATAGGTATAGTTTTGTGGCCCTTAGATAGTACACTATAATCTCACAATTATTATCCATATCTTATGAAGACTACTGAGTTTACATCCATCTAGTTCTAACTTGTGGAAATTTATCTGACTTACGCAAATTTCCTCTATCTTGTCCTAAGTTTGTGTGGGAGGTTTTTCCTGATGAAACCAATTCATGCCTCTCCAAAGTACGAGTTGCACTAAGTAGCGCTGCCGTGGTCCGGTCCAGAACCACGGTTCGAACCGGACTTTTGGTCCGGTTCTCCATGGTTCGGTCCATGGTTCTCACATCAGCCAGAACTGGACCGGAAGGCAGTTCTCAGTTCTACATATTCCCGGACCATTCTATTTTGGTTCGGCCTTCCCGAACTGTTCCGAACCCTTGTCAACTTCGACTTCAACTTTGACAACATTGGCCTCAACATCAGACTGTCGTCTTCGGGAATTGCACTCTAGGTTAATCAGGCAATCTTTAGCATTTTTGAAGGTAAGTACTAACTAATCAAATTATCAATATTCTTGCCTTCTGACATTTGTTTGACTATGTCAGATATATGTTTATTCAAGTCTGCACACTTCCTAGACAGTCATGATCCTCCACCGGCTCTCAAGTCTCTGTTCTGGGATGCATGGGTGTTGGCTCCCTGCTCAATATACAAAATGAGGTACTGACGACAAAATTGTGAGTTATCTCTCTCTCTGACAATGTCTCAAGACACCTGTGTGCTTAATGCTGACGGCTCCCTCAAGGACGCTTCTGATATCACTTTCTTTAACGATCCTGACGACAATGTACCGCTTCCCCAAGTCTCACCTTCCACCCAGCCATCGACATCAACTGCATCTACAAGAAATGCCTACTCCGTTCTACTCAAAGCTGGACATACCCCAGCAACAGTCGCAGCTGGTTCTTGGCGGTCTGGCCGTCCCTCAAAGCCCTCAGCTCGTATTCGTGATGCTGACAATGCCTGCAGGCTGTCTTCATCTTCAGGCACGAGGAAATGTGCATTGTCAAGCGCTACCGACCATCTGGCACCCAAGAAAGTCGCTATGCAACTTTTACCTCCTCTCGACTCTGAAGATGAAGATGAAGATGAGGACATCCATCCAGGAGAATCATCCGCCGATGAGCTGGTCCCTCAACCTGATGTCGAAGAGTTAGACGACACCGATGACGCCAAGTCCGAGAATGGAGTCGCCACTCAGACACTTTCAAAAAATGAACGTACAGCAGATGTTAGGACTATATTCACTCGCATTCCTGATGGCTGGGTGTGTACCCTGTGCAAGTAAGTCGTCCATCTCATTTTCGATATTTTTTAAAACTTTCACACAAGGGATGCTGGTGAACCAGCGCACAAGCACACCTTTCGCGGAGGCACTTCAACACTGCGCACACACATTGTTCGCCACAAGAGGACCCATTTTCAAGTGTACAAGCAGCGCTGTGATGCCGCAAGCATTACTATGCACTCTCGTGCTATTCCACCAGGAGAAGATCATCTCACCGTGACGCAATCAACTCTGGACGCCAACCTTGTTTCGAAACCCCCCATGTTTACCAAGGAAGGACTACTCGAATACATTATGGAACTTGTTGTGACAGAAGACGAGGTACATCAAGTTTTATAATTTTATTCATTCAAAGTTTATTTACATCATGCTGAGCTGTCACGAATCCCAAATACGAACCATTTTTCATTTCTTGGTTTTCCTTCGGCTACTTCCAGTACCCGAGCCGGTCACGTGACTCCTCGTCATATATCACCTGATGCTTCTCCAATTGGTTCCCCTACTCCACGGGCTAGAACAATCTCGCTTCCTAAAGAAGAATCGGTCGGATCTTGGGTTTCTATTTAGTAACCATCTTACTCATTCGCTTATATATCATGATGTCATACTTAGTCATCCGCAGTATCATACGACTCTTTTCTCATTGGCTAATTTCTTTCAGACTCCTATTCAATGTTATGTATAAAAGTAGGTTAGTTAGCGTAAGTACTCCTTAGACTTAACCTCTTCGTTTCCTACTGTTGTAGTGACTTAGACGTTCACGCTCAATACCATTCCGTTCATCATCATCTTTGACCGAGTCCTAGTGGTTGTGTACTTGTCCTTCATCATTATTGGTGAACATTGGTCATAACATTAGGTTAAGTCTATCTTACCACTCCGACTCGAACTTTGTCTTGGACATCACCGTTCTCGACGAACTTCACCGTGCTATTCTGCTTGAGAATTATCTCACGGATTACGTTTTTTGTTCAATCATCATTTCCCCAACGCGTTTTAGTATCTCAATCTCTTTACGTTAGTCTTTAGTAGAAGTGAACCAGGCCCTCGTCTTACTACGAGCTGCCAGTTCATAAGGATCAGTGACACTTAGGTCCTGTTTCTGCATGTCTGCAGTTAGGCCCAAAACCCTGCCAACTGTACGCTACAATATCTGCTTTCTACGTAACAGAACGGCACTCGCGACAGTCCTCTCACTGTCTAAATACATTACGATAGGAACCTAGGGTGCTAAAAGTAGACCCAAAGTTCACCACGTCTTTTGCGAACTCCTCTCGAGTTCTTTTAGGTTGACGAACTGCTACACGCGCTGTATTCGCACCTCTGTCATCATTGCCCCGCCATACAGATCCCGCCTAGTCGCGGCTAGAGAACTCGCACTCCACACTGTTTCCTGTTTGGATTCCAATTGCTCGTTCTTCAATGTCCTGAGAATCTAGGAGAAACTGGGATCGTCGTTTCAGAGGATATGGAAGTAGCAATGGCGCTGGCAGTTGTGCCGCCAGTAGATGCTCCAGACAGGGCGACCATCCACTCTCCAACACCGTTGGTGTGGCACCACCCATTGGGATCTGCAGAACCATCCACCACCCCAACTGCAGGCCCTTCTGTACCCTTCGGCATCTTAGGGCCTGGGGAGACTACCATCACCCACAAGAGCATTTCAGACACAATCCAAGTCATCGTCGAACAAGAAAGAAGGTACACCAGGCAGTTCATAGACAGTCTACAGAAGGAAATCGACGAGCTGCAAGCAGGCCTGGTACACGCGGACGACGAGATCGACTACCTGAAGATCAGGACGAGGGATTTGGAGAATTCCTTGACGGTTGCAGAGAGCCACATCACAGTTTTGTAGAACTTGCCTACAACGAAGATCCCAGGCGCTACATCTGGGACTTCAGGCTCTGATATCAAAATGGCGAAACCTATGGACTTCACAGGGGATAAGAACTCCATTGACATCGACACCTTCCTCACCCAGCTCGCAATCTATTTCACAGGTTACCCTGGAGCAACAGAGCAGCAGAAGTGCACATGTCTCGTTTCCTTCTGCCAAGGAGCCGCAGCCAAGTGGGCAGAGAGTGTCACCCCCATGGCGCTCAGCGGCCATCCCGGGTCCTACGACAGCATCGTCAAGGACATGAAGGTCATGTGGACCGTCGTCAACAAGGAGGAGAAGGCAGCAAGAGAGTTGGAAGCTCTCCGACAAGGCAATCGTACTGTTGGAGAATATATCTCCCTCTTCCGTCAGAAGCTTGCCTTCTGTCACTTCTCCGACTACGAGTTAATGTGCAAACTCCGCCATGGATTGGACCAGCGAGTCAAAAACTACCTGGCCAATATCCACCCTAACAGGAAAGATACCCTGGAAGGATTAATCAGGGAGGCGCTCCTAGTCGGGCAGAACCTTGAGGAGCTTGACGATGAGAGGAAGATGAACTTCACTCCACGACAACCTTGGCGAGGCTCCGCTGTTCCACCCGCACCAGCTGGAGCACCCAAGACCACATCACAGGGAGGAAATGCCATGGACGTAGATGCAACCAGAGCAGGAGGCAGACCCTGGCCTCAAGGACAACAGGGAGCAAAGTTCACATTGCTATCGCTGGGGAGAAGAAGGGCATATGGCCCGTAACTGCACAGGAAAGCCACTTGACCCAAAGGGCAAAGGACCAGCTGTCCGCGCCAGTAAAACTGAAGAAGTTCCAGCGGTGAAAGCACTCACCCTGGAAGATATTAACCGCATCGTGAACGAGCGCATCTGCCTCTCCACCATGTATAACCCAGTGAAGAAGGAGGAGCAGAAGGGTTTTTAGGGAGATCGAAGTCAACTGTGGACTTAGATCAGAGAAATCGTTTTTCCATTCTTGGTGACTCGGCAATTATGTTTGCAGAAGTATCAGAAATTTGTTCTGGGAATAAACGAGATCATTTCTACTTGCCAGTTACGTTGGAAGGGAAACACAAGAAAGCAGCTGTCAATGCTCTAGTGGATTGCGGAGCAACAAACCTTTTCCTCAGCAAAAAATTCATAGAAAAAAATCAAGTTCAAACCAAACAGTTGTTGAGACCAATGTCGATCCGTAATATTGATGAAACAGACAATTCCACCAGACCAATTACAAGTTACGCAGATTTGAAGCTCACAATAGGGGATCATGAGGAAGAAGTAGCCTTTCTGGTCACAGACCTAGGATCCGATGATGTCATCATTGGAATAGATTGGCTACGATTCCACAACCCCAGTATCGATTGGAATGCAGGGAAGGTGGCATTAGACTGTTGCCCGGTTAAATGTCAAGAAGCCAAGGTCAAGGACAAAAAGACCAAGGCAAGGAAGCGAACAGCCATGACTTCGATCCTTCTGGTGTTGCCCGACTTGATACCGGCAGAAGATAACGAAGATGAGGATATTGAGGAAGCCTCTATCCATCATCAGGTTCAGTTGAACAGCCTCAGCTCTAAAATGCACGGACATGTGGGTACTATACCTGCCAGGCTTGAGGATGAAGAACAATCGGACCTTGCTACTACTGTTGGTCAGAAGGTGCAGATCGAGGAAGTTGAGGATGAAGATTCATCACGGAACGTGTGGATCAGGTACAAGAGCTCTGTAGCATCAGAGTTAGCGCAGCAGGAGGAAAAGAAGAAGGAAAAGAAGCCTGTAGAGGAAATGGTGCCAGACTGGCTCCATGATTATCTTAAGGTCTTCTCCGAAGAAGAGTCTACTCTGATTCCCCGAGTCTAAGAAGTGGGATCATAAAGTAGATCTCAAGGATCCTACTGACCTTCCCCCCAATGCGAAAGCATATCCCCTGTCCCCCGCCGAAAATGATGCATGTGAGAAGTGGTTGAAGCAGGAATATGACTTGGGACGACTGAGAGATAGCGAATCTCCAGTAGCAGCTCCTTTCTTCTTTGTTGCTAAGAAGGACGGAAAGCTCAGACCTGTCATGGACTATCGGAGGTTGAATGAGAAAACCATCCGAAATGCATACCCTCTCCCTCGCTCTCAGGACCTTATTGATCGACTCTCTGGTGCAAAGCTTTTTCTCGAAAATGGACGTTCGATGGGGCTATAATAATATCAGAATGAGAGAAGGAGACCAATGGAAGGCCGCCTTCAAAACTCCTTTCGGACATCACGAACCAGTCAGTAATGTACTTCGGCATGACTGAACTCCCCAGCTACCTTCCAAACTATGATGGACCAGATCTTCCAAGATCTTAAGGAAGGAAAGGTCGTTGTAGTCTACATTGACGACATCTTGGTTTTCACCAACGGTGATGTAGAGAAACATCGGAAGGTGGTGCGCGAGGTACTACAGAGACTACAGGACAATGATCTCTATCTCAAACCGGAAAAGTGTTCTTTTGAGAAGAAGGAAGTGGAGTTTCTCAGTTTGATCATCAAGGATGGACACCGTCTCTATGGATCCGGTCAAGGTTAAAGGAGTTCAGGAATGGCCCACTCCTACCTGTGTCAAGGACATTCAACAATTCATGGGATTTGCGAACTTTTATCGTTGATTCATTCTCGGTTTCTCGAACATTGCCAGACCCATGAATGAACTCATCAGGAAGGATGTACCATGGGAATGGACGGACAAGCAAGAGAAGGCTTTCAAAACTCTGAAGGACAGTTTCACTTCCACACCAGTGCTAGTCATGCCAGATGCAAATAAAAAACAAAAGATAGAAAGCGACGCATCTGACTACACTACTGGTGGTGCACTTTCTCAGTTGGAAGAAGACGGACTATGGCACCCAGTGGCCTTTTTCAGCAAATCAATGCAGGATGCAGAGCGTAATTACGACATTCACGACAAAGAACTTTTAGCCATCATCCACGCATTGGAAGAGTGGAGACATTATGTGCAGGGCACACCTCATCCGGTAGAGATCTGGACGGACCATAAAAACCTCGAGTACTTCATGACAAGCCAGAAGTTAACTCATAGACAGGCAAGATGGTCCTTGTTCCTTGCAGAGTACAACTTCACTCTGCAACACAAACCGGGAAAGGTTAATGACACTGCCGACACTCTGTCCAGGAGGCCAGACCACAGAGGGGGGGGTAGAAAACGACAATTCTGATCGCGTGCTTTTGAAACCTGAGTTTTTTCATATCAAGGCCGCAAAAAGAGGTCAGATTCTGATAGAAGGAGAGCATTCGCTGTTGAAGCGTATCAGAAACTGTACCGATTTAGATCCGGAAGTCCGAAATGCTATAGAAACTCTGAAAAAGGCCCCCATACAGTTGAGAAGAGGATTGGAAGAGTGGAATACGGAGGATGGACTTATTCTGTTCAGAGGATTGGTCTATGTTCCCAATA